AACATTAAAGATTATTGCAACCATGCCTCATTGCTGGAGTCATTGATGAAGGCAACACTGACCACAATGCCCTAAATCAGGGATGGGAAAATCTGTGGCTCTCTATACATTGTTGAATGCAAATTCCCAGGATTCCTGACCACTGGCCATGCTACTTGGGTCTGATGGGAGTTGGAATCCAGCAACACAAGTTCCACATCTCTGTCTTAAATAAAGATGGATTGGTCAAAATTTGGCCTCACGTATAAAGCAAAGAGTGATAAATGTCTTACTCTGAAAGACTGCTTCTTCAGAAGCTCTCTATTCTAGATGATTAGACTTACAGAATATAACAGATGTCACTAATTTTGGAACACAAATGCTCCACTGAGCAGGCAGTCACAGTTCCCCTTATTTGTGAAATTTTGATCTTGCAAAGCTAACATAAAGCACCTATACATGTAAAAGTAGCTGAACAGAAAGTTATGCTAAGCACAAATCTAATATTTGGGGGGTTCACAAATCTAATATTTGGGGGGTTCACCTTTTCAAAGTGTTGTCGGGAGAGAAGCACAGGGCTATTAGACTGTGGACTCTTATTGTAGGATGGACTATATTTGTCAGCATTTTTCCATTCTGGACACCTTCTCTTTCCTTGATTATCACGGTATTCACAGGCACGGCGGATACGATCTGCTCCCAGTACAACAGCTGTTCGCCCACACATTCTTCAGTGGCCTGCAAAAAGCAGATGTACTCAGACCAAAGGCCTATGAATCTGGCTGACACCCCTGCAGTCTCCAATGTCTCAGTTCTACAAATGCAAACACAGAGAAGTAAATCCTAGTATTCCATGTGCCCTTGATGTGCACCTTTCATAGAATCCCAAGCCTTCCTGGAGAGATCATACCAGGATAGGTTGAGAGGGAGATCTTGTAGTGTGGACAGCCCAGGACCTCCATTTACAGTGTCCAGGCTTGTTCCCCAGAGAGGCCACTTCGGTGCTGCTAATGTAGCAAAAACAACCTTGGGAGGCAGCTAGTTACAAGCTACCTGTCTCTGCAGCTGCAGCAGGTGCTGTGATTCTCCAATGGTTTGATCTCACCACCAGAGGCACAGTCCATTGTTTCTCAAGATACAGATGCCAATAACCCAACTTCATACATCCCTCTGTTCTAAGAGCTGCCAGTTTGTTCCAACTCTCTGCTGGTTGTTCTTTAAGAAGTTAGTAATCAATAAGGATACTTGTCTTCTGGTACCATGGTTGCTAAGCTTACTCAGAAGCCTTTGGTGAGGGACTCTGGCAAAAGCTTTTTGAAAGTACACAAGATCTACTGGTTCACCCCTATCCACATGTTTGCTGACACTCTAAAACAATTCTAAAAGGTTAGTGAGACACAGGACTTAACATTTGCAAAAACTATGCAGATTTTTCTTCAGCAAGATTTCTTCTTCTATATGTTTGATAATTCTATTTTAAATTTTCCTTTACACTCATTCACACAGAAGCTAACCTGCCTACAGTTTCCTAGATTCCCCCTTACATCCCTCTTTGTTTTTTTAAAAATGTTGCTACATTAGCCACTTTCTAGTTCTCAGGTACTAACGCCCAAAGTAGAAACAAGCCACATACTTTTGTTAGAAGATCAGCAATTTCACATTCGAGTTAAGAGCTTATTGGAGCACGTGATGTTAAATTTTAATTTGTCAGTAAGACCTAGAGCTTCACAGCTCACTATCATAGGCTCCCTTCCTGAAAAAGTTCAGATGTGGGTACCTGCCCTATCTCTGCTGCAGCAAAGACCCCCCCAAAAAAACCCCTTAATCCAGCTCTTCTGCGACACCTCTAGCCCACGTTTAAATTCCTTGTGGCAAATAACAGCTTTCCTGCATTATTTTTTTTAAAGACTGAAATTTGAGCCAGTAAAAAGTCATCATCAGAACGGGCAACTTGACAAAGACGCATTATTACAGAGGAGAAACTATCCCTCCTCACGAATCTCCGCTCTTGGTTTAAGAAAGAAAAAAAGGAGAAGCTCTGAAACAACGGAGGGTGGGGAAGGGAGAGAGAGGGCAACTTCCTTACCTGTGGGATGTCTTTAAGGGCTGAAAAAGGAGGCGACCACCTTTGCCGAGGGAAAGAAGCGCGGACTGTAGAGCTGCTGGCAAGGAGGGCAACCTTCGCCCCGGAACGGCGCCCGCTGTGTGGACTCGCACGTCGGAACCCGCCCCCCGCAGGGCTCTTCGCCTCAGCTAGGGTGTTTGTGTGCGCGCGCTCCGCTCTCGCGTGACGGGGTGGGAAAGGGAAAGAGGCGGAGGGAGAGCTCTCCCTCCCGGGGCGGCTCGCGGGGTTTTCGCGCCTTCCTCGGCGTCGTCGCAGCTCCGGCTCCGGGCCTGGTGGTGACGTCAGCAGCCCGGCCCGGTGGTTCCACCCCGTCGCCGCGCCCCGGCGGGCCTTTCAAAGCGCCGCCTCGGAAATGGGCCGTTGCGCTCCGCAGAGCGAGGAAGGGGCGCGCGAGGGCGGGGAAAGGATTCGGGGCCCCTCGGGATCTTGCCTCCTTGCATAGGTGCAACACCAGGCACACTTAGGGTTTCTACAACTCGGCCTTTTCCAAGGGAATGCCAAGAAAGGCCCACTCCCACTTTTAAATAAAATTGTTGTTATATTATTATTATTAATTATACCCCACCTATCTGGCTGGGTTTCCCCAGCCACTCTGGGCGGCTTCCACCACATAAAAACATTAATAATAATAATAATAGCGGCAATTATTAACGTCCCTGGGCTCCTGCAGGGGAAAGGGTAGGATAGAGATGCTGATGATAATACTAATACTAATACTAATAATAATTGCTACTATTATTATTGCATTTCTACCTTACCCTATGTTACCCTTTCTCCTGCAGGAACCCAGGGTGGTTATACAAACTCATCATGACAGTATTGTAATTGCCAAAGCAGCTGAAACCACAGGCAATATTCGTGTCCCAAAATGCATGTTACCAAGTGTGCTTCTCGTGTATGCCCCAGGATTTCTGCAGTAAAACTATCCAGCACAATCTTAGGCCATGTTCCCGCAATATCCCGCAATGTTCAATGCGGCTTAACTTAAATCGCAGTTGGGATTGCAGTATGGAGCCACACACTTGGGATATCCTGTTTTCATGTCATTTCACTTTTAATTTGTATACGTACCGCCTTTCTATATTACTAACACAAGGTGGTTTACAGCTGAAAAAAGTAAAGATCACACATCTTTTAGCAATCTGATCCAATACAAATAAATCGTAATAAAAATAGACTTAAACAACTTATATCAAATTAAGTAATATTCAATAATGCATTAGAATAGGATAGTACGCAATAAAATTAACTCTCAAAATAGCAACAAATAATAATTAAACAGGAATTCACTCTCAGCAATTACTACATTGGCCATGATTCCTTGCAAGCTTGTTGGCATCTGTCTGTCTCAGGAGACAATGGAGGAGTGCACCTTCAGGGGTGAAGTCAATGTGTTGGAGAACTATAGCGCCTGCTGTGGCTGTAGAAACTGATACAGGTGAGACCTGTTTTGTTGCAGCTGGGGCAGATGAAGGCATCCGGTTGTGCTACTGCAGATGCATCATGGCCTTTCTTCCTTCTACATTCTTCCTAGCGGTCATTCCTCCTCTGGTCACTACTATGGATATATGACGTGACTGCTTGTCTCCAGGTCCTGCAGGTCTCCAGGTCCTACAAGGGATTCCCACACAGCGGGCTTGATGTTCCCTGCCTTTAAACTCACATTTGCAGACATTTTGGTAACATGGAATTGGCCTGCCAACAGGCCTGGTGCCTGAAGCCAGCTCCCCATAGAGCACATCCTTAGGGACCCTGTCATCTTCCCTTATGTTATCTCTATATATGTTCTATATATTTCTATTAAACAAAGACAATTAAAAGGTTTAATATTGAGACTCCAAGGGTGAGGCCACTCTTTAAAACATGGAGGTAGGCTGGCTGCCCTCCCTGTCCCTGAATTCCACCCTGACATTATCCATCCTCTGCCAGGGTAACCTGTTCTCTTTTTCTACAGGCCATTAAGTGATGTTGGCAGAGTCATTGCACCTGGCTGTTTTCTGTTTGGTTATCTTTCCCCCCCCCCTGTTTGTGTGCTTTCCCCACACGCTTTGAATGCACAAGGACAGCAGGCTGACTTCATCAACAGAGTATAGAAATATAATCAAGCTGACGAATCCAGGCGATATGTTCCTGGCGCAGGATAGCCCACTGCCATGCAAAGACAGACTTTAGCAACAGCTATAAAAACAGGCGTCACAAGCCCTGAATATCAGAGCTCTGAGCTGTGAAAAGACAATGTGTAAGGCAAAACCAGAAGATGTGCATTTGCTGGGGTGGGAGAATGATCACAACACAGCAAGAGACTTGCTGGGAGAACTGTAGCTCAGTGGAACAGCAAACTCTTTTGCAAATGGACACTCCCAGGTGCAATTCTTAGCATTTCCAGGTAGGGATGGGAAAGACCCATCTCAAACCCAGGAGGGCCACTGCTGTTCAAGAGTAGACAATCCTGGAGTAGATGAACCAATGATCTGACTTAATATAAGGCATCTTGCTAATGGGCGTTTGAAGCAGATGGAAGAGAAGTGTTTTAATGCTGAACATATCTGGTGCCATCTTTGACAATTCTTAGGGCCATTGCACACATTTTTTGAGCTACATGCAAGGTATTTGGGGCAACACCCCTATAAATGATAATGTGAATATGAGTGATGTGTTTGAAAATGTATGGACTCTGCAGGTAGACTCTGAAGGAACCAGATCTGGCAGGAGCTTTGCTGAATGTAAAGCCTGAGCATATAACTTATGGGTGAACTTGCCCTTACATGCTCTCTGTAAAACTATTCCTCTCCTTGCCAAAGCCATATAATGATGAAATGTGGTTGTACACAACCCCCTTCACAACCATAATTACCAACCACATACTTTTCAAAAAGAACGCTATACTGTTTAAATCTTGGCTTACATGGCACAACTTTTATGTACAAAATTATGCAGAGTAGAACAAAGCACAATATTAGCACGTATAAATAAAACAAAACTCCAAGTACCTTCAATAAAATAAAATGCTGGCTAATTATTTAAACAATTGCATTACAATCAATGAAGCAATCTGATGATCAGCAATTTATTAGACCATTTCTTTTTTCCAGATACTGCAAAATACAAAAAAGAGACATCCTATTTTAGGAGCAAACTCTGTAACATGGTAGGCCAATTGCTTTATTTTGCTGTTGTTAGCATGGAAAAACTGCTTTGGTAGAGGGTGAATAGGAGCAATATAGTGGGGTCAGAAGCTAAACATTTCTCTAGTCACTGTTTCTCTACTCTGGATCACCCCTGCTGCTTCTCTGCTGCCAATTACTGCCACCAGAAACATCTTTTTACATTTGTGCATAACTTAATTGTTTTAATGAAAGAAAAACTGGGGTCAACTATCCTTAATGGAAAGGGAAGTCAGTCAGTTTTCATATGAACAAGTAATAGGTCCACTGAATTTGTACTCTGTGGTTGCAATTGCATTCTAATGTGGGCAAGAGATACTACTCTGAGGCATTTTTTCCCTATCAAATTCTTGAGAATACCAAGGCAGCCTTTTTGCGTTACTGTATTTTATTGGATACAGGTAAGGTCTGTTTTAATGCCACCATAAAGAAACTAAACTGGTAGCAGCAATGAGAGTAAATTCATGCTTTTAGCTTTATGATCTGTTTTGAAGGGCTTAAAACATGTCAAACACTAATAGAAATTGCTATAATGGGAGGGGCTCTCACTGATCACAGAAAGGATCTGACACACTGTTACTACAACAGGAGGTGGTGTGAGCATCTTTAGGCACTGGGATCCTGCAGAGTTTGATATGAAAAGGATGCTCTTTTGAAATGGTTTAGAGATCCTGAAAAAAATTACTGGTTCGGTATCTCAGAAAACCTCTGATCATACTTTGAAGACGAGCTTTAAACTCACACAATGTTTCCCCCCCACCTAATTAGAAAAAGAGCTAATGTTCTAATGATTCTCTCAGCGTCCAGAGTAGTGGGGATACATTTCCAACAACCCCTTTGGCTTCAGAGTTTGAAATATCAAGTCCTATATTGTGTTTAACCAACAGAGGCCATGACAACATCCACAGGAAGTTCTTCTCCACTCCGTGCTGTGACTTGCATTGTCACAGTGTCTGTCAGGACAAGACGAGAACGGACCAAGAGATCATGGCCACCCCGAAATACACCTGTAGTAGATATGAATACAACAATAGCATTAGGCTATCCATCAGCATGTCAAATGCTTAGAAGAATTCTGCATCTCTGCTACCTCGAGAGCATTAAACTAAAATTCCAAAGAAACATACGACACTTAAAAAGAAAAAGACCTGAAAATTAGAATGGCTCTTACATTAATAATGTTTTGGCTAACAGTTATCCAGTGTTATACTTTGGCGCTGTGGGTAAAACCTCAGTGCCTAGGACTTGCCGATCGTATGGTCGGCGGTTCGAATCCCCGCGGCTGGGTGAGCTCCCGTCTTTCGGTCCCAGCTCCTGCCCACCTAGCAGTTCAAAAGCACCCCTAAGTGCAAGTAGATAAATAGGTACCGCTTTATAGCGGGAAGGTAAACGGCGTTTCCGTGTGCGGCACTGGTGCTGGCTCGCCAGAGCAGCTTCGTCACGCTATCCACGTGACCCGGAAGTGTCTTCGGACAGCGCTGGCCCCCGGCCTCTTAAGTGAGATGGGCGCACAACCCTAGAGTCGGACACGACTGGCCTGTACGGGCAGGGGTACCTTTACCTTTACTCAGCCATACCCATTAGGATCACCACAAAAATTGAAACCAATATATTAGCACAACTCCTCACCTGCCAGGTACAAGGCATGAGAGTTCTTGTTTTCAGGCACTTTATCTGACCGCTCGCAGGGCTGCATCCCTAGAAATTTGACAATATTGCCTACTGCCTCTGTGGAAAGAAATATATTGGGACCATATCAGAATCCAAGAAAAAATACTTAAAAACTCGGGGGGGGGGGAGGGAGAAAGCATATCAAGAGCCCCACAAATATTACCTTCCAGTGTTTTCACTGTGGATAACGTGAAAGTCTCCTCTTTTTCAAACTCATCGCCAACTTCTTCCCAGGCTGCTCCAAAATTTGGCTTCAGAACCCTTTGGATGTGATCTGCTATGGTCACCTCAATGTCTTCCAGCTAATAAAAAAAAAAGGATATGTGAATCGATACCACTCTGTATCAAGCTTTGCCATTGGCTCATGGAGCAGCTGTAACCCCCGTCACATTAAGGCATCTCTCGCCTTCCAATTTAAAGGAGGGTTTGGAGGCTGCTTCAAAGGGCACTTAGCAGCTTTAAGACAGGAGAATGTTTTAAAGGGCTTGCATTTTTCCCCAGGTTGGCCACCCACCAATCATGTGCCATGTGACTGACAGATCAGCAACCATACCCACCTGCAGAATTTGGCCCACGAGGCTGATCCTAATGAGGATTTGGGCCCTGGAGTCAAAAAGGTTCCTCACCCCTGGATTTAGAGGGATGCTGGCCAAGGTGTTCTGCATTTTGCATAGTACTCTATATGCCTGTGACTCTGCCTCCTCTTCTGTACTCCCTCTCCTTTACCAGCCATCTAGTCTTCAACATCCCTTAATGCCCGTCTTTCCATAGAATCACTGGGCCAGCACCCAAATCACACGCTGAACGGAAGAGTGGTGCGCCCTTCCAAGTCACACCATTACAAACATCAGCTTGCCAGATGGAAGGATTGCCCCTCTTCTGATGGTTTTCCCGACCATCCCCTCCAAAAGCCAATGGAAGAGGTGGTTGGAAAAGCCCTGCTGCGCAAGCGGGAGCACTTCCACTGGGCTTCTGCTGACAGAGTTCATCCCATGAATCATGCCCGCTATTTGTGAGTTGGGTGCTCTACAGCCTTTACCAAAAGTGTCACAGACTTTGAAGACACTCGAACTCGGAACGCAAGGGAGAAACGTGCTAAGAGGAAGGCACGCTTGGCAAATCCACACCGCGATCAACTCCCGCCCGGGAACCAATGTCCCCAGTGTGGAAGGACATGTGGGTCCAGAATTGACCTCCACAGTCACTTACAGACTCATTGTTAAAACTTATGGAAGACAATCTTACTTAGCTACAAGTGATCGCCAAAGAAGAAGAAGAAGAATATGCAAAACAGACTGATCTGCATGATATTTCCTGAGGGTGAGGAAGGAAGCTTGGTCTCCTCATAACACAAGGCCTCCCTGTAGGGAGCCTGACTCACATTATGGTCTGCATATGAAGGAGGGGCTTGTGCTGCCCTTCCAAAAAATAAATTTGCACACCAGCCAAAAGAGAGAGAGAAAGAATATGTTTTGAGCCTTTAGCAGCATGATGCAGCATGTCATTTATGTTTCTAATATGGCACAAATGCAGACTGAACGCTATCACTTTTTCCCATTCTTAAATGATGATCTTTTTAGTGGGTAGCTTTTGGAGCAGCGCACACAGCGGATGTGACTCTCAGCAGAATTGCCAGACACTTGGGCGGGGGTGGGGAGGAAGAAACAGAGAAGCAAAATCAATAGATCAGAGCCAGGTTCAAGTTGCATTGTGCAGTCTGCTCTTCAGAGCAGAAAAAAAGAAATGCCACCCTGTGTAATGGGACTGAAGCTGCAGGGAGAAGACAAGTCTTAGGGCAAGCAAAATCTCTGCACAGGAGCAGGTAAAACAGCCCAGGCTCGAAATATCAGTTGCATGGTTGGAGTAAAAAACAACAACTCCCAGGCAAGGGGGGAAAAGGAGGCCTCCCTGCAAAATGTTCCTGTAGGTTTGCCACTCAGAACACTTCCACGGTGCCCTAAGCTGACAGGAAATCAATGGCCCTGATACATAAAATGAAACCCACTGAGCATAAAAGCTGGCTCATCAGTATCCTCCACACAGCACATCAGCTACACTCTCTAGAGCATATTATTATGTATTCATACTTGAGGGGGGGATAGAGCCTTTGGTATTTTGTGTGCTGGGAAGGGTGTATTTTGCTTAAAAAAAAACTTCCTTACCCAAAAGATTACAAGCAAAACAGCTTTGCTGGATCATTTTATCCATGAAATGTGGGGCTAGAACAGGGAGCTCAGAGTAGTCCTGCCCCAGGGAGATGTCACAGCCTTCAAGTAAATGGCTGCCAACATTCAGCTGGTTATAAGCCAGGTCTGTGTGTGAGCAGCTGGTGACAGGACTTTGACACTTAGCCATCTGGACATGCTGAGACTGAACAGCCTGTTAGCTCAGAAGCTGGTCAATCCATCCTCTGGCCGATGAGACAGGGTTTCTAATGCATTTGTTAGATCGAGCCACAGCTCCCCAGAGGAGGTCGGGGGGCAAAGCTATGTCACCCTGGATGGCCTTGCCTTGGCTCACATTTCACCACCTGACCAGGAGACAGTGAAAAAGGGACAGGAAAGTAGCTAAATCTCCTCTTACCACATATTCGTCCTCATAGCCCTCTTCCTCTGCTTCACCGGTGTTCGGGTCACAGTCCTTGACAGTGAATTTCATCATGCAGCTGAACGTACAGGCCACTGCAGAGGGGGAAAAAAAAATCAAGCACAAAGATATGTGAAATGTACAAGTTAATTTATATTCCTGTCTCAGCTCCTAGGTTCCAGTCTGCCTATTTATTAAAAAGTCACTGAGGACCGAGAAGAGTGCTTGTAATGTTCTAATTTCCCAACAAGACAGTTCTCCCCTAGACAGAAAAGTCAAATTAACCTACCAACCTCACTCAAGGTAAACAAGGTTTTTCCACAGAAAGGGTGTCTAGAAATCTTTAGGCCTACAATTCACACACTGTTATTATAGGCTTGTGTCCAATGCAGTGCTAATAAACTGTCCCATCTGCACAAGGATTTACACTGGCACAATGGTACATTCCCCTTTCTCTCCAAGCATGCCTCTAAATCTGTTCCAGGATCCCCCCAGCTCCTATTTGGAGCTTTTTAGTCGGGTGCAGGGCATGAGCGGGCAAAGTCAGTCCCACTGTGCAAAACAGATCCTTGCACTGACAGGACCGAGCACTGCATTTGAGACAAGTCTTCAAATAAAAAGTATGTGAATTCTCAAAAGTCATTTAACATCTGTTAAAATGGACAGGGGCTGCAAGCTCAGAACTACAAGGCAGCTTGGTCTGACTGAGAAGGGAAGAAAACAGAGAAAATCTTGTTACCTGCTGTTGGGTCCTCTTCGGGCAATGCAATCAATGTATAGCAAGTGCCAGGTTGGTTGTACAGCAAACTTTTGGCCGGTATGTAACCAATGACCTCATATGCCTCAGTTGGCTCCATCTGCACTGTGACATTTTCCAGGATCTGATCATTCAGGGTGTTTGTGCAGTCAAACTATCAGGGAAAATCAAGGAACGTCATGGCACAAAATACTGAATGTACTTTACTGTGCTGTAATGTAAAGTTTGGGGTCTGTTTATATAAAAGCATTTCTATGTCACTTAATCTTTCTTTAAAAATAATTCTGAGCAATATACAACACAAAAACGAAACAAAAAATACAACATAAAACCAATTGTTGGTATTTGTCTGTCTCAAGAGACAACGGAGTGTCCCGCGGGGAGCAAAGCCAGGCTGTCAGAGAATCACAGCAACCTGCTGTCACTGCAGAGACCAGAAACTCATAACTGCTGCCTCCTCCCCATGTTATTTTTGCTGTGTTAGCAGCACTGGTGACCTCTCCACGGCGCAAACCTGGGCACTATGTATGGAGATCCTGGGCTCAGTAAAAGGGTAATATAAAAGTAATATATAAAAACAAAAATTCAGGGGATTTACATTAAGATAGAGTATGATCTTAGAGATTAGGGAAAACCTGGGCCAAAATATGTGCCTTTATAAGATATCTGAAGTGACTGGTGGTTGCTGCTTCAGAGGGAAGTGTGTTCCATAATATAGGGGCAATAGCGGAAAATGCCCATTTTGGGGGCACCATCCTATAACATTCTGTAGGGTGAGATATGCAGAGGATATAAACGATCTTGCTGGTTTACAGAGGAGTAGGCGGTCTTTCAGGTTAACTGGTTTCCAACAATAGTTTTCAAAGACACACATAGTAAGACCCATATTTAAGGCGATAACTGCAGAAGGCACCTGCTTCAGTGCATCTGCAGACATAGTGCCTGCACTGGTCCTGGGTTGACCCTCCACACCCAACTAAGCTGTAGGCCAGTGCAGTTCTTGAGCCAGCATAGGCACAGAGCCTGCTTCCATGAAGATCCAATTTCCATATACAGTAACTCACAACTTACACACATTTAACTACTGTATTCAGCTTTAAGTGCTTGGCAAGCAATCAATCAATCAATCAATCAATCAATCAAATAAAAAAAATGGATGGAAAAGAGGCATATTTCCAGGGGGAAAAGACTTTGGCAATCCCACCTGCCATGCCATGGAGCTCCATGAGTTTTGACAATACACGATTTTGGCTTTACACCCTATCCCCGGAACATAACCCCAGTGTAAGTTGAGAGTCGCCTGCATTGGCTTCCTCTGCTACAATATTTCTTGGGCTGAAACATCCTTAAGAATGGCTTTCCACCCTCCAGCATCACCACTGAAGTGCACATTTCCCAAGGCATATACAGTTTCAGTAGTAAAACAAATCTGCATATATTTTAGGATCAGCATCAAAAGTGGTTCTTAGCATTGTAATGGGGTCAGGTAGACACCCACTAGGACATCTCCCCATCTTTCAGATACGAAAAGGAACCTGTGCCCTGCCATGAGCTAATCCAGCCTACCCTCGTGGAGCTGTGCTGCATGCACCAATCATCTGATCCTGCTTAGCTGAGGGAAATCCTCTGGTCTGAGGCCTCTGGGAGGGACAACCCCAAATGAATCATTCTAGGCACCAGGCCTCCGTGTTATTTGCATGCCCCCCATTCTCCTCCTCCAGTTCAGCCACAAGAAGATTGGAAGGTTCTGCTTCTGTTTCTAATGAACCACGGTTACTCATTTTGTTTAAACCCAGACCCAATGTGGTTAAGTCTTAGGGCAGGGATGGGGAACCTCAGAACCAGGGACCAAAGGCAGCCCTCTGACTAACTAAACCTCTTGAGACTTTACCCAGGCCACAATCTCCTCACCAGCCACAGCCCTGCTTCGAACCTTCTGAGTGTTTTATCTCGCGAGACTATGTCCTTGACCTCTAAGTATGCCTCTTGACTGCCTGGATGGAGGACAGAGAGGTGTGCAAGCATATGTAGAATCACAGAACCATAGAGTTGGAAGGGGCCCCCAAGGATCGTCTACTCTAGTCCAACCCTCTGCAATGCCGGAATCTCAGCTAAAGCATCCATGACAGATGGCCACCCAACCTCTGCTTAAAAACCTCCAAGGAAGGAGGGTCCACCACCTCCTGAGGGACCCCGTTCCACTGCTGGAACAGCTCTTACTTCCTAAAAGTTCCTCCAGATGTTGAGTCAGAAACTCTGTTCTTGTAATTTGAATCCATTGGCCAGGGTCCTAGCCTCCAGAGAAGGAGAGTCACTTATGTGTATATGATTGGCAGCAATCCTTTGTATGTGGGTGCTGAGTGCAATTGGTTGGTTGACAGAGGTAGTGAATGATTGTAGTGACTGGGGAACAGATGTTGTGAGCGTGAGACTGGGCAAGTGGCGGTATGAAAAGGGTGTTTTATGTCTGTTGGAATTCTACCTTATGCTGCCTCAAATGCTATTTGACTTTATTTATACTGATACTGTTTTCATGGATATGGAAACCATATTTGGCGCTTATTTGAAGGTAAACCATGTGACATTTTTATTGCACCCACTGTGCATATATTTTACCGTAAACAACTCTGAGATGTCCAGACATTAACCCATCTATAAATGGAAGAGACTACTGTCACTACTCGTGTATTTTCAACGCAGTACTCACCTGGAACACCATGTGGTTTGTGAACGTGTGCTTGGTACAGTGGATCACATACTCCGTCTCCAATTCTGTAAGAGCCACTGGCTCGGAAGAGGACTTGAACAGCGGGCCGAGTTCTCGGAACTCTGGGATGGCAGCTAATTGTTCTAAAATACAGTTTTTAAAAAGGCAACAAATAGGTTTCCATTCACTGTCAGAGCATGATTTCTAAAGTCAAGTGCAAGGACACACAGAGAGAGAAAGAATTGGCAAGTGGAACCTATTCAAGATTTCTGCTCTACTTAGACCATAGCTTTAGGGGAATAAACAACTCCCAGCCTCAGTTCCCTCATCTGTAAAACATGGATAAAAACATTTAAGTACAGAACAACACAAGAAGAGCCTGCTGAATCAGGAGAATGGCCCATGTAGACCAGCATCCTACTCAATTATGAACAAGTTAAAGATCACAGGTCCCAGTACTGATCCTTGGCGGAATTCCATTTATTCCTGCTCTCTGCTTCTAGCACCTAACCAATTCTTGATCCAGGAATTGCTTACTCAGCAGTCTTTGGTGAGGTACCTTGTGGAAAGCTTTTTGAAAGTCAAAGAACACCACAGATCACCCCTATCTATGCTTGTTGACACTGTCAAAGAACTCTTAATAGGTTTGTGAGAAAGGATTTTCCCTCATAGAAGCCAAGCTGGTTCTACTTCAGCAAGACTTGATCTTATATGCTTGGCTATTTTATCCTTAACAATACTTTCCACCAGTTTCCCCCCAAACAAACATTAAGCTAACTGACCTATAACTTTCAGGATCCTCGCTGGATCCCTTTTTTAAAAATGGTGTTACCTGAGAACTGGAAAGTAGCTAATGTATGCAGGTTGATCTGAGGGACAAGTTTCACATTTCTGTTTAGAAGATCAACAATTTCACATTTGAGTTCTTGCGGAGGATGCCATCTGGAACTGGCAATTTGTCCATTTTTATTTAGTCAAAGTTGGCCCACAAGTGGGGGAGATAAGGATCTAGCCCAGTGGCCAGATCTAGTTCCTCCACCTGCTATATACATTAAAAAGTAGTTGATCTTAACTCTACTCTCCCCCAAAACATTTCTAGTTAACACACTTCATCTATCAGAAAAATCTCAGATATCGAAAGACTGAGGGAATAATCCTACAAATTGCTCAACTGTCACATTCTATACTCAAATACAAGGCGATATCATACCTTGGAATATTTCTTGTCTGGTTGCTGCCACTTTCTCTGGCTGCTTGGTGGCAGACACCGGAGCATTTTCTGCAAATGGAGCAAGAAAAACACAGCACATGTACAGTAATTCACGTTTGCTAACCTGAAGCTCTGTTGTGGTAATTCAAAAGGGGAATCAAACCTCTTACAGAGAAACAGCACCTTATTTTTGGTGCTCATTTAGAAAACCAGGACAGGAGGTGGGAGGAGAGCCAGAATTGGAACAAACAGCAGGTTGATTACAGTAATGGAAGAAGATGGCACCAATATTCTGATCAGGTAGCAGCATAAGGGGAAAAGAAAACGGTCCCTGATGTCTTAGCAAGATGAAACTGAAGCAATTCATAATATCGCAGGTGCTGCTGTGAAAAGGGCCCATGAAATTCAAGCTGGGCCACCTTGAAAGGGCAGAGAGAACTGGAAAGTCCCCAAGAAACGTGCTGTGCTAGACACTGATGAGAAAGTTTGTCCCTTGTTATTTCTACAATTACCTGTTCTTTGTTCAGTGATGGGGGCAGTTGCCAAGGGAACAGACTTCAGGTCAAAGGGTTTTTCAGAAGGATCCAGTGTATATTGGTGTAGCGCCCTCTCCAGGCCAGGGATGGATACAGTCAATCCTGGAGAAGAGAAAGGGTGACCAAAATTGAACTTAACAGGAAACCAGGGGCCTCTTTGTCGCCTTATAAATCAGAGCTCAATTAAGTCTCCACATCTGCTCTTCCATATGGCCTCATCCCAAAACCTGCTTAAAGGGCCTGGCTTGGGGCCAATTTAATCCCCTACAGCTTAAATGGGTTGCTGATTGAGCTAGGAGAAACTATCCACTGAGGAGATATTGCTATCCAGATGCAGAGGAACCAAATGCTTCACTGCAAATCCATTCCTGATGAATATCTGCATTTCAGGGAGCTGGGGACACTCATAACCTCAAAAGGGTACCTATGGAGACGACTCTCCTCCTGAGAGCTGCGTACAAAACAACTGGAATGCATCTGTTCCCATTCAGGGCTCAGGGAGCACAGAGGCTCTGCCATCCCTTATTATACAATCTGCACAGGAAGAGAAGCAGATCTGGAAATCAGGCTAAAATCTCCATTTGCCCTTCATGCTACACAAAGCCATCTCCGCTGACCCACAGATTAGACAGACTTGAAAAGTATCAGTAAATGCTGGCAACCAAAAGGGAGCCTTCAGAGCTATCCATCAAGCCTTCCCCTACTACACCATCAATTCATCAATGCTGCACAATGCACTTTGGTGTCCTAGCTTGGCAGGTGTGGAAATAAGGGGTCATCTATTGCCTTCCTTCCTGTTCCTTCTTTCTAACCAACCCCTTGGCTGAGAGGAACTGCATGTTCTACGTTAAAGGTGGAAATGATGAGCTGGTTGGAAGGTGACGGTTACTAGGTTGGAATAGAAGGGAAATCAATCTGCATGGCCAGCCCTACTGTTAGGCAAAGTGCCTTGGGCAGCAGATATTGGAGTAGCTGGGCAGCAGGGTTCAGTCCCTCCTAAGCCTCCTGGCCATTCCCTTCCATTGGAGGATAGACCTGCACATATGCTGCACAGCCTCTTTTGGCTCCCCCAAAACTAGCCAGCTGTCTCATATGTAGCATAGGATGCTATCCCATCACCAGTGTCAAGGTTCAGAGGCCAGGCCAGTTGGCTTCTCCATGTGGAATGGGGAGTTGGGAGGAGAAGGGGCAGACTTGTGCTTCACTTCAGGCAGGTAAACATTTTGAGCTGCCCTTGTCAGTCTGTATATAGCTTTGGCAAGAGCCAATGTGGTGAATTTTAGCAAAAATAAGAGTTAAGTAAGCTACGGGTCTCTCTTCCTTTTTCATTCCCCCCCCTTCCTTCTACTTTATTTTCTCACTGAAACTTTCCAATAAAATATAATTTGTTTTTTAAAAAGTAAGCTAGGGTGGCATTGTTTTGGGGTGGTAGGGTGAACAAGCTGAGAATTTTAAGTTTCCCGAATCAGAGCTAAGGATTTATTCAGATGTATGCATGACCTTCCTTTTGGTTTGTCTTATGTGACTGTGAACAATTTTGATAGCAGTATAAAATTTGCCGTGAGACTTTGGGCTACAAAACAGCTTCCCAATCTAACCTGAGCAGTTTTTAAAGTCAGTTTTTTTAAAAAAAGAAAAGAAAAATACAACAGAAGTTTCAAGCCAAACTACAGCACCTACAATTCTAACTGTCAAATCTTTGTCACTGTCTTCAAGATTATTATTATTATTTTTTAAAAAACCTCCCCCAAACCCCTGCTCCACATTATGGCAAATTCTAGCCGTAAATGTGACTTTTACGTTTCACATGCCCCCAAATTGGCAGCTTGGTTACCGTTCAGGATGTAGCCAGCATTGAGGGCTTTTTGTTTCTGCTCCAAGACACTCAGGTAGAACGTGGTCCTGTCTCTCACTTCATTGTCATCATCCATCACACACCTGAAATCGAGATCAGAGAGCTCTGCTCAGTGGGACTCACTTAAATTCACATGGACCTATCCAAGTTAATCCAATCCAGATGGTCAATAAAGAGGATAGCATGCTCTGTGGTGAAGGGATCAGCAGCATATATAGCCTGTCCCAGTGCTGACAACTGTCAGGAAACAGCTGCTTACTCAGAGCCCCTTAAGACTGTTTTGTGGCGCCAAATCCAAGAGTGAATCTGCAATGGGTGGCCACCTCAGTGCATCCGAGCCTGGGAACAATCCCTTCTTTCGACCAAGGCATCTGTGCTGACCCTGCTAAGCTCCTAATCTGCTGCAGAGACTAAGATCAGAGAGCTGCATCAGTGCACGCAACCCCTGCCCTCCTTCAGTCCTCCTTCTGGAAGCAAACCCAAGGCTGTGTCAGCACTTTTTGGTTATTATGTTTAGGCCTCTAACAGTTTTCCCCCATTCCATCTGTGGAAGTCTTATATTTTTATCTGGCATTTTCCAATTTTGCGTTTCCCTTCCTCCGGTTTTTATTATTTTGGGGATTTGCAAAGTGAGATGTTACTGCTCCCGTTAAAAATGTTTTGTTCATTTTCTTAAGCCTTCTGCACTGATTCTATCCTCAAATCCAGCCACCTGAAACCCTGATATCTCGATTCTGTCTGCTCTGCCTCTTTGGCCAGGGACACGGTTCCAACAGCAACAGTCCTTGCTGCAATGGTATAACAATAGCAACAACAATAATATTAATAATATAATTTACTATTTATACCCCGCCTATCGGACGGGGTTTCCAGTAGCACTGACCAGCCAGCCAGTTTTTCTAAGTCAGAAGGAAACCAGAAATTTAAAGCAGGTCTGTGCATTGTTTGCTTGGGGAAAATCAGCGGGACTTCCACGTCCAATCAGATTCCTGCAGGGAACTGTAGTCCATGCCAGCCCTCTCTGACCACAGAGCAGCAGGAGTAATTATGAAATCAGCTTAGGCCACACAGTCAGCATGTCTGGCTTTTTCCAGAGCTGTCTCAACAGCAAAAAAAACTGCCCATTTTTCCCAGGGAGAGTTTTTTGTGTTTTGTGTTAGATCTATGTGGTCATGCTGCTCTAATCACAACTCACCTCTTCAGCAACACGAGGACACTGGGGAGCATTTCTTCATTCTGAGCCCCAAATTTAGCCAGAGCACTCACAGCACCTGTAAGCAAGAAAGGAAAGAAGGATGATCAGCTGGAGAAGACAGTGTGGGAAGACCCTTAAAGCGGAAGTTTTCTACCTTTTTGGGTCCACGGCTCCCTTGACCAACTACCTTCTTTCTGCAGCACCCTTGTGGGGCTCAGGAGTCCAGTTGTGACACCCCTTCCCTGCAGAACTAGCAGCCTCTCACCCTTTTTTGAACACCTTCCCTTGCGAAGTATTCCCTCAGCCTCCTCTCTTCTTCTCTCTTCTTGGGAGTCCTCCAGAAAGCTGCAGCTGCTGCCCTGGTCTGTGATCTGCTTTCCCTGCCCCAAAGAGAGGTGCGTCCTCATACTGCCCCCCAGGGCCCTGGGAAGCACCCCCTGGCCAGCCCCAGAGGCATCATTCAGCTGGGGAGCTTGTAGCCAGGGCTGCTGCAATAAACAGTTGTGCAAGCCTTTGGGAGGCAGAGACGCGAGAGGGCATCGGAGGAGGGAGGGAAGGAGAGAGGGACAGAGGCCAGTGTTGCCTGCAGCACTCCTCACCATCATTCATGGCACCCCAGGGTGCCATGGCACACTGGTTGAAAACCACTGCCTTCAAGGTTTAGCCAAGCATGGAATAGGAATATATTCACAGGACTGAACCAGGAACAAATAGCTTTTATGTCATCATTAAAACCTCATATAACAGAAGTATCTGAACTATCCCTTGCAGCTGATAGCCTCTTGTAACATGTAAGGTATCATCGCTCTTTATCAGTACATTCTTTACGTCAGGAATGGAGAATCTGTGGCCCTCCAGATGCTGCTGAACTACAATTTCCACCATCCCTGTCCATTGTCCCTTCCAGCTGGGGCTGATGGGAGCTGGAGTCGAACAGCACCTGGAGACTTACAGGTTCCCCATCCCTGCTTCATAAGGATAAAAATGTTCAGAAGAAATCAAGCAATGTTCCCATTTTAAAATTTAAACCCTGGTCTCAAGTGACCATTTACCTTGATTTGATTTCAAGTCAGGAAAGTTCATCTACCCCCAACAGCATAAAGAGGAGGAGAGGCTGTCATGCTTTGCAGGCAGTAGGTCCCAGGTTCCAATCCTGACACCTCTGGACAGGAAAGACTCCTGCCTGCCTGAATCCTGGAGAGCCAGGCAGCCCAGACAATCCTGAGCTAGACCAACCGACAACCTGACTCAATAAGCTCCTTGTATGTGTGCATGTACCTGCCCGGACTTCCTCGTGTTCCAAGACGACTCTGTTGTAAATGAAACGAATGTACTTTGAAGGGTTGTTGGTCTTAGGCCCTTCCTGGCCCAGCAGGTGGAGAATGCGGGTGGCCAGGACGGTGAACTCGCAGTCCTCAATGAACTCGCACAGGTGGGAGAGTCCGGTTTCCTTGCTCTCAGAGTTCTCCTCAATGATGCCGATGATACATTCAACAATGGCTCGCTTGTACTCAAAGCCACCCTGGACAGGAACATGAATGAGTCAGGGTGAAAGCTCAGTGGAGGATAGTGGCTCTATTTTTACAGTACCTTTCTTAAAAAGAAAAGAAAAGCTACTGGGTAATAATGAATTTTCACCTGCATTTCAAGGCAAGAGGGTGTCAGGGCGCTTACTCATCTGCACTGTTTAGCAAAGAGTCTGGAATCTTTAGGCTTTTATCCTTTCGTTTTATAAAGGGACATCCTGCCACCTCCCCTGCCTGTTCCATTGCCCTGCTCCAACCAATTTGCATTTTTATAATTCTTTTGCTTGCTGCCTTCTGTTGGAAAAAGAAGACAGGATACCAAAAAGGGTTTCTCATGCATATGGCCGAGAATAAAAGCCTGAAAAAAGTGCAGAGACAAACTTTACTGGAAGGCACAGGTGCAAAAGCCTTAGGGCTGTTCAAGACAACCTGTTTATTCAGCATTCTTCCCAATTTGTCTGCACAAAGCTTATACAGAGATTAGATCAAGTCCAATCTGTGCTGAGCATTCGTGCCAGTTGGGTTGTTGTAGAGACAATGGGCATTCATCCTGCACTCATCCCAATTTGCTTGCTGGGTAGTTAGACATCTTCCCATTAATCATTTGTTCAACTCGCACTTCAGTGCACTTCCCTGCCACTTTCCAAATCGAAGAGTGTCCTTTTTAAATAGTGGATTTGTTGAGCTAGGGAGACAGAACACTTTAATCCACTTTAATTGCATAAAGCTAATGATCCGGCAAGCGCCTGAATCCCTTCCACAAAACACCGACAGCCTGGAGGCACCCTGAGTACAGCCTCCAGCATGCAGAGCGCTGGGTTTTGAAGCTCTGCATTTCTTCTGTTCCAAGCCGAAATCTTCTGCTGAAGAGTCCCCAGGGACTGGCTATAAATCACAGTGTTGGCAGGAAGATTTTCAAGAACAAAACTAAGGCACATATCAAACAGAATGGATGGACAGAGGTGGGACAGCCCATCAAGCAATAATATTTTCATGTCCATGAAGCCCCCAAATAAACAGAATATTGGGTTCTTTCATAAAATGGCATACTAGGAAAACAAGAGCATTTCATCTTCCCTGATACAACCAACAGCTGCGTATTACAAGTAGAATAGGCTATGTTTGCAGGGAAAGAGACCATTGTTTGCCCTATAGGATTTAAAAATGTGCTGCCTCATCTAAAGTTCGGTCCATATCTGAAGCTGCAGCCGTCTCAGATTGTTTGCCCTGGAGCCATTAGGAATAAACGGAATGGAAGGAACATCTGAAACCAGAATACTCAGGACGATACTCTCCACCCACACAAAAAGCTATCAGAACAGAACATTCCATTTTCAGAGGGAAAGAAAAATGAGCTTAAATAGCCGTAGTTTTATCCAGATCTTACTAGAAAGCAATACAACTGAAAATATTGCCAGCTGGTTAATATATTTAGAAAAACAGACACTGCATCAGATTGCTTTTTTGAAGAAGAAAAAAGTATCTGGAAAAATAATTGACTTCTGTCGGTGATCTGCCTGTAAAAATGGTTAAGGGGTAACTCATTCCTTGGCAAGCACTGTGGCATTGGCAAAGGAAAGAGCTGATACAACTCAGGCTGCTAATATGATTCCCAAGAGCAGATTTTTCGGGGGGGGGGAGTATGCTGAAATGGGCAACAACTGGCTGGGAGCTGGTGCCCATTCCAAAGGGGGTGGCAAGACAGGTGGCAACTAGCACCCAGGGCTGGCAAAACTAGCACCCACCTGTCAAATTTGGTCCACAAGGCCAATTCTGATAAGGACCTGGCCCATGGACCCAAAACATTTCCATTTCCCTAAGCTAAAATTTGGAGACAGGCTGACAGTTTAAAAAAATCTAACACCAAGCAGCACCTTAGAAAATCCCTCAACCCAAACTGCAGCCTTATTTACACATTAAACAGACTGCATAGAGCCCCCACTGTCCTCATGCGCACTTGTGTGCACCTGAACCATGTTGAGTGAGAAGGTCCGATGTGGTCTTCTAAGCAGGCTTGACTAATTGCATTTAAAAGTCTCCTTGTGACTGCTTTGCCTTATCAAGGTTCCCAGTCATGTGGAGGATTCTAAGGATGTTCACCAAATCAGTACAGCATAATCAGTAAGCAATGCTTTTCTGCAGGAAATGGTGAGTGGGTTTTAGCTAATACTGTATTGACAAGTATGTAACATGCCTGCAGTAGGCATCTGCCCTATGAGCAGTGGTAGCATCTGACTGACATTACTCAAGTGGGGAAATAATAAATTAATAATAATATATTTATACCCTGTCCATCTGGCTGGGTTTTCCCAGCCACTCTGGGCAGCTCCCAACAGAATATTAATACTCATCATAATCATAAAGTGATAAAAGATCAAACATTAAAAACTTCCCTAAACAGGGCTGCCTTCAGATGTCTTCTAAAAGTCAGATAGTTGCTTATTTCCTTGACATCTGAAGGGAGGGTGTTCCACAAGGCAGGCGCCACTACCGAAAAGGCCCTCTGCCTGGTTCCCTCTAACCTCACTTCTTGCAGTGAGGGAACCGCCAGAAGGTCCTCGGCGCTGGACCTCAATGTCTGGGCAGAATGATGAGGGTGGAGACGCTCCTTCAGGTATACTGGGCTGAGGCTGTTTAGGGCTTTAAAAGTCAGCACAAACACTATGAATTGTGCTCGGAAACATACTGGGTTAAAAGACTTCTACATCGTATCAGATTCCTGCAGTCCAAGCTGTAAGGTGAAGGTCATATTTCTGTCACGCAGGCTTCCATTTTGGGTAGCACAGGTTGCAGGAGAAAGATTGCCCCAAGCCAATAATGAGGAGAGTGATGCAAATGGCGACACTTACCTCTTCACGCAGCATTGTGAAGAGGAAGTTCATGAGGACGGCATGCTTGCGTGGATACTTCTGACAGAGGGCGCTGATGGCCTGTACCACAACAACCTGGAAAGAACATGGAATGCAACAAGCACACTGAATGACCGGAGTTGCGTCTCACACCAGCCCACATCCCACAAACAGAAAAGCTCAATAAAAGCCCCAAGCATGAGTCTTTCCATACCTTGAACTCGTCGGAGATTTCAGACATAAAAGAGGAGATCTGCTTCATGAGCCGGTCAATGCTACTTTCGCTGCCGGTTTTCAGCAGGGTGGTGATGGCCAGGGTAGCAATGCTGCGGTTGGAGTCTGTGACCAGATTCTCCAGATCAAGATTGCAGGCAGTCACAGCAGACGGGTGCTTCATAGCAACCTAGTGGCGAGGAACAGAAAGAAGAATTTGCTCCCTGCAGGCTGGCTGAATTTGTAAGCATGAATATAGAGTATCTTCAATACAAGAGCCCCTGGGAGAGTTCACAACACAGCACAATGGGCAAGAATCATAAAGTTTCTGACACAAACTGCCATTTATTAAACTGTTTTTGTTGTGCTCCAACTTCAGCTCTTGTCTTGTTATCTTTGAGCTACAGTTCCACCTTCCATACAAAATGCAGAGTTTAATGCTTTGGTTTAATGCCAGTTTAGCAACACATATCTTCACAGTTGATCCTGGCTAGTGGAACACTGACCCAGATTTTCTTGTCTGGGATACAAAAAGGAGCTGCGACTTAAAATTAAGACAGTGTGCAGGGAAAGAAGTATGTGGGCCTCAAAACTTGTTCCCAGTTTCTTAAACCACAGTTCAGAAAACCAAGAAATGGACACATAACCAGAGAGGTGGTTCAAAGAACCGGTGAAATCTGTTCCTATCAGCTGGTCTCATAGGATCAATGGCACTTCTTTTTTATTATTTCACCTATCCAAGGACTAAGAATTTAGCCCTACCCAAGCAGGGAAACCCAACTGGTCACAGAGTTCTTTGAGCCTTCTTACCTTGTTGAGGGTTCGAACTGCTGCATAGCGAAGTGCTGCCTTGGGTGAACTGCAGAACAATTGTAACACTGTAAAATGAATAATAATAATGATAGAGTATTATTGGCAAGATAGTCACACCAGCCATACTGCAATGATTCAGTTCACAGTCTGCATAAGGGGTGAAACTGGAACACAAGAAGTTTGCAGAAGAGACATATTTCTCTCATTCCCAGAGGAGGCGAATGCACATTGCTTTGTCCACCAGTCACCAAATCTAAGCTGGGATAGCCAATGTGGTGCCCTCAAGATGTTCCTAGACTACAATTCCCATCATTCCTGACCATTGACCAGCCTGCCTGGTGGTGATGGGAGTTGAGGTCCGACAAAATCTGGGGGGCACAATGTTAGCTACCCCTGGTTGATGCTGTCTGTGGGAGATGACAAGACATGACCAGGTTTTTGTTCCTGCATCAAAACACTGTTCATCCACTCATTTATGCCTCTCTTAATATTCACAGTGGATTTTGATTTCTTTTAGAGTACACTTTTCTTAGCAAATATTATATTATTAATTTATTATTATTATAACCATTACTACTACTACTACTATTATTCCACCACCCTATACCCGAAGGTCTCAGGGCATTTTACAGGGGGGGAAACAGACTATAAAACCACAAAGTACATAATCAAAATACAAACAACCACCACCCAATAACACCCCCTAATACATTTTAAAAGGGCATAGAATGTCAGTTAAATCAAGCAAAGGCCAGGTTAAAGAGGAACATTTTGGCCTGGTGCCTAACATTAGGCAAAGGCTTTCTTACATCACATATCCAATCTTCCCAGGGCCCAAATGCACCATCTCAATCAATGAGCCTGCCTGCATGTCACTTTGCTGATGCTATCCTACAGCACTCACAGGCCTGCTTGGCAACACACAGCAACCCTCAAGATGCTGGAGCATCCTACACTGAATCCAGCAAGGGAGTGCTTTTTATTGACAGCGAGACTTCAGTTTTACGACCAGCAAGCCAAACTGGCCTGCGTCCAGCAAGCCTCCCTTTCCTTCAACAATTAAAAGACTTACCAGACACAGCCGGTGCCAGTTCTTTAGCCGAGCAGCTGGGCAGGTTAACAATGGCAGATGCAGCTTCATAGACCACCATCTCGTGCTTGTTCCGTAAGCAGCTCTCAATGAAATCAAACAGGGGGCTGTCACGGCTAGGACACCAAAAGAGGAGGAAGAAGAAGAGGAGGAGGAGTCAGGTTCCCACACATAGGCCAACTGCTTGACTTAAAAACTTGCATGGCTGTCCACTGGGAAAGCAAACTGAACTTTCGGAAGTGACCCAACTGCTTGGAGGTGTATTATCCACTTGAAGGGGGGCGATTTGCCACCATTGAGCGGCATATGAGCTTTAGAGGGTGGGAGGAATCAGATCTGGTTGCAAGGCAGTATCATCAAAGGCCATGCCTCCCAGCCCAAATAGCTTTGCTTGCTCTCAGTGCTGTTCTAATGCAGCCAAAACTGATTGGGGAAAGGACACAGCTCAACGGTAGAGCATCCAACCTGCAAGCAGAAGGTCACAGGTTCAATCCCAGGCATCTCCAGGTAGGGTTGGGAGAGACTCCCGCCTGAAATCCTGGAGAGCTGGTGCCAATCAGTGCAGGCATTACTGGGCCAGATGGACCAATAGTCTGACTCAGTACAAAGCAACTTCCTATGTTCCTATAATGGACTTCCTACTTTCTTAGAAGCAGGAGACCTCCCCTCCCCCCATTTTATGAAGAAGAGTTTGGATTTGATATCCCGCTTTATCACTACCCAAAGGAGTCTCAAAGCGGCTAACATTCTCCTTTCCCTTCCTCCCCCACAACAAACACTCTGTGAAGTGAGTGGGGATGAGAGACTTCAGAGAAGTGTGACTAGCCCAAGGTCACCCAGCAGCTGCATGTGGAGGAGCGGGGAAGTGAACCCAGTTCACCAGATTATGAGTCCACCGCTCTTAACCACTACACCACACTGGCTCTCTAACGTAAGAAAGGTAAGACTTGCAGGTGCTTTGGGGAAACTTTCCAATACTTAAAAAAAGCCCAAAATCAAATTTGAAGAACATTTGGTGTAGCACTACGCAGAATGTTTTTTCCTGGGATGTAAAAACAATAGCAAGCAGTAGGACTTACCTTCCAGCTTCTTCTTCCAGCAGTTTGCTGGCCACTCGGATCATCATGCAATAGGCAAAAGGCGATTTTAAGCCATGGCGCATGAACTTGTTCAGCATTTTGTTGACAGCCAGGCGGTCATTTTTGCGCACGTGATATAACAAGCCAAGGGCATGATACTGGAAGACATTAAGGAGAGGAAAAAATGGGTCGTATCAGGGTCAAGGTTATTTCCACGTTTTTTTGGCTTCACAGGCTAGAACCCCATCAGATCCTAGCTATCAGGGCCAAATGTGACAGGTGGGTGTGGTAGCCCACCTGTCAATCACCAGACATCACTGTGATGTCAAGGGATTGGGCACTTTGAAGTCCCAAAGCTGAGACTTCAAAGCACCACACTGTGCTTAGAATCATAGAATTGTAGAGCTGGAAGGGTCGCCTATTTTAAAAAGAACCCTACGTGGTGCCTTAAAGTGCACAAAGCTTCACCTTTGTGCCACCCACCAGCCAATGGGCAGAAGAGTCTGCACTTTGAGGTTCTTGCTTATGAACTGGCAGCCATATCTCTACCTGCTCCCCCACCTAACATCACATAGGACATCATGTATAAGGCAGGTTGGTGTGCTTTGGGGGGCAAGGACTTGTAGGGCACATATGAACCCCTGGTGGGTCAAGTTTAGCCAGCGGACGAAGGGTTCCCTTTCCCTGCCACAAATCAACCCAGAAGCCCACACCTAAAACTCAATGTCATTTTTAAAAAATGACTGAAAGTGGCTTTAATATTCTTACCTGGACCATGATATTATCACTCGAAGCTGCCTCCTGAGCCTCATTCACCCAGCGTTTTACCACATCAAAGCTTGTTTTCAGAAGATGCTGTCAAGAAAAATAACAACAAGGAGGCACATAACGAAGTGGCCTTTGCAATCCAAATAAGGGTCCTTCCAGCAGAAACAAGGGAAGACCCCAGAAAGATCTGGCACAGGTTTTGGGCTCTATGAGCTGCACATGTTAATGTTAGCCTATCACCACCACCCACTTTCCATCTGTTGCTTGAAACAGTCTCAGATATCAGGAAGGCAATGCTTCTGAAAAGCAATTTGGCAAAAGGTATAAATTTCAGAACGTCACTGCTTCTTCCCCAAAATACAGCAATGGCCCACCAAGGGACCAAGAACAGAGACACTCTGAGTTCCTGGAAAGAAGTACTTCGCCGATCCTAGCTTTTCACAAAAAGGAGCGTATACCCTTATTATTACAGATGGTCAAACAATGTAACACTCCTCCTATCCGAACACAGGCCTTCTCGCTCTGGGCACAGGCTGTGTGTCAAAAACCTACGTACCAAAGACGACACAAGGGCAGAGCTGGAGACACTGGGCACCTTGTCCACAATCGCCTGCTTCATGTAGCGCTCGATGGCCTGCAGCATGGTCGTCTGCGGGGATGGCAAAGCGAGAGGTGCTTGTGAGAGCAGAAACAAGAGGCCATTTGGCAGGAGGACTTCAGAGAAGGGGCAAAATGAACAACAAAGAAGCGAGTCAGGAAGCAAGGGAGAAGAGGGGGACTCAAGAGAGACAGCGATTGGAAGGATGGGGAAAGACAGCAGGGGTAGCCGGGAGAAAAAGATCCGCCATCAAAGAATTACACTGCGGCACTTACATCGGTAATCTGGCAGAGGGCTCGTACAGCAGGGCCTCTGTAGTTGTCATCTTTCCCCGTCATATCTTTGGTTAAACTGGATTAAAATAAGGAAAAGTTTTTAGGACTGCTTTCATAAACAGTAGACAACAGTGGCGAGAGCTGTAAGAAAAACACTGGGACCTAATTTGATCAGTTGAATGTTTGGTATCTGGTGGGCAGGGATTGTGTGTTCTGATCCGGAATCAGCCCCTCTCTTCAGTGTGATCCGTTATGTTCAGTTAATAATGTCCGTTAAGAGGGACCAACTGCCTCTTCTTGTTTTCTTACCTCAGACTCGACTCACAATGTTGTTTTAGTCTTGCTCATCATGTTATTTTGCTACAGTTTTCTCTCAGTTTATTATTAAAGCTTGTTTACATTTACGTGAGCCACTTATTTTTCTCAAAGAAAAAGAAACTCTGCTGAAGAATGCTGGAATATCCTAAACTTGGGTGAGTGAGGGGATATTCCCAGTTTGCCAGGAGGATTAATTTAGTTAACCTCACCACCACCTCCTCCACAACAAGAGCTGCAGGCTGGAAGAAACAGAAGCACGTTCCCAACAAGATGGAAATGCCTTTGTGGGAGTGGCCCAAAGGGCCACAATAATTATGATAATGTGTACCCCTGCAAATCCCTGAGTGTGCTCCTAATAGAGAAGTTATGGTAGCCTGTTACTTTATGAAACTGATGATTTCACAACATGTGCCGCCCTCATTGGGGGCAGGAAAACAGCTAATACGTAAATCACAAGATACAGCACAAAAGCTAAAATACGAGTTGCTACACCTAAACAATGTGGTTTGTTGTCTTTCAAAATGTGCGTGCTCTCACACACTCAAAAGGAAGGTGCAAACTACTGCTCAAATTTGCCTGCAAACATTGACAAGCATTGCTGTTAACAGTTTCCACTGAGTCAAAACATTCCTTATCTCCACGTATGCTAGAAAGATTCTCACGAAAGTACCCACAGGATAAAAAATAGGGGTTTTTTTAGAGGGGGAAAGAAAGAAGGCACTATTATCTTGTTGTTTTGTCTTGATTTCCCAGCTGCAGTGAACATGCTTGGATTGCTCCAGGTTGGAGTTGTCCAACTGCACTGAGAGGACTTCAGCATCTGTCTTTCAACACCCTTTTTCAAGAAGATCATTTCTGCCTCTCAAACACCCACCAACTTCATTGTTTCCTATAGGCACTGCTGCCAACCCTACTGGGCTAAAAGGGTCTCAAGGAGATACACACACACACACACACACACACACACACACACACAACTTAAATAAAAATAGGGGAAACAGTTGCATGGAGAACAGCTCAAGAAGGAATCACCTGCTAGTCACAATGATGACATCCTCTGAGAGGCTGGACATCTCTTTGATGGTCAGGTAGCACATTCTGCGGAGAGTTGGCTGGCAGAAAAACAAGGGAGATAAGTGTTATGATGCATAAAAAATGGACAGGGTATAATGTCACTGCCCTGGGATCCTTTGGGAGGAAGAGTGGGATACCAATGAATGAATGAATGAATGAATGAATCAATCAATCAATCAATCAATCAATCAATCGATATTGCTATCATTTCTGGGGGGGAACAGGAGTCGCCAAACATTTTGCCATTGGCTCACCCAGAACATATTTTGGTACGAGTCATAGCTCAGTGACAGAGCATCTGCTTTGCATGCAGAGAGTCCAGGTTCAATCCTCAGCATCCCCAGGTCGGGCTGGAATAGATTTGTTGTCTGAAATCCTGGACAACCACTGCCAATCAGTGTAGGCTATACTGAGCTAGATGGACTAATGGTCGAATTTGGTATAAGACAACTTCCTATGTTCCCATGACTGCACTTGACCAATAGCATATGTCAAAAAATAAACTGTTTTGTCATGAGAGGAAAGGAGGCTGCATATGAGCAGAGGTTGGATGGCCACCTGTCATGGATGCTTCAGTTGAGATTCCTGCATTGCAGGAGGCTGCAGTAGATGACCCTTGGGTCCAACTCTGCAAATCTATGATTCTATGAGAAACAAATGTAACAATGGCTTCAGTCCATTTTGGGAGTGGACCTGCCACCCCACCATTTTGCCAAAGTGGCTCTTTGGCAAAAGGAATTCTTGCCCAGGACTCCACACTAAAGCAGGCCTGTCCAACAGGTTGATTTCAATCTACTGGTTGATCGTGGGATATCCGTGGTCAATCCTAGGACCCTCAACTCAACAACTCTGGCTCCCTAAAAAAAAGCTCATCAACAACTTTGGACAATCCAATGGGTAGATCACTGCCAGTTGTTTTATAGTGGGAGTAGATTGCAGTCTCTTGGAGTTTGGATAGCCCTGCACTAAAGGATAGGCCTCCCATACTCTTCCCCTCCCCTATGTGAACATATAGAGGCAGACTTGGCATGCTTACATCATTGGACTGGAACAGCTTGGTCATTGCAAAGAAGGATTCTGTGGCTTCCATCACACCAAGGTGCTCCCCCTGGAACGCAGGGAAGAAACCCATCAACATTTATTAGCAACTAGAATCAGTGATGGAATAAACTGCAGTGAGCATTGCCGCAGAAATTACATTTACATTAGCAATCGCTTTAAGCAAGAGATGGAAGTTCATGTCAACAGTTTGCCTCAGCTGGGAGGTCAGAAAGAAGCAACTTTGTTAACATCATATTTGTGGGAAATGACCCCTGCCACAAGAGCTTCTTGCTGGCATCTGTCTGTCTCCATTGTCTCAAGAGACAATGGAGTGTGCCTCTGGGCGTGAAGTCAAACTGATGTGGTCCAAAGGAAAGCAGCAATACCTTTGGCACCAGCTTGGCTACAGGAATTGCTGGAAGGAGGCTACCTTCCCAGGTGGAAAGAACCAACTACCTCTTCAAAAGAGAGTCACTTTGAGAACTGGCACAGGCTACTTGGTTGCTGCTTGATGACAGTCCCTGCTTCATCGGTCTGGAGGCGGGAAAAGAAACACTACCAAGACAATTCACAACCCACTGCTATTGAAACAGCCGTTCTTCCAAGCAGCACAACACAAGCTCTGCTCATGAGCATTAACAGGCAGACAAGTTCTGGTTTAACAAGAAACCACTGTAAATGAAAAAAAATAAGTCTCCCCATTACCTGGTTTATGAGATACAAAATCTTGGTGAGGATGTGAGCACATTTCCGAGGGTTTATAGGTGTCTCATTGAATACTCGAGCCTGGGAAGAAAGATGTGAATGAATGAGATCTCAGAGATATGCCAAAATGTGTTTCCTTGAGAAAAAGACCGGCACTGTTAAAGAACTTACTTCTTGCAGCACAGCACTTTTCTCTAAGTGTTGGAATGGATTGGAACCCCCACCTGCAACAAAGGAACATCAAATGTGATCTCGACCAAGGATTTGTCACTATGTGTCACTATTTCCACTATGTGGAAAGCCTGAATTTCAGCCACCATCAACTTTGCTGGGGTGAATATTTATCACCTTGGAATCCTCAAAAAGAACTTTTAATGTAGATCTGGGAATTCCTCATATGTGATAGGCTAAGACCTCTACAAGTCATCCCATATATTGAGGCTGACAAGCTATATGCAATTAACACCATTGTAACCAACCCTGTGAAAGCGAAGGAAGTATTTCAAAAAGTTTAGATATATTTAGCTACTTGAGCAACCACAGCTTGGAAATTTACCAGCTCTGTAAGAGTCTTACATACAGAAAAACTTGTGATGGGAGAAGATCTCATAACTCAGCGACAGAGCACATGCTTTGCATGAACAAGGTCTCAGGTTCAATTCTCTCCTCCCCCAGTTGCTATTAACCTCAAGATAGGTACACCCATTAACCCTATTTCTGATATTCTATGAATTCAAATGTCACTTCCCAGCCCTTTGCTAAAAAAGGAAGAAAAAACAATAGTGTAAAACCAAAAACAAAACAAATAAAATTTATGCAGCCCTGTCTCATCTACAGTTCATAGCTGAGCGGTAAAGCATATGCATTGCATGTAGAATAAAACAGGTTCAAATTCCCAGCATCTCCCATCAGAGCTGAAAATGTCTTCTGTCTAGAAACTCTGAAGAGTTGCTGCCCACCAGAGTCAGCAATACTGAGCTAGACTGACCAATGGTCAGGCTTGGTATAAGGCAGTTTCTTTTGTACTCACAGCTTACACACAAAAGAAACTCAGTTGTAGGTGACTTAGTTATCCAACATATCTTGGCAACCAAATTCATTATCTGTTCCCTCATCCACACAAGGTACTGCCCTAAAATGAGCATCCCTATTGTTTCCAAAGAAGGGTGGCTTGCAGACATCTATCAACAAAGCTGTACCATATCTGAAATAAAGATGGAGGGAGAAACCACTGATAGGCACTTGCCTTATACACACAGAGAGAGAGGAAAGGAGAAGGTGTCATTTTGCTTTTTCTCCAAACCTGCAAAAAACTCACCAGTCAAATGTAAGCACTATTTATTTATAGACTGCCTAATGTCACATTTGGAACTGTACAACTAAAACAGTCCAAGAGTGCTTGCCTAGGGCTTTATAAGTTGCCAAGCGAGGCCCAAGAGATTAGGAGAGATGAAGCAAAAACAGTAGATAAATGTTCCAACGGAAATGGAACAGCTATGGGGTGGGAAAGTATACAACTGCTGAACCACCGTACAATAAAAGTATATTATGGTAGAACAAAAGAAACCTTGCGCAGAAAGACCATAATAACAGTTTCAAGCCTTATTAAAATAAGATGTGCAAGAGATATAGATGCACTTCCCTTAAGATCACCTTTATTTATCTGATGAATCGCTTCCCATGAAGCACCTTGGAGCAATGCAACAATCAAAACATATATGCCTAAAATAATTTCTATATAATAAGAATTTCACATGTAAATCGTAGAATTGTAAGGGACCTCTAGGATCATCTAGCCCAACTGTCTGCAATGCAGAAATCTCAAGAGGCGGCTCCCCATCCAATTCGAAACCATATTGGACCCTGCTTAGCTTTGCAAACGTGCTAGTAGTTTCATTGCTGCCCAACTGGGACGACAAATGAATTGCTATAGGCAACGAGATACAGCGAAGACTTCTCATCAATTCATTAGGGTGCTGTTGGCTGTTCTTTAATGAGATAAATATTGCAACTTTCGCATCCCATCCTTTTGAACTCAGTATGGACACCGACAGATCTAAGAGGGTAGTAGTAACACACTTTCCCATCAACTCACCGGACTCCTCGTCCTTCTTATCGAATTTCTTCAGCATCTTGTCCCTGTGTTGCTGCAGGGGCCGCGGAGAAGCTTGAGAGCCGAGGCCGGCAGGCGACCCAGCACGGCCAAGGGGAGAGGCAAGGGGCGCGGACCCCGAGAAGGGCTATCACACTACTAGGGTGGACTGCGCCTCCCTGGGCATCCCTGGAGCTCCGACTTCCTGCAAAGGCGCCACTTCCTGCCAGCATGTCACCGGGACAGCTCAGCACCACAGCAGCGCGCAGGCGCCCTCGTCGCCTCGCCGGCAGCCGAGGGCTCGACGTGGCTGCCAGCAGTAGGGCGGAGATGGAGGGGCGCGGGGGCGGGCAGCTGACCGCGAGGCGTCCTTGATTCTCAAGCCAATGGCTGCGCCGGATTGGGAACCGAGAGAACGTGATCCTGACCAATGGCTTTCAAGGAACGCGGATATTTGAGAGGGAGGGAAGCGGAAGCGCCGCCGCAGCGGAGGAGAGAGCTACGCGTGGGCAGCGCGGGAGCAAATCTCGAGCAGGACTGAGGGAATCGGGTTTATTCCGGACCCTTGCGGGCAAGAGAAGGGAGGTTCCGCCTCTTATTTTCCCGCCTCAGCCGCCGAGAGACGCCGCCCACATGGCCACCTCGATGAACTTTAAAACCTATGTGGATCAAGCTTGCCGAGCTGCGGAAGAATTCGCAAATATTTACTATGAAACCATGGATAAAAGGAGGCGGGCGCTGACCAAACTCTACCAGGAGAAAGCGACCCTCGTTTGGAATGGGAATGCAGTCTCTGGGCAAGCAGCCCTTGCAGAGTTCTTCGAAAAGCTGCCTTCAAGCGACTTTCAAATTACCACCTTTGATTGCCAGCCTGTTCACGAGCAAGCCACAGAGAACCACAACACGATCCTGATCGTGACATACGGGTTCGTCAAGTTTGATGGGAACGAGCAGCAGTACTTCAACCAGAGCTTCTTGCTAACAGCACAGACCACAAACAACAGCACAGTGTGGAAGATCGCAAGCGACTGCTTCCGCTTCCTGGACTCTCCGAATTAGTGGGCAACCGCAGTTGGGTATATTTTCCTCTGGACAAGCTAATTGGCTTTCAGGATGGCCGTACTCTGGCTGTGGGAAAGTCCCTCCTCTTTGGAAGAACTGCAGCTTGCCAGGAACTATCAACTTCACAAAAATAAAACTTGAAAAGAAGGGCTGTTCCTTTCAGAACATTTGTATTGATGCTGTTTGGAGAGCCACCTGTGTTTAATTCTAATTGTTCCAATACGGCTGTTACCCTATGGTATCGTTTGAGTTGGTTTTTCATGAATAAGAGTAAAAGTCCTCTGCTGCTTATTCTTGTGTTTTCTCTTGGTTTTTTTCCTGACAAGGTTTCAGTGCCTTGATTAGCTGCCTAACAAGCAGAAGTCAGTCAAGGAAGTGTTTCCCCATTGTCCCATTCTGGGAGAAAGTTACACCTCTCAAATTTATTTGTTACGTTGTTTTTTAAATTTCTATGCTGCCCTTCATCTGACGATCATAGGGCAGTTTACAATATAAAAACACAAAAATGCATAACATAGTAACAAACAAAAATACCCCCCCCAAAGAATTTGTGTTATTAAACTGTTAATAAGGGCAAGGAAAGGGACATATCATGCTTGGCTTAGTCATGCCTGTATGGGCCTATTTCTTCCAACATACTGTACTTTGTAAATAGAACAAACCTTAACAAAGACCCCATAAGCATTCTCTCAATGCCTAAGTACCCAGGGTTCTCTCATCCAAGATAACAATCCTGTAATTTTGTAATGTTGGCCTTCCATCACTTGGAAAAAGCAGGGATCACTTAACCGCGTAACAAAATGTTAGGAGTTGAAGGTGTATTAGGTGGTGGAAATGTGAAGCATATCAAGGACATATACTGTAAACCAGCAGAGCTTGTTTCAACCTGGAACTGAATCAGCAGTAAAGACAAGCTTGCCCAGATACTAGTCTTAAACGAGCTACTGAGTAGTCCCATGCTTTTGTATAATCATGGTGGAATATTCTATTCTGTTCCCTGAACTGAACTTAAAAAAGAATCCCTTGGGTCAGAGGAATTTAAGCTTCTCCCTGCTCACCAGACAAAAGAATAGGCTGGCAATGGGACCAAATGAAAATTGCAATCCTAAATGTTCTTACTTAAATATACTTACTCAGTGTAGCTTACTCCTAACAACATATGCTTAGAAGTTTGCTGTGAAAATGCTAACCTAACCAGCATGAGGACCAGAATCTTGACTATTGTGTAAAAACCCACCACCAGAGAAGACCACCATCAGTCTCTTCAATTGTGCCGTTGAGACCTAGTTGTAGACTCCATTAGTTTAATAATGATAGTTATTATACGCTTAGCAACACTTCCTGTTGTCTGCTGTGGAATGCTACTTTGTCCTTTTCAAGGCGAAAGCAAGCAAGAAGCTCGTTCAAAATACCTCCTCATACCAATATCTTACATTCTGCAAATATTCAAAAAGAGAGATGTACCTACTGTCGATCCAGTGGTCCTCAAAGAACATGTTGACGGTGGTGAGCTTCAGCTAGAGTACACAGGGACGTCTTGTAGCAGCTTGTGCTGTACCTACACTACACAAGTGGCCTGTGTACTTTGCACCAAGCTGCCAGCCGCTGTTATCTCAAAATGTTCACTAAAGAAGCTGGAGTCAGGGTCCAGCAACAAAAGGTGGCGCTTCAGATTTGCTCTCTGCTAGCTTTGCAGCAGGTGCTATCACTGCACTGCTGAAAACTTCGCTGTCAGGTTATATTTCTTTTCAATGTCTTAGTGATTTTATCTGTTTTTATTATGGTTTTATTTCTGTTTTACATTGGTTTATGTAATTTAGTCAAATTTTATATTTAGATAGGACTTGTACACAGCTTGGAATTTATGTTTATTATTATTTTTGAGATAGCAGTTCATAAAATTTCTAATGGATACATTTCAAAAGGCATTCTTTCTGGAGAATAATACCCCAAGTAGTGATCCAGACTTGTCAAACATAGAGACTTATTCCATCTTAGCTACACAATGTATCACCCCTTATCATTTTCTACTTCAGTTTTCAAACAATAGTTAGGCTAGAAGGAAAATGCATATTGAATTGTCACAATATTTTTCAGTCTTATATGAGTTGTATATACAATCCAAGCCAGGATGGCATCTTAACCAGAAACCTGGGAATTGGGGCTGATTCCAAAGTCAGTCTTTATATCCAAGAAACTCTGGAGAGCCTGTTTAATATGTAGTGAATAATTTCAGCTTCCTTTACATCAGGGGTAGGGAGATCTGTTACCCTCACATGTTATTGGACTCTTTTTATTGGACTCCCAATTCCCCATCAGCCCCCAACCAACATGGTCAGAGATCTGGAATGATACAGGAGTCATAATCTAAAAAATATCTGAAGGACTATAGATTCCCCCCCCCCCATCCCTACTTTCTTTAGCTACTCTGCTGCAAGCATAAATTCTGTTGGAAAGTACAAAACCAAGCACAACAGGCAACCTCCATGTGGGTGTGCATGCACTGTCTCAAAGCCCAAGGTAATACACATTTCAATCAAAATGTTTGTTTTTAAAAAAATAAGCAACAACACCACTGAATACCTTATTTAGCTGAACTCTAGTTGTCCAGATGATACAGTGCAAACTAGGACACTTCACCTTTGGATGCAGTTGTGTTGTTTTTTGAAAGCCCAGTGTCCATAGTGTTCAGTTATATCAAGGGTGGGTGGGAGGCATGACCTTACAGCTTTTTCTGATGCTCCTTTTAGCTATTGTTATAGAAAGTTAACCATGGTGTGAGTAAGGTGTCTAGCTCTACACACATATGCTTTTCATTTAATGTGGTTTATTGATAATATTGAGGCAGGGGAGGAAAGCAGGAAAAACTACTTTATAGGGGATAGTGCCTCACTGCATTGCTGTAGTGCCGATGAGATGAAAGAAATGACGAGACTAAAGGAGTTCTGTCGTCAGGTTAAGAAGCCCTAAGTAAGGGCTGCCTCAAAACATTATTTTCCATGCCAAGCCTCACAGAGCAAGGTTCAGCTGATGCACTCACCACTACTAGCCAGGATGGCTATTTTCTCCCTCCACTGTCGGAGCCAGTAGGCCTCTGAATGCCACTTGCTGTGAATTGAAAGGGGAGATTCCTATCATGCTATGGTCCTCCTCGTGGGTATCCCATAGGCCTTTGGTTGGCCAGTGTGAGAATGATATGTTGGTCTAGATGGGCTTTTGGATTGATCTAGCAGTTCTCTCCTTCTGTTCACTGCAACTGGTAGACAAGAGCATGTGCTGGTACCCATTTGAGCAGAACCCATTGCTCTGCTCCCAAATTCATGGCTGCATTGACCTTCAAGCGTAGCAGCGCAAACGACAGTTATGGTTTGTTGTTTTCTGCTATCCACAGCCATTAGGGGAGGAAAGCAGGGAATCAGGTTGGCCTTTCATAATTGAAATAGTCTTGCTGACACGTGGACAGCCAAGAATAAAGTTTAGACAAAAGGGATTGGCTGTTACAGTGCCTCTGAAGCCACAATGGCTAGTGCCACTCACAATGTGTGAGCCATTGTGATGTAATGGAGTGTTGAGGCTTGAGTCAGGGGCTCAAACTGCACACCTGGAGACAGCAATGCTTCTGAATACCAGTTGCCGGAAAGCCACAGGAGGGGAGAGTGCTCTTGTGCATAGGTCCTGCTTGCAGGTTTCCTGCAGGTATTTGGTTGACCACTGTGAGAACAGGATGCTGGACTAGATGGGCCATTGGCCGGATCCAACAGGCTCTTCTTATGTTACAGCTTAAGACAACACATGATAACTGCATCAGGACCGCCCAAAACGTTTTGCTACCTGAGGCAAAGGACATGGTGGTGTACCCGCCCTCCCAACTGCACTCCACATGCAGAAACCAACCAGACTGTAAGTTGAACCTTCAGTACTGACAATGGGACAGGGTCCTACAACACAACAGAAGGTAGCAGACTATTTTAAGGGGCATAGGAAAGGTGGTGTGGCTGATCCTGTGATTACTGTGGAAGAGCCGAGGAGCAGCATACTGAAGGTCTTGGATAGGATCCAGGAGTTTGGTCAGGTGGTGGGTTTCAAATTAAATAAAAATAAAATGAAGGTCTTGGTGAAAAACGTGACGGAGCAATATAAAAAGGACTTACAATGAACTATGGAATTATCTATAGGAAAAAAAGTTAAATACTTAGGTGTATGGCTGACAGCTAAGAACATAAATATTTTTAAAGACAATTATATAACTACTTGGAAAGAAATAAAGAAAAATTTAGAGATTTGGGGAAGGATGAACTTATTGCTATGGGGAAGGATTTCTGTAATAAAAATGAATGTATTGCCAAGAATGTTATTTTTATTTCAGTCGGTACACCACCCAAATCTTCCATCAAGATGCAGAGGGAAAAGTGAATGAGGACCCTTGGGATGGGAACACTAGAGAAGTGGTTCCCTTTCACAGTGAGGAGATTAGATCTTCAGAACCAGCTTCAGGTGGAAGCAGATTTCTTGTGGGATTAGAGGTAGGTGATTTGTCCTGTTCTGGGTTCTAACAAAATAGCTGACGAACACACTTGACTGAATGAGGTAAAACAAACTTTTATTCATTTACTGCATTTGGATTTTGCACCATGCATAATTAGAGGCATCTTACAAACAGAAGAAACAACAGTTACTTTTGCATCTCTATTCTGCAGCCAGCATCTTGGGAATAAAATAGTGATTGATGGCAGCAAAGATCATATGTACACCAAGGGGGTGGTGCTCTTTGACCAAAATGCCTTTCTTTCTTTGCAGACACACTGGACAGAGGACAAAAGGCAAGGTCTATGTTGAGTTCATATACCGGGTCTATGAAAGGTCATGTTGGAATACCCTTGTTAGTCTTTTAAGGTGCCATGGGACTCTGTTGTTTCTATAAAAGACTAAACTTGCCTACTCTTCTGGAATTTGCAAGGTACTGATAGTATAGATGAAGAGCTATAGTGCAGTAGTAGAGCACATGATTTCTTTGCAGGGTTGAAGCCCTGCCATCTTTTGTTAAAATGGTCAGGTTCCTATGTTCATGCTTTTTCCATGATGGAGACAATGAACACTAGATAGCAGATAGCTGGTTCTTTCTCATGTGATTTTACATTGACAGTGACTTTCCCTTTGTTCAAAGGAGCACAGAGCTGGTTAAGGCACAGGTAGACAACACAGTGCCCTCCAGAAGTTGCGGATTACAATTCCCATCAGTCCTGGTTAGCATGGCCAAGAGTCAAGGTTGATGGAGTTGTAGTTCACAGCATCTGAGGCGGGGCATCAGGTTGGCTACAGTAAACCTATGGTAGCCCATTCAAAGCCATCCTGTCCAAAGTCAGCAACATCAAACTACCAACCCCAGGCAGATAAACTACTGTAATATAGTCAACTGTGTCCTATGGACAGGAGGGTTCCAAATGAACACTTCTAGGTGATGCCATCAGAAACTGCCCCACAGATCCCAGTACTAAATTATTACCTGAGTCACCTGTTGCACTTAACTTGCTGGGCTTGTTATGATCTGCTTCTCTGATTTTCGGAGGCCATCTTTACATTTGATTGCATTTGCACACCAGAAATACAAAAGGCAAGCAACATCTCTTCATGGACTGGGAAAGGGCTGGGATTATTGTCAGAGTCCCTCTGGATTAAAGAGTCTCTCTGGAGCTAGCAAGCAGCATAACAATTTGGTGGCATAACACCTGATGTTCTGCAAACTCAAGAGAGCTCAACAGGAAAATGGTAGCCTTAACTATGAAGTACCGCTCTAAGAAACCAGTGGGTTTGGCTACCACCTTAAAACTTTCACAGGTTCTGGTGAAATCCAACAGGAAATAAGACAACAATCCACCAGTTAAGTGTGCTTAAGCCAATTGATTTCGAATGTGGTCAGGTACTGTGTACTTGAGCCAGGGGACTTAGGCATGCCCAATGGTCGCTGGGTGGTGCCCAAAAGGTGGAAGTAAATTCCACTAAAAAGTAAAGGTACTTCCACAAACACATTTAAGATTGAGGTGTTTTAATAGCCACCCTTCAAAGGCAACAACCCACAACTTGTTGACTCCAGACCAGATCCGGTGGGTTATAAATTGCTGCTTTCCTATATACACAATGACTAAATAATTACTGTAATAGCACCAGGTAGCATCCACAAGGACATCAGTGGGAAACACTATCGGAGGCAGTACACCTCTGGATATCGGTTGCTGGGAATCGCAAGTGGCGAAAGCAGTGTTGTGGCTCAGGTCCTGCTTGCAGGCTTCATATAAGCATCTGGTTGGCCACTGTGAGAACAGGACTGCTGGACTAGATGGGCCATGGCCTGACCCAGCAGGTCTCTTCTTAGGTTCTTCACATGCCATATGTTTGTGTATTTAGCTGTTTCCCTATTTTCTTTAAAGGTATTTTAAACAACAGCCACTTTGTCTGAATCTGCACTGATCATAAGATCACACAGGATGCCAAAGAGCGAGAAGGAACAGAGAGGAGCAGGGCTGAGCAGAGGAGATAGCAAGCTTAGTTGTTGGGAAAGGGTGATAACAAAAGAAAAAAGAAAAAAGGTTGAAATGCACATGATTGCCAAGCTTTTTAAAATGCCCTGTAGTGGTAGCAACATAATAACAGCATAGCACCATTCTCAGCATTTCACTGATTATTTCCATAATATTGTTCAGCAGGTAAAACATAAAAACAAGTGTTTCATACAGAATCCCCTCATACAAAATACATGTGCTCTGATTTTTGTTTGGAGTCTTCCAAAATGCTATTGTTTATTGGAGACTATTGCTTGCTGTTCAGGATTAAGGTGAAACTTCTTCAAATGAATTCATTTTTTTAAGAGTGATATTTACACAGGAGGGTGTTTCCCCATAGGTTCTGACAAAAAAATTTTGTTTACAACCACAACAGTATTTTAGAAAGTTTCTGGCCAAAAATAAAAATAAAAGTCAATTATACCTTTTGGTGGGATCTGAATTGGTTGAGTAAGTACCTCAGAAAGAGATAACTGAAAATGTTGGCTTAATGTGCAGCAGCACTGAAAAAACATTGCTAAGTATATTTGCAATTTCTTTCCTAATAATTCCTGTCAGTTTCATCATGCATTTATTTAAATCTGTGGCACAGCCACATTTGGAAGACTGCTTACTATTCTGGTTGCCCAATCTCAAAAAGAACAGAATAGCATTAGAAAAGGGATGGGAAAGAACAATCTAAGTGATCAAGGCACTGAACAGCTTCACCTATAAGAAAAGGTTTAGCATTTGACTCTTGCTTAGAAATCAAGCCATTTAAAGGATAGTGAAGGTTTATAAAATAAGTAGTGTTATTTAAAATATGATGAAATACTATGAGATTCAGAACGATCTGTAGGTTCAGAATGGAAAAAGGAAGCCTCTTTTGCCCCAGTGAAGTTAACATATGGAATTCACTGCCACTGGATGTGAGAAGGGCCAGTGAATGGGTCTATTAATAGACAGTGAATGGGTCTATTAAAGGCAATTATCACACTAGCTAAATGGAACCACTATTGTTTATTAATGGCGATTAATCACAATAGCTAAATGGAACCACTAATTTGCCTGGAAACTCAGGTTCCAGTTTTTCAACTCCCTGTTTTTCATGGAGGTGACATCTATAGGGGTCTTGGTAAGATTGGACTTCATCTGCTTTGCATATGATTTCTTGTGCAGTTACTTTGCCCACAGCAGATTTAAAGCCTAGAGCTGAAAAACGAAGAGGTGTACGTACACTGCAGGCATTGGAAGATTCTGAGAAAGAGGAAGAGCTAATTAGAAGATTCTTCCTCCTGGTCGTGTCCTTAAGAAACACTCCATAAGAATCATTTTACCCTATTAGTCCATCCCAAGTGACAAACTCTCCTACCAGATTTGCAGATGTGGCAAATCATAGGTGTATTCATCAAGCCTCATTTGACAAGCTGGGGTAGGTGGGATGGGTGGGGGTCAAGTTTCACAGAAGAATTGCAGAAACAAACCCTTCGGAGCATCGCTAGAACTGTAGCTTTGGCAATGCATCATGGGACATCTGAATTCAGATACTCATAGCACTTTTTATTGCAACAGAAAGGGCATACAGGGGAGCAAGAGGAAAAGCTCATAAAGGATGCAAACCTGAATTGAGAGAATCAGTTTGGTCTGGCTATATAATACATTCCATGTGTCATCTGTCGGCCAGCATCAAATAAGTTAAGAAAGCTCTAATTAAAATATGTCTTTTCTTTTTCTTTTTATATTATATATAAAAGAGGTTATGCATATGTTTTTCATTTGATAAAAATTTCACCTTAATTTAAAAAATAAACCAAGAGCAACCAAAATACTTTTAAAAAAAAGAATAGCACCGTTTCTCTGCTCCAGCTGAAGCAGCCCACACATGCACACATACAAAATACACACACACACAAACATGCGCAACTGTGCTGCAGGCAGTAGAAATGGCTGCAAGATGAGTCTCAGACCAAATGTACTCTGTGTGTATGTAACTCTAAGACCTTTTGCAGGAGAAGAATAGTTTGGGAGCCTCAGGAGCCGGAACTCTTCTTTTGGTCAGTTCTCCCAGAATCCAAAACCCACTTCAGAGTTTATACACGTCTGTTCTGATCCAATGTGTTGCCACCTACCAAAACGGGGGGGGGGGGGGGGGAGAGAGAGAGAGAGAGAGAGAGAGAGAGAGAGAGAACCCAATCAATTTTTGAAAACAGTATTTAAAACTGATCCTGCTTTCAACATGTTGGTTTAGGACAGACTTCCCAAACCTGCGTGGAATCTACACACATATAAAAACCGTTCTAAAAATGCTTTTTTAAAAAGCGTTTTAAAAAAGACTTTGAATTTTCCATAAGGCTCGCCATCGCCATCTAGTGTCACATTGTATATTGCACTTAAAACACACTTAAAATGTTTTATTTGCAGCTGTATAGCTGAGTCGCTGGTGTCCCCCAGATGCTGTCAGACTACAACTCCCATCACCCTTGACTGCTAGCCGTGCTGGCTGAGGCTGATGGGAGCTGTAGTCCAATAGCGTCTAGAGGGCACAGTGTTGAGGAAAGATGCTTTAGGAATTGCTAAAATATGGAGAAGCGGCTCCCAGGCCCCTCTTTGAAACAATCTTACCTGCAGCAGCCTATGACTTGCACTGAAGCTCACAGTCCTCCTTGGAATGGAAGCGGTTGCTATTCCCCCTGCAACCGCTGTAGATGAAGGGCCGGCACTCAGACACTCTTTGGTTATAGTACCACCTTAGCGTGAATTTGCTGCAGTCTCCCTCGTCCAGGGGCAAGGAGCATGGCTCAGCTGGAAGGCAGGGAGAAGAAACAAACCTATACATTAGATTTCCTAGGGCTTAAGCATCCACTCTCAGGTGTTACACTGAGAAGAACCTCAACAGAAAACACTGCAGACCTTCTATTGTGCCTAAGACAGTGCCAGAGTAGGGTGGAAAAGAGCCACACAGGGTTGGTAGTTAACACATCGGCAGGTTATGCTAGGATGTTGTCATTCACATACTTCAGCCTACAGATTTCCTTCTAACTTCCATCACCTCACAAGGAGCTAAGTTTACTCATCCACAGTATAGACATAAGCATCTGGGAGGACCAGGGAAACATGCAGCTGCGGACACATGTCATTATTTTTATCTCCAGAAGTTTGAGCAACACGCCCTCCAAGTGCCATCACAACTAGATTTGAGTTCTTCTTCTAAAAGGAGTCTGAGGACTGGCCCTGCCAGAAAATGCCACCTCTACAAAGAATACCAGGCCACCTCAGGATCCAAGCGGAGCAGAGCCATATTCAGCCTGCCAATATTTCCACCATCTTGGTTGGCCCTGATGGTAATGGTGCAGGTCGTAGTGTTGGGGGCTGGCAGGCCGCATGCACCCCACAGTCTCCATGTTCCTTATCAGATAACCCACTTTTTACAATTTATAACACCGGAAGCGGGTGGAGCGAATGGCTTGTTATTCATTCCAAGAGGATGGAAGGAAAGGAGAAGACAGCTCCTTTGAGAGAAAGGTCACAAGGCAGGTCTGCTGCTTACCTTCCTCAGAGGGAGCTCTCTTTTGCCGTTCATGCTTGGAAGCTGCCCTGGGGCCCAGTACCTCTACAAACAGGGAGCAGAGTACTGGTTTAAGAAGTCATGGCCACAGGAGAAGCTTCTAGTGTCTGTATCGGGCTTCTCCCCATCCTCCCTGCCACCCCAGGATGGGAAGAAGGAATGGGATGGCGAGGGCATGAAAGGTGTTTCAGGAGACCCAGAATTTATTTCTGGCCAAAAACAAAACCCAGAACAAAAGGAGATCACAGAGTATAAGATGGTGATCTTATCTACACACACAATAAAACAAAAAAGGAAAGCGAACTGTAGCTGTTATATCATCCAAGTCTCACTATTCCCATGCTCCTGCAGATTAAAGATCAAAAGCGAAAAAACTGGACCTTGTGTACTATGGATACAGTTCACACAGTGCAAAAATTTAAATATCCTTGAGACTCGCAAGGAAAAGAAGTATGGGAGTAACAGAATAGGCCTAACTACTGGCTTCCTAAGGAGTCTTTTTTATTAACCTACTTCACTCCTTCTGTTAGAAAACTCTGGTCAGTGATATGCCAGCCCAAGAGGCAACTTTAAGGTCTACCAACCTTGCAGGGGCTAGGGAATATCAAAATTAATAATGTGTTTGCTGGATACTGAAGCTTCTTTCTATTCTCAACCAGGGCGTGGAATCTTCCTTGCTTACTTGTGATCTCTACTTTGTTGCTTACCACAGGTGGGAGGCAGGTCTGCCAAAGCTCTCCATCTTTCAAAGCCCATTCGTCCTATGGCCAAGGAAAGTGACTTCTCCACCCAGCTGCTTTTTAATTACAATATTACTTGCCAAGGCTGCCTACTAGTGGTCATGGAGGAGTATACAGCACCAGTAACTGCAGTGGTTTTCTATTCAATGTAATATATGCTATGGGGCAGGGGATACCCAAAGCCAGCAATTCATTTCACACAGATTCCCACAGATTCCCAATCACTTTCATTGGGCTTCGGTAGGAGCCAAGTGCTCCAGCCTGCTGCTACCCCCACCCAAGGGGCAACTGCAGGAGAGCATGTCCCAATTCCATCAAACGTGTTCTGCAGACCAATGGAGCTCACCATCCCTCAGCATAGGGCTCTCTGTCCCATCTGCTCCCTCTTCATAGTCCTCCTCTGTGTAGATGTACTCATACTCAGGGTCATCTACGTTCACTACGTGTCGTGTCTGGCTCCCTACAAAACAGGAACGGCTGCTTCAGAAGGAATCCAAGAATGATGAGGAACGGATGGCAAGGAAGGAAGAACAAATGGGTAGGTCTCATCCTGAGCACACTTAAAGTAAGAAGAGCCTGCTGGATCAGGCCAATGGTCCATCGAGTCTGGCATCCTGTTTGTACAGTGGCCAACCAGATGATTGTGGGAAACCAGCAAGCAAGATTCGAGCACAAGAGCACTCTTTCCTCCTGTGGTTTCCAGAAACTGGTATTCAGAAGCACTGCTGCCTCCAGCTGTGGAAGCAGAGCTCTTGCTCCAGACAAACCAGGAATTGTATCCAAAGTCTGTCTTGGCTTACCACCCATGGTTGGTCTGCGGGAGACAAACCAAAAGCTCGGGTTTGGATGTAATGCTAAGCCAACCCATGACTTAGCCCCGGTAGCATGGTAACCTGCACATTTGCTTGTTCACAGCAAAGCCATAGTTTGGCTTAGTTTTATGCATGAAATGGAAGAATTGTTACATAGCTGCTTGTTGATCTATGCCATATCGGTTAATTGCCCAAAGACAAGCCCCACAGTATAAGGGCATAGCAACTTTATGTATTTTGGGTGATCAAATGGCAGCTTTCCAGCAAAGGGTACCTTTGGGCTACTTCCATATCTGGCATATTCTGTAGCCATCGGTCCTTTCACGGTCTGTCACCATGAGAAGGATCTGCCAGTACTTCTGTCCTTATTACCACCCTAAATGCAATATTATCAACTCCATCTATGTTTATCTGTTGTAGCAAAGCCAACAAAAGGACTGCTAGCCTTTAACAAGTTTATTACGGCACAAGCTTTTTGCTGGCTAGACTGCACTTTGCCAGATAAAGAAAGCTTAATCCTCCTAAGTTGACAAATGGATAAGCTAAGGAGACCATACATTTGACAATGAGGGCTCTGGTCTGCAAAGCTATATACTGCAATGAATGTGTTAAGTCTTCAACATCCCCATAGGATGCTTTGCTATTTTCACTTTATTACGTTCGTTATGCAGAAATGGCCCTGCCCTCAAAAGATCCAAGCCTATCACTGAATCCTGCCTTTGAAACAGCTTGCATTTTCCTGCAGCTGACATTATAAGGGAAGCGAAAAGACAAGGAAAGGGGAGGCTGGTGGCAGAACCCCTGCGCATGCTAGCAGAGGTGATGCTGTGCACATGAAACAACAAGAGACAAGACTCACCTTCCTCTTCCTCAGCGTGGGACAACTTAAGCACAGGGACTATTTGAGCATTGACAGACGGGAACGGTTGGGTGGATGGATAGTTGGGGAGGAGACCTGGGAGGGGCAAGGTCACAACACAAACATAAACAAGCACGTAAGAGTGACTGACAAGCTGTACTACCTCCCACTCCAGACATGAAACACAGGCCCCGACCCCACCCCACAGCCAGAGTTCAAGAGTTCAACCCAGTGTTGCCCTCTTCCACAAAAGTCGGCCATTAAACACATCAGACAGGGAAAATCCTGACATAAGGTTTGCATGATGGGCCAAATGTAACCAGCAGCCCAATCCAATGGCATTTCCAATTCAGCCAGGCATTTCCTCCTGTAGTGGCAGAGGACCCTTCTGCAAAGCAGACCAGAGTCTGCACGGCTGAATTGTGTCCCGGTTTTGCATGCTGGAAGCAGGACTGTGCCCTTGAGCCCTGGCACATTTGGGTGGACCAACGTTTCAGCACTCCACAACAACACATGGAAAGCTTCTACTAGCAAAACAGCGGAAAGTATACGCCAGGGAGACGAATAAGAACAGCACTGGCTGCTCCCAGGTATGCAGCATTTATCTGTGAGATATTAGGAGGAGGTGAAGGCAGGTGGGAGCCCTGAGAAGTCCCTCGAGTCCTCCCAGCACCTCTGGAAATCCAATTCTGACCACAAGCTCCTGAGCACAGGTGACTGAGGGGTGTTGCCCTGCTTCAGAGCCTCCCACCCCTGATGCTGGCACTTCTGGGGATGCTTTTTATATGCATGCTACTGAGACTCCCTGTGCTGTTGAGATCCTCATGGTCTCCCACCGCCCCTCCAAAATTCTTCCTCCGCTTGTATTCCTCTGCTTCCTCTCCCAGCACACACCATTCTCCCTTGAGAACAAAGAGGAAGATAATTCGTGCTAGGTTTTCCCAAAGCTTTGCTGCTCATTTCACTAAGTTCCCATTCAAGCATCAAACTCAGCACTATAACACTATCACCCATTTCCGGATGCTGCCATTGAACAGCTTGCTAAAATGGAGGCCATTGGAAAGTGCTGCCCTGTATTGTTTCCCCCAAAAATGAATATGATAGTGCTATGAAACACTCACATTACAGGTCACTAATACTTTGATATTTACAAAATATAGCTGGAAAAGACTTCTAGCGCCAATTAATAAATTGATTAAAAACACGAATGGGGTGATAAAAACAGTGCCCATTACAAAGGATGTAGTGAGCTGATGAAGCCTGCTGCATACCTGGAAGCACAAGCCATACTGATGTATCCATGAGGTACAGGGTGCTGCTCTTTACCGCTGACTGGCCGGAGCAGCTGGCATGCTGGGGTGGTGCTGAGGAGCTGCCCTCCTGACAGCAGCACTGCTGCTGCTTTCCCTGGAAGGTGCTGGGGCGGGGCTAGGCAGTAGCGAGGTCAGCGCAGAGCCAATCAGATGCTGCCGCTGGTGCACCAACACACCCAAACTTGCTGCCGTTCTGCCCCACCCCATTCTGGTACAAGGCAGCAACGCAGTTGTGGAGAGGGCAGGTCCTTGGCACCGTCCCACCATGCCAGCCGCTCCTGCTGGCTGGGATTTTGATTACGCCAAAGAGGAAGCTGATCCGTCAGAAACAAATATACTCACGTCGATCAGGAGGGGAGAACTGGCCTCCACAGGCTGAAATGAGAAATAGGCGATTAATTCATCCAGGCACCCAGTTTTGGGTCTCAGCTGTCAGGCACTGAAGGCCAAACTACATGCTATGTGGAAGATTTGAAACCAACCGAAACATAGCCATGGGGTGAGGGGCTGTCAATTTCTTTGGCGCAGCAGCAAGTGTCAGGAAGCAGAATTTAACCTGCCTTTTCCCCTGTGCAACTTATTCCCCCGCAAAAAAAAACCCCCTGGAGGTGGATTTTGATTGAGACAACAGCACTTGAGGGAAGAGTTGAACACCTCACAACCCTCATGCCTGCTGCATCTCCCACCTACCCCCAACTGCAGCTCAATTAAAAAAAGAAGGCACCAGCCGATAATCCAGTCCCAGATCTGGGTAGTTTGGCTCAGACAGAACACTCCTGAAGGTACAGCCTGAGAAATACATGGGTACCTATCACCATGGAACAAGTATGTTTCAGGCCCAGTTAGGGTACCTGTGAAACTAGGAGGAGAAGGGCACTCAGAAAGACAGAATAAGGCGGAAGAGTCAAGGGAGAAAACAGCAGGATGGAGGTGCAGGTGGTCAAAGGCTAGTGGCGGGTGGAGCCTTACCACAGTGCTGACTCATCTCCTGCCTGACAAACAGACGGATCTCTTCTTCCTGCAGAGGAGACAGTGCATAGCATGATGAGTTCTATTACCCCTGCATGAGTCTCCAATGGCCGATGTAGAAATGTGAGATATACACAGGGAATGGTAAGAGCGCAAACTTTTGTCGCCTAAAGACATTCCAGTGCAAGAGCAGAGTCAAAATGGATGAAGCAGGAGGGAGCAAGTTTAAAGTAAGGTTACCAGATTTTTTTCAATGAATCTGGGGACACTTTTCAACTTCAGTAGGAATGATAGGATTTTGTCAGGGGACCCTGGGAAATGGGGACGTCTGGTAACTTTAGTTTAAAGGAAATCAGGACCAAGAGTTTGACTGAACTTGACTTCCTGCTAAAGGAAGAAACTTGACTGCATTGACCACCCTTGGCTACTATAGGGCTAGCAATATTCAAATGGCTGTCCTATCCTAGAGTTTTTATTCAGAATGTCATGCCAGAGAACTTAGGTCTCTCTCCTCACCGTCATTCCAGGATCTCCCTTCTCTCCTCGGAGGCCATCAAGCCCTGGACTTCCCTGTCAACAAAAAACAAAGGAATTCAAGTTAATGAGAGAAGACAATACATTATAATGCTAAGAAACTTACTCAGTTTCTGGAAGATCTGCAATATAAGCTAGAGAAGGCGCTCGGTGTCAGAAGCGGGAAGCCTCTGAATATGAATTGCTGGGAATGAAGAGCAGGAGGAGACTGCTACAGTGCTCATGTCCTGCTGGGTTGGCCATTGTGAGAAAATAACGTAAGCCTTTGGCCCTTACCTAGCCCAGGTGAGCTGCACTTCATTCAGAACCTATGGTCCTAATTAGCCATTTTCTGCCACCTGCTGTACACCTGCTAATAGCAGGACTGCTTTCAAAAGCAAGTGGCTCTGCAAGCGCCGCCAATCAGCTGATTGCCAACCCTGCAAGTGCTGTGCCTTTTACCTGCAAAGTCTGATTTCAAATGGTGCAGGCAAAGGAAAACATGTCACCGGACACCATCATGATGTCAGGTGACCAACAGGGGTGCCCCTCCCCGCCAATATGCCATATAAAGGTGTGGGAAGTGAGGATCCAGTCTGCCAGCTAGTTCAAGATCTGTACTGCTGAGAATACAGCCTGGAGAGGAAGAAAATGCATCTGGCTGATAGCCAGAGATTCCCTCGCTCCCTTCCCTTTCCTCCCCGCTGTGCCTAATATTTTTTTCTTTCCTGTATCCTCTTTGCAGCTACAGCTAATGTACCCACCACAAACTCCTTCCACCTATGGTTCTCAACTCCTCTACAGAACTTGCTCCTTTGCCTGACCCTGTCCAGTCTTGGCCTGCTCAGTGTGTGACTCCTTCCTCAGCCTTCCTCATGATCCCTGGGAAACTTCTACACTGGGGCTCCATCAGTTGGGCATTGTTGCTACTGTTGTCTGGAGCCTATGGGTTCCATTTTATTGGCTTGGAGATCCTAGTGTGACCAAAGTAACTACTGATCCTGAAATAGTTTTTTTATGTGTTCTTTTATCTAGTAAAGCACTTACAAGTTGCCACTCCAAATTAAAACCGAGGTTTCATGAAGACATGTAGCAAATATATATAAAGGTACAGCATTGTGAGAGGCTGAAATGAGCTTCCTGTCAAATTGAGTTTTCTCACTTTGCCAGAAGACTTGAGGTATGATGAGGTTTCTGTTCTAGGGTTGTGGCTTAAACACAGACAGAGAGATTTTGGTGGCAGATTTTAAAGCCCAGCCAGATGAAATCTCCAGTGAAATTTGGAGTGAGTGTGTGTGTATTTTGTGCAGAAAGGACTTACCAGTTCCACAATCCTACAGGCCCCTGGACAACCTAGTTCAATAGCTCAAACACTCTGTAGAGTGGCCTGTGCACCTTGGGTAAATCTGAATAACACCAAACCAGAACTGATGGAATTCCTTCACCCTTACTTTATTTCAAAGTAAATGAAGCATCCTGCCAGCTAGCCTTCTCCAAAGGGACATACAGACATATTTACAAACCTGCTCCCCTCTTTCTCCTGACAGACCCGGGACTCCACGGGCTCCTACAACGGACTCTCCTGGTGGCCCTCTCTCACCCTAAAATGGGGAAATCAAACACACCAAGACAATTGCTTTCTTTCGCTTTATTTTTTAGCACTTCTTGCATTGCTTCTCCAGCCGTCAGAAGTTATGTGGCCCTTTAAAAAGAAGAAGAGACGGCAGGTTTGGGGGGACACGGGACCTCCAGATCATCACTATTTTGTGGGAGGGATTCAAGCGCAAAACCAGAGATTTAGATTTGCACAAATGAAGCAGATCAAAGCCCTAGCGCAACAAATCAACCTTTTTCTTTCTTTTTTTTTAAAGCACAGACATTTGGCTTTCAGGAAAGTGGTGTGGAAATTATGGGCCCTTACCTTCTGCCCTTGAATCCCTTCTGGGCCTTTTGGGCCAATGCTGCCAGGGGGACCAGGGGGCCCTGGGGGTCCATCACTGCCCCTGGGTCCTGGAGAGCCAATAATGCCTGGAGCACCCTATGAAATAAGGAACAGAGGATAAGAATAGGAACATGGCATCCCTAACCTGCAAACAAAACTGACTGCCCCTTGCTTCTGCATAAGGCCAATATTATGCAATGCCGACATGGACTAAAATAGTTCAAATGGTAAGAAGATTTTCTCCCTGCCTTCAAAAACAAAACGCACTTCACCGATAGGAGGATTCCAGTGTTATCACAGCTGCTTACAGCCCTTAACAACAGTGTTCTTGCTATCAGATGGGAAGCATTTATCAGGTGCCTACTACATGTTGTAGTATACTGGCCCACTGTTCATTTTCATTTGATGCCTGATACCATTCCTTCTGAGTTAATGGAATTCTTTTTGCCTTCGTCATGCGCTTGAATGAAATACGTCTACCATAGTTATATGTAGACAATGCCATTCCTGTTTCACACGCCACACTTTTTACTCAAAGGACCTTGCAATTTTTGACGGAAGCAGCTTTGCTTAGCAATTAACGAGGCTTCACAAGCGTCATCCTCAAAGTTGCCCAGCAGACGCACAGAAGATGAAGCGCATGTCCAAAGGCATCACACTGTGTGCCAGAGCACAGAAAAGGGACATGCAGGGATGCTCTCAAATTCTTCAGCAGTCTGAGACTACCTTTGATCCTGATGAAACCAGAAACCTCACCACTTTCCAGAGAAATAACAACATACCCTGTCCCCCTTTTCTCCTTGGTCTCCTTTGGACCCCTGTTGGCCATCAAATCCTCTGTCGCCCTAATAACAAAAAGCAACATATTGATCAAGTATATAACTTAAGTGGACTTTTTAGATGTGTCTGTAAGAGTAAGCATTTCATAAAGACCACCTGCCCACACAAAAGAAAAACCAGACTCAAGAACACCTAATAATAATAATAATAATAATAATAATAATAATAATAATAATAATAATAATTTATTATTTATACCCCACCCATCTGGCTGGGCTTCCCCAGCCACTCTGGGCGGCTTTCAACAAAATATTAAAATACAGTAATGCATCAAACATTAAAAGCTTCCCTAAACAGGGCTGCCTTCAGGTATCTTCTAAAAGTCTGGTAGTTCTCTTTGACATCTGGTGGGAGGGCGTTCCACAGGGTAGGTGCCACTACCGAGAAGGCCCTCTGCCTGGTTCCCATCCTTGGTACTTCCATCTTGCTGGGATGCAGCTTCATATTACTGGCCATCCTCCAGCCCAATTAACTGAGTCCACATAAATGTTCTCTAGTCCAGTGTTTCCCAACCTTGTGCCTCCAGATGTTTTTGGCCTACAACTCCCATCATCCCTGACTAGCAAGACCAGTGGCAAGGGATGATGGGAATTGTAGGCCAAAAAACAGCTGGAGGCACAAGGTTGGGAAACACTGCTCTAGTCCATACCTTGGGTCCAATGAGGCCTTCTTTCCCGGGGATTCCTGGGGTTCCAGGCAGGCCCACCTCACCCTAGGAAAAGAAAGCAGAAGGTAGGCTGACCTCTCTAAACACATGTCTTGCCACACACTGCTTCATTGGCATGCGCTGGGAACACTTACAGGGTCACCCTTCCTTCCGGCAAGTCCCATTCGGCCTGGCAGGCCTGGCTCTCCCTAGAAGAGATGGAGGGTCCAATAGTGAGAAAGGACACAAGAGAGGGAAATGCTGGGTGCTAGCATGGCAGTGAGCTCACACACTCTTCATAGGAAGAGCGGTTGCTCTCTTGGACAGAGGTGGGCAACCTTTTGGCCCTCAAGGGCAACAAGAAGTGACGGGCAGGCACAGTGGTGGGCAGGGACATAAGCACAATCACACACACACACACACCCTCTCCTGCTGCTGCACTGTCACACATCTCTCTCACACACAGCCACATGTTACACATGTACACAGAATGATCTCAGCTGCATCAGGATTGCTGGAGAAAGGGGAGGTTAAAGACTTGAATACCTAGTGATCCTGATGCAGCAGTGGTTGCTATCCCTGTGCTGCAACCTTCCCCCCCCCCCATTGCTCAGCTGATTGGAGTTTCTGTGCAGTTACACATACAGATTCTGTGTCTGCCCAAAGCAATGTTTTGAAAACTTCTAGTGCTTTAGAGAGGGGGGTGGAATCCCCTTGCACTAGCGCTAATCCTTACACTGGCATTTTTATTTATTTAAGTACCACCCAATGTGTCATAATGCAAAAAAAGGGGGGGGGAGGAACCAAGAGAAACTTTGGCACTTACTTTCTCCCCCTTATCTCCATCCTGGCCACAGGCTCCTTTCATCCCTCGGTCCCCCTACAACAGGTAGAAGAGAAATAGAACACCACAAATGAGCCTTAAACTATTTTTATAGTACTGTTCAGTGTACACAGTTCATTGCTATTCTTTACAAAAAAATATTAGGATTTTAGAATACATCTCCTGACCCCTGCCCAGACAAAGCAACAGCGAGCCCATTGGTGACAATAGCATGATAACCACCTGGTGAAATGGACCAGGCTGAATAATACAGAATTTCCCAATAAGCTGCATGATTGAGGGATGATTTGAACATGGATCTCCCACATCCAATCCAAGGTTTCTACCCATTGTGCCAGGCCAGCAGGGGATGTATTCTGCCAGTATAATCCAAGGATCTTCACACCCTTTGCTGATGAGCTACAGCTACAGCTACCTTTTACATGCAATCATGGATTACAAGATGAAGAAACCTTTTCTTGATAATGCAAGCAGTCTCGGGCTATAAGAAGCAACAACACACCCCACAACAACCACAAAATCTGAACCTCCCCTTTGATAGTTCCCAAGTATATTAAAATAGCTTTGCCGGAGAGGTTCAGCTCCAGTCTGTTTCGTGACAGGGCTCACATAGTACTTCCTTGTCTGGAAACTATCTCTTGGGATCACAGGGAGAAACACAAAAGAAAGCAAATCACGCCATGCCACACCTTTGGACCTCGCATCCCAAAAGGACCCATGTCTCCTTTCTCCCCTCTGGTGCCTGGGATGCCATCCTTCCCGGGTTGGCCCTGGAGGGATAAAGAGGAAGGCAAGTCACTGTGAGTCTCAGGCTGTGATCTGCTTAAGGCAGAGCAGAAAGAGAAGCAAAGGACAAGTCCTCACCGGCTCTCCTGGTTCTCCCGATGCACCAACTTCTCCCTGTGCAAATACACAATATGGAAATGCTTAATACAAAGGTGAGAAGTAGTGGGCAGGTATGCTAAAGAAGAAACCCGCACACAGATCTGCATGCAACAAAGATCAAAGGCTGGGAGATGGCCATTTCAGCTTCAAAATCTAAATTGAAACTTTTGCTGGCCTCAATGAGAGTCTCTAAAAACAACGAAGACTACAAAAGGGCACCATTCTGCTGACATCTTTGAACTTTCTAACATGCACAAGCCACTCCAGAATGACAGCCTTCTTGCTAGCAGAAGTTTCAAAGCACCTGCAATGATACTTGAAAAGAAGACGAGATCACATCGATATCCTAGTTGCTGTCAACCAGCCATATTACTAATACTTTAGATTGCAACCTTTGAGTACGGCCATCCGATATTTTTAGACGTGAAAACCTGCGGTGTCATTTCTGCAGTAGTCTTTACGAAAGCAGTTGTCTCCTAAACCCACCCTAAATGAAAAAGCGTTCTTCACACCCGACATCCCCACCAGTCAAACGGTGTCATTCCTGAAGTCATATAGGACAACAATAATCAGTGAACCATGAGATAACTTCTTACCTTCTGCCCACCAGGACCACGTGCTCCTGGGAATCCTGCTGACCCCTTCTCTCCCTGCTCACCTCTCGCTCCCTATAGGTTATAAAAGTGAATGTTAATGAAAAATATGGGCAACAGAGAAAAGAAGTTGGTTGTCCCATCCTGGTGCTGAAGGGACAAAAATCACTTTCCAAAATTACTAGAGGCCAAAGCCAGAGTTTAGGAGTCATGTGTTCAACTTCTTCCTAACCAAGATCAGACAAGCTTCCTCCCTGTTGGAACTTGGTGAAGACATTTTTATTTCAGCGAGCACTTTAAGCTTTCTGAATTTATGGTTAATTTTAAGTGATTGTACCATTATTATATCTTTTGGTAACCTTATTGTACACCAGTGAGAATTCAGAATTTGAACCTACTTCTTTTAGCCTGCCTTGCCAATGTCCTAGTAGTGTTTTGCAGCAACCCCCCCAAAAAAAAACCCCTACCACTTGTTCTGAGTTGGCAACTTTATGATCTGTGTAAAATATGGCCCCATATCTGCTCATTGCCTTCAGACACAGGTATACAACCCCAACCCAATGTAGGTCATGTATGCAGGTACCCAGGGATTTGCTCTGGTACCTTCTCTCCAGAGATGCCTTGGTCTCCTTTGTCACCTTTGTCACCTTCCATCCCTTTTAGGCCACGGTCTCCCTAGAAAAGGATGGGAAAGAGGGATTATCAGTAAATAACCAGCAGTGCAGTCAGAAGAGTACAAATGGTATATATGATATATTGGGTGAAACATCAACAGGTACAAGGAAAGAAAACTAGTTGAAAGGACTAGGGATGCAGACTTCAGTGCCACATGTTCCCCCGCCCCCACCACATGGTAGAGGTTTTTTTATATATATAAAGCCAAGACACTTACTGGCTCCCCTTTGTTCCCCCGAGCACCTGGTGGGCCCTCCACAACGGCAGTGTCACCCTGCAATTGAGAGAAAGCAATTGCCAATCAGATCATATGCCTGTATCCCCCACTCCTGTTGGTCATGTGAGCAACAATCACTTTCTCCTGGGCAAATTCAAATTTTCAGTCCAGACAGAATCAATGGAAGCTTTTCGTAACAGCATGGCAAAATCCAAGGAGAGAGCACCAGCTCACCTCACAGCTACAGAATGATTAGAGCAATTGCAAGGTCAGGAAAAAAAAGTTTAGGGGTAACGCCACATACCGCTAACTATACCAATATCGGAAGCTGCCTTATTGTGTGTCAGAACATCGCTGTATCCAGTTCAGTATGGTCTATAATGACAGGCCTCTTTTAGGCAGGAGTTTCTTTCTCAGCCCTACCTGGTGATGCTGGGGCTTGCACCTGTTACCTTTTGCATGCAAAGAATGTGCTCTACCTCTCAGCTACAGCCTTCCCCATACAGATACCACCTGACTCTCTATAAGCAGAGCTACTGCAGGTATGCGGATGGAAGCTTGGCAGTGAATGCCCTGATATCGTCTTTCTCAAGGCCAGACCAATGTGCACCAGGCGGAAACATGGTGTTTGCAGAAGTAGCTCTGCCAACAGGGATGTGTTTTTTCTCCTTCCTTGCTTTGAAGGGTTTGGGCTTGGAATCCCACAAGGTTGCATTCAGTCATCACAATCCTGCCATGGATGGAGCTCTCACCTTGTCTCCCTTCAGCCCCATGAGCCCAACATCTCCCTAGGAGAGAAGAAAGTAAAGGTGAAAATAAGTCGGTTGAATTCATCATTCTCAAGATTCCAGTCTCACTCTGGTTATTTTCTGCTCCTCCGACTAGGCCAACTGCAAACATATTTGGGGAATTGCCAATATAATTTCAAATATTTATATTATTGAAGGGAGCGAGACTTTGTGCTGGCCATCAGGCAATGGCTTTTCCACCTGCCTTGCCCCACCTTCCAGCCCTAGGAACCTTCTGAACCATGTTGCCACCATGGACATTATGTGTAGGTGTCTTTTGATGAACTGACTGGAAGATTATGAGTCCTGGGGGTGGAGAGTGCTTCGTTTGTTTTTGGTTGCTAGTTTTGTTAATATTGTTTTGTGGATTATGAGTGCTGTAGCGCTTTGTGAATTTTATAGTACGACTTATGTTGTGGGTGTGTTGTTTAGCTTATTGTTTTAGTCATTTTGTAAAATAAAAATTTACAGAATAAGCTAAAAAAAGCCAGCCGTTTTCATTGCCTCAAGTCACTTAGAGGTTGACTTTCAGTCTCTGCAATATAAGTTTCCCTGTGCTCATAAGCCCAAGTGTGATTACACCAGTGGGTAACACTAGGAGACAAATAATCTGATTTAGCCTTCCTTCAGTGGTCCCGATCCAGAGTTTTATTCCTAAAAATATTGCTATTTCAATGGTCAGCAGGAAGGAAGTGATGGCACGAAGGCAGCCTTTACCTCATTCATTTCCCTCTTACAATTCCCCACCCCAGCCCACAAGAAAGGCTTTACTTACTTTGTCACCTCTCTCCCCTCTGTTTCCTGGAGGCCCCTAAAGACAAAACAGAAGGGAGGTCATTTCAGAATGACAACCAATGCTTATGCTCAGGTTTGAGGAAGCAGAGAAAGAATGAAGGGGAGTCAAGATATTTACTGCAGGCCCGCGATCTCCTTCCATCCCTGGGCGACCATCTTCACCCTGGAAAAAAAAGAAGAGAAGGGCATTGAAGCAGATGAAAGGAAAGAGCACAGGGTGGGGAAGAGGTTGCGGTTGTAGCTGTAGACTGAACCTAACGCGAGAACCTATCACAACACTCAGCAAGCAGATGAATCCTGAAGATGCTGCATCAAAGTTAAGCAAAGGCAGGGGCAGCCAGCATGACATCCTCCAGAGGTTGTTGGAAACCAACTCCCATCAGACCCAGTCAACATGGCCAGTGTTCAGGGATGATGGGACTTGTAGTCAAGCAACATATGGAGGTTGCCAAACTGGCAACCCCTGAGTTAAGGAGATCTTCAGAAAATATCGAAGTATTGGTTGTGCTTGGGTTTCTAAAGGTTTATTCTACAGAAAGACAAAATGGTGCCAGTCGTTTTTGTTATCTGATGGCCATGAATACCTGTTCCTCCTCCTCATGGAAACCAGAAACTAAAAAGATGCTACAGACTTTTCCTTCAAACAGTGCAAAATCCCACATAGCCAACTGCTCTGTCTCTGTTTGCTGCTTGTCTGATACAGATAGACTGCCACACCTATATATTGTGGTGAACTGATTCTACCCCACAAGTTTTGGTCTAAGTCTGAGAAGCAGAATCAAGATACATACCCGGGGTCCTGGATCTCCTCGCTCTCCTCTAGCACCTGGCTGCCCAATACCTATGGCCCCCTAAAATAAATAAATAAATAAATAAATAATGAGGAAAATGAAAATCCATCCATCATCCTGTTGCTATGTGCAACCTTTTCTCAATAAATTTAAGGAGCCAGCAACTCAGCAAAGCTTTGCATCTATTTAAAGATCCTCAAACATTGTCAGAATATTTCCAAGGAAAAAATAAGCTTGATATAACTTAAGTAATAAGGTATTAAAGCTATTTTTTAAAAAAACCATTCTCTGAATAATGCAAAAAACTAAGTCTCATAAGTGCAGCAGTTCTTTGGTTCTTCTTTTTTTGGTTTATATAGTGTGATATTGGGCAGAAACAAACTCCCTGCAAGACCTTAAACTGAGACTATCTGATCTGAGACTATAGGGGCTAAAACCTGCCTTTCTTACACTAGAAACTGATATATATATTTTTTGATTTCTTAACCAGTTGCCAGATGCTACCAAATTCTACGCACCAAGATTCATAAGGACCAGCAGCCCTGAGCAACAGCACACTGTACAAATTAAGCAGGTGGGGCCATGTGTGGATCGCCATCTTTTTTTCAGAGCTTCTGGAGGCTAGTGGGCAAAATCAGGGCTTACCTTGTCACCTTTCACTCCTGGAATGCCTTGTGTACCCTATAATAAAAAAAGTGATGGGGAAAGGGGGGGGGAACCAGGTTAATATTGCAGCATCCACACAGGAATACACACAAGTAACACTGTGGCACATGAGACAGGATCCAGCTAGAATGCATCTATCTATCTATCTATCTATCTATCTATGCAATCCTCACCATATACCCACATTCAAAATGCTGTACATACCGCTGGTCCTTGTGGTCCAGGTGGACCTGGAGGTCCTGTGGTGCCCTCCCTTCCAGGAAAGCCAGTTTGACCCTGGTAAGGAAAACAGATGTCACTGCAAAAGCTTTTATTAAGCTGGGCTAGAAACGATCCATCCTTTTTAGTGAACCCAAATCTAGAACCACATGATGTCCCTCTTCGTTTAGAACCAGGATGGGTTGCTCAAAGGCTACAAGCAAGCCCAAATAAACTAGGACAATGTTCATTGCTATGGACAACTTCAGAATCACATGCCAATCCTGGGGCACCTATCAAAGCATCCGACAAAAGAATACTGTTCAGTCATGGAAGCTACACACCTGAAGCTCCTTGTGGCTCCTAAAGACTACCATTAATTTATCTTGACAACAAAGGAAGGAAGAGCATTGGAGTTTGAAGGGTGGTGGCGGTGACCTCCCTTACCCTCTCTCCTGGAGGTCCTGGAAGGCCAGCTGGTCCGTTTTCTCCTCTCAGACCTGGCTGGCCTGGAATCCCAGGTGCGCCTGGTGAACCTGGAGGTCCTGGGGGTCCAGGCAAGCCAGGGTCTCCCTGAAAAGAAGCCGCATGACATTATGTCAGATCCAGAAATAGGTAATCCTCGTGGCCACACCCCCTTCTTCCCCATCCCAAACATCTGACAACCATTTTCACTACAAATTCATAAAAGAAGTATGAGGCTTGAACTCATAGTTTTATTATTATTATTCTAACCTTTCTAATACACATAGACAACAGAACTGAATAGATTATGTGCCTTTGAAATATATTTTTTATCTGGCTAAAACTCAAAAGGAACAGAAACCCAGGCTTAGAGTATAGTACTGAATGAAGCAATTTCCAAATTTACAATCTCAGCTATGGAACATTAACATTCCTCTGTATTTGGTTCTGCATTCTAAGATATAGTACTCCGGTGTTACTTTTTCCTGGTTCTGATTTGCAAACGGTAAGAAGAATAGCAAAGTTTCTTCAGCAGGAGCTGTCCACCAAAGGCAGTGCTGAAATAGTTTGAAGAGGCTTATGTATCCTGAGGCTAAAGATGTGTAAAGGAGCAAAATGGGGGGGGCATGAACATTTCCGAAAAGCTGCATACCATGGGGTCACAGAATTAACAGGAAAGGGATTACCTTTAATCCTGGAGGTCCAGTTTGCCCAGGAGGTCCCTGTTGGCCAATCCCAAGTGAACCCTGAATGATGCAAATGAAAGAAAAAGCAATTGTGTGCCTAGATAATGAATAAATATTAAGTTCTGGTTGCTTATGTCCCAATAGACTGCACTGAGAGCATTAATGGTGGGTGGTTAGCTCACATAGAAAAGATGGCATAATTTAGTTCATTTGCAGGTGGCTCACTGACTGGGAAGCAATGTGATGTCATGGTCCCTACCTTGGGGTCCCAGTGTCAATCTCAGGAGGATTTAGATGGTGTATTGGCTGTCCCCCTTGAATGGGATCCCTCAGCACTTACTTCTACACTGTCCTGGGATGAGGATGTGGTTCTCCTATCATCTCCAGTGTCTGAGGTTGAGTCACCTGCAGCTTCACCTGTTCCCCAACCACACAGAGCCATGCGACTGCAAAATAGCTACAGGCCTTTTAAAGGCTGCTCACAGCTCTTCCAAGGGTATGGGACCACTAGAAGAGAAGGTTGTCCCACTGTTCTTAAGCCCCAAGATGACTCTGGGCTCTGGTTGAGACAACAACTTCCCTAACTCAGCAGGCTCAGTGGGGACTGGACTGGACAGGGCAAGCTTCCTCTGTGGGCTGCAAACTGGACAAGAACAGGATAGTTCAGATGAAACTATTTCCCATTTATGAGCACCATTTTGACTGCTACTGAGTTCCTGGCCACTAACAGATACTTGGGACAATGTAGAGTTAGGAACATCTACGAGTATTGCACATGGACAATAAAAGCACACCTAAAAGATTTAATAAACATTTGGACTTTAACCAACAGAAGCTTCAACAAAACACATGAGAACCACTGTATACCTTTTCTCCCTTGATTCCAGATGATCCTTTGGCTCCCTATTAAAATCCAAAAACAGAAAAATAGCAAAAGGTGTTAGATGCATTGCTAAGAGTGATGCTAAGGTGGCAGGAGAGAAAAGAATGTGGCAACACATTTCAAATACAAAAAAGTCACTATAAAAGAGATGGCCATCATATCCTCTGAGGATAGGCAGGAAGATGTTAGCAAGTAATGGATTTAAATTACAGATTTTGTTAAGCATTAGTAACCATTGAACTAGTTGCTTGGGTATGTTATAGACTGAGTTCTATTTTGGGGGTTTTAAAGGAAAGGTTGCCCAGTTTTGTTGGTACTGGGTATCCTCCCCAGGGTATTGCACTAAATTAGGAATAACCACTCTAAAAATAAACTCATTTCAATCTATGACACTTAACAAGGTCTATTTTTTGCCTATCGAGGACTTGCCTCAGGTTCTTTTGTCACTGCCGAGCCTGTCCACATATTTTCATCTAGGATTGTGTTGCTTCATGAGTATCAGGCAGCTATGTTTCTACATAGCCTATTGTCCCTAGCCAGTACAGCACACGCCACACACACACACGACAACCCTACACACATTTGAAATCGTTCAGATCATTCACCCATAATAGGAAGGTTACCTCCCAGGGGAAATCAGCCAACATACGTTCCTAATTCCATATTTAGAAATTCAGAGCATGAAAAGGTGGTTATCTCCTTCCAACATCCAAGTCAATCAGGGACAGGGGGTACCTCTTGCCAGATGGTAGCTTAACAAGCATCCATTTTCGAGTACGTACATCGCTCGATAGGGACCGAGACAGCGGAGAAGGAGGCCAGTACGGCAGCAGCAGACACAGCCAGCAACTCCCGGCGATGGCTCCTCAAGCCCCGCCGCCGCCCCCTCCTCCGCCCGCTATCGCCGCCACCACCACCACAGCCGCCGCCGCCTCAGTTGCCGCCGTCCCTCAGTCCCTCGCTCTGCTGCCTCCTCCCACCCCCAAAGCTTGGAGGTTCCCCGGCAAGGGGGAGGGAAAAAACTTTCACTTTCGTGCGTCCCTCCCGGCGTGACGCTGCGCGCTGACGTCACGGGGCGGGGCTTTAATGGTGGTGTGCCGCGAGATTTTTTTTCAGTAAACAGGTGTGCCGTTGCCCAAAAAAGTTTGGAAACACTGATCTAGAGGTATCTACACTGAAAATGAGCCAAGGCCTCAAGGGCTTCCATGAAGTCCTCAGCTTCCAGAGAGAGAGAGAGAGAGAGAGAGAGAGAGAGACAGACAGACAGACAGACAGACAGACAGACACAGACACAGACACAGACACAGACACAGACACAGACACAGACACAGACAGACTCAGACAGACACAGACACAGTGCACCAAGGCTCTTTCTTGGAAATCTGTTTCTCACCTTTTCTCCTCGAGGGCCTGGAATACCTCGATCACCTTTGGGACCCTGTAAAGTAGAAAGATCAGCATTGATACCTGGCTTGGGAAACAAGAGTTTGAGAAACAGAAATGGGAAAAAAGGTAATAAGAAAGGCCAACGCACCGATTTTCCAAAAATTTCCCCATCAAAGTCACCTGGTGAACCCTAAAACAGATAATGTAGATTATCAGTACTGCTGAAGCTTCCCTTCAAATCCAGTCAACCTTCCCATCCCACCCTCAAAAGTTGGTATTCTCTTCTCCCTACACTTCCATAAAATAAGTGCCAGGCACATTTGTTTTATCTGACTGAATTTATTTCTCTCTTTAGATTCCATGAAGACTATGGAACACAAAGAGAGTATGCTCCTTTTTCAGTCTTGCTGGAAAACATGTCAGGAGCAAAGCCACTCTCTTTGAAAAGGAAGAGCCATAGCTCACAGCACTAGTGAACAGGCAGCACAGTCCTGACAAGTTATGGCATCCATGACACAGTTTGAAAGTTCTATGAGGTCACCACTATGTGGAAGCTCAGTAGGTCTGGGTCAGTGGCTGGATGGGCCACCACCTGCGAACCAGACAAACATGACCTTGGATTGCATGACAGAAGTACGGTTAGCTATAAGTGTAAGAAAATATAAAATAAATAAATTAGCACTGATCTGCACCCACTGCAGACACCACCACTTTTCAAGGGGTAATATTTGTACGGCAAGCAGATTTCGAGTCATAATCCTGAAACTGCTTCTACAATCCTCACTGAGCTGCCAAAGGACCCGGGTTTGCTGTATTTCTGTCAACTTGTGCCACCAAAATACATCATACAGTTGTTCAGTACACTGTACCAGGCGGGCCCAAGACATTTTAGCATCAGAGGTGACCCCCAAATTGGTGCCCCTCACCTTGTTCTCTGTACTGTTTTCCTGTTTTTAGCTTACCTTCTCGCCTTTTGCTCCAGGAGGCCCCACAACACTCTATAGACAGTCAGGGAGAAAGAGAGATGGATGCTTAAAAGCAAAGTGAGACAGTTACCTTAATTGGTAATTTTAATTTAATGTTCTTGCTGTTTTGTAAGCCGCTTTGAGGTTTTACTAGAATTGAACGGTATATTGAATTTCATAAAATAAAATAAAACAAAACAGAGACAATGTTCATTGTAAAAAAAAATTATAATTGTCTTTTTCTTTTTTTTTTAGTTTGCAAGTCACCTTGAGTGCTTCCAAGTGCAGTGGTAAAAATATTTTAAACAAATAACCATTAGAAACAATGTATATTTGGAAAATTCAGCCAGTATTTACTAGAACAAAAATATTTAGTAGAACAAATGAGAGAAAGATAAAGCATATGCTCCAGGGAAAAAAGGAGATTGTTACTCACTTGTCCTGGGAGCCCAGCATCCCCGGGTTCTCCTTTGGGTCCGGCAGGTCCTGCTGGTCCTGGGACACCCTGAAAAGCAGTTAATAACATGTAAGACTTTAGGTAGGCTCCCTTGCCCCACAATGACAATGCAATTCTATGCATATTTACTTGGAAGCAAGTCCCATTGTGTTAAATGTTTCTTACTCCCCTGGGCTGTGCAATCAGGATTGCAGCTAGCGACTCTCAAATGCTTGGGAGCAGTTGCTTCTTTGAAGAGGAGGACTTCACATAAAAGGTGGCCTCTTTGATCATAAAGTATGACTACTGTAATTCATTTTCAAACCACTGCCCTATGTCTTGAATTCAGCTTCAAAAATGGCTAACTTGACCCTATCAAAAAATGTGATCTGAACCATTACAGGAAATACTTTGCTGCTCTCTAACCTGCAAGCTTAATCCTCATGCTTCATACAAAACAATAGAGTTAGGTGGCTTAGAAGATTTTTTCTAGTCTGCATATGATGCCCCAGAGGTATTAAGAATGCAAAGTTGATGCATCAAGTTCATTTTCTGTAACCAAACCTTGGTTGCACAGGCAAGAAGAGATCATGTAAGTTGAGTCTTGGTGTCTTGCCCAGTCTAGAAAAGAATCACAGTTTAGATAGGAAGCTTACAACCTCACACTGTAGGCCGTACCATTTTCCCAGGCAGTCCAGGTTCCCCGTCTTTTCCTGGCACTCCATCCCTTCCTGGCACACCTAGCTTCCCAGGTTCACCCTAAGACATGGAGAGAAAACAGCTGGAATTAGTGCCTGCACTTGTCTGTACACGGGGGACAACAGAGGCAATATATTTTGCAACAAAATCATTCCATATTGTTTTGGACAAACAGGTTTGCTCGGAGGGCACGGTGGCCAGGGAACCAGTTGCATATTGGGTGTGTTCGGATAAGTGGGCAACGAGAATGAATCCCACCACACAGAAAGAGGAGAATTGGTTAGTGAAGCTGCTCTTTGTCACAAAGACAAACACAAGGGCATTAGGCCCGAGATGTACCAATGAGGGTTCAACTCAAGCAGGCACCAAAGCCTGAATCATTGAAGAACGACCATCAGTTGCGTAAAGTGGCATGGCGTGTGGAGGAGTCTGTTGGCATATGGTGCAAAGCAAGCTTACCACTTGTCCTGGTAACCCTGGAGGGCCCTGTTGACCCTGAAAATAAACACAAACAAGAAAGCATCAATAAACATGAAGGAGGAGACATGAACTTCCCAACCTAATTCTCCAATAGCTCTGAAGCTAGGGAAACATATTGTTCACGTACTGCAGGTCCCGGTGGTCCTACTGATCCTGGTAGTCCAACATTCCCCTGGAGACCCGGTAAACCCTGCAATGAAGAGATGAGAAACCTCTGATCAAACTTACACGCAGCTGGACCGATGGTACTGAATTCCCAACTAACCAGGCTTTTCAAGAAACGCTGAGATATCAACAGTCAGAAAGGAAAGGTAAAACTCACGAGAACCACTTTGGCAATGAGCAAAGGCCCTGAAATGACATCTATTAGGCTAGGAGATTAGGAACCAGCAGGAAAGCTGGGCTGGGGAGGGAAAGGAAGGCAAAGCTAGAGGTACTTACTCGGATGCTGGAGCCAGGCTCTCCTGCATCGCCCTGTAAATAGGAAGAATAAAACGCAACAACTCACTATTATGAACCTGTGTCTGTCAGATACGTAAGTTTTAATTGCTTCATTTTCTGCAAAGAAGAGTGTGGACTAACCACCTGGCATAATAGGGTTCCAATGCCATTTTCTTTTCAGAAAACAGAGTTCTCCATGGGAATTCAGAGATGTGTTTGTGGTGTTCCCCGCAGACAATGGTGAAGGCTGGGAGTGTAAGCCTCCAGCTGTCACTGGTTTGGGCAGAAAATAGTTCTAAAAGCCCTATCATTCTCTGGCTTCTTGGTGATCAAATCAGATACATACCTTTATTCCAGGTGGACCTTGAGCGCCCGGAGGGCCAATAGGACCCTGAAAAGAAAAAAGGCAATTATTTTCAGTAACCAAAGCACAACAAGGTTGATACAGAATGAGGGAAGCAACTATTGCCAGAAATCTCTTGTGCAATACATCATATTCTGTCTCTGATCAAGCCGGAGGTGCTGTCTCCTTTCAGAACTTAGCCTACTCGATAATGGAACAATCCAGACTGCACACACTACATATCCTTACCCCAAACACTGGGGACCCTTATTTTTCTATGCATGGTTGGCTAAGCGGATTTTAGGATGCAATAACATCTCATGGAAAAAAGCCAGTTTTACTTACAGGAGGGCCTGGTGGTCCAGTATCTCCCTGGTTACCCTGAAATGAATGAAGAAACATAATCAGTACTGGAAATGGAGCACTGAAACCAGAGCTCAGTATATGAACTTCTCTTCCTGGAAAGCTCTCCACTTTGGGACAGTTCACAGATATTTTCACCACTGAATTTCCAAAATGCAATCAAGCCTCTGCATGCTCGCAGACACTTCGGGAAAGGATTGTGTGAACTGGCAAGACACAGTACATTTCCCAGTGATTCTCCATAAACCACACCTGTACTTTTTTGGGTGCTGCAATGACTGCGTAAGTTCCTGTGAAGCATACTTGTATACTTGCACACCTCCAGTTCAGAAAATAAATTTATTTGTACACATCACATCTCTCAAATGGTTCACAGGGAGAGGAAAAACAACCTCTAAATTATTGGGGTGAGGGAGGAAAGCCTGAGGCAGAGAGATGGTCGCTTGGTGTACTGCAGAGATCCTTAGCCCCTGCCTGGGGGTCTGGCCTGACCCTGCAAGCACTTTTGATGCCACCTGTAAGGTCCCACTTATTTTAGTAGTGGCAGCAAAAAGGGGGAGGGACAACAAATAAAGTCAACACAGCTCAGCACCTGGATGCAGAAGCAAATGACTCCTTCACTTGTCACCAGATGAATCATTTGATGAGCAGGGAGTGGGTGATAACCCTCCTTCCTCAGCTGATATGCACAGGTCACCTGAGAAAAGCTGTGAGTCCTTTGAATAGCCACACCCACCACTGATACGCAGGTGCTAGAGGGTTGGGCTAAGGGTGAATATGCTCCTCAGGCCAAAAAAAAATTGTTTGTCACTCCTGGTCTACAATCACCCAGTGACCTCACAGTTTAATTGCTATTAGAGCTGTGGACTCTCCCTCGTGCATTTACTCCAACAACATCAACAATGGTTTACAAATATTAACTGCAAGCTTCATTATCTTGAACCCCCATTCAACAGGTACAGAGAGAGGTTAAAGTGGCTTCATTCCTTCTGGACCCAGGCCTCTGCTTTGACCGCTCTGCCAATGACTTCCCCCTGCCCCGACCTTCTCCCCTACAAAGCTTATAGTGCGATGTGAAGACGAGAACACTCCACAGACGACTGTTAGCAAGAGGCATATTGCTACATGCAAGTGAAATACAGCAAGCAGGTGAGAGAAGCAAAGGGAGCACCTACCGGTCTGCCCAGAACTCCGGGGAAGCCTGGCAAGCCCTGCAAAGATCCAATTCAAATATCCAGAGAGTTAGCAAGACCCAGAGCAATCCCTCAAGCAAGCCTTGCTTGGCCCTTGCCTTATCTCACAACACAATGCCAAGGCAGAGCTGCTCCTACCGCACTAGAGACAGAGATAGAGAGAGAGAGAAGAGAGAGACAGCGAACAAGCGGAGGAAGCCAACCACAGCCAATGACTCAGGTCAGCTGAGGCCTACCAAGAAAGGTTACTTACAGCTGGGCCGGAGGGCCCTCTAACACCCTGCAGGCCCTGGATGGGAGGGAATGACACAGAAAACAGACACACATGAACCAGCAACCTAAAGCACTCCAACAAAGGGGACAGGCTGTCCTCTGAATGGCCTAGAAAAATACAGTGGTACCTTGGAAGTTGAACGGAATCCGTTCGACTTCAAAAGCATTCGGGAACCAAGGCTCCTGCAGTCAATTGAAAGCTGTGTCAGACTTTCGAGTTCCAAAGAACGTTCGCAAACTGGAACACTCACTTCCAGGTTTGCGGCATTTGGGAGCCAAGGTACGACTGTAATTTTCGGGGGGGGGGCGGATTTGAGGCTGCTACCCTGTTTCCTCTTGGCTGTCTGAAGTGCTGAGTTCTGTCAGGCCAAAAGGGAACTCCCCTGCACAAAGGAGCTCTACTGAGGCAGATCTGAGGCTATGGTGAACACCACACAGACCATTCCACTGGGGCTCCTTAGGCCATAAGAGAGTAAGGACATGGCATCACAGACAGTGTGCGGAAGCTTCCAGTCATTTGTCTGGATGCTTGAATGCTTCTGAACATTCTTATGGAGCAGGGCCGCTCCACTCAGTAGAAGAACCGGGCTGAATTGTTGAACAACCCTCACTGCAGGTTTTGGAGAATAGGAAGCTCCTTCAGTTGAGTCCTCTTCAGTAGGATGATGGCCTGCAAGGGACAGCATCGATGGAAGGTGGATTCCTGCAAAAATCCACTGTGTTCTCAAGACAACAGGGTGGGGTGGGGAGTGTCCTAGAAATGGTTCGTTACATCAGCGTAGAACACTCAACACAGAAGGCAAAGCACGTTATTACTGTGGGGAAGGAAGGAGGCACACAGCAACACAGAGAAGGATTCCAACTAGGTGTGAAAGGAAAATGTATTGTGAAGAAAATCCTCTATCCCCATGATATCTCTTCTCCTTGAATCTCACCCTGGCTTTCTGCTGCTGGTAAAGCACTGGCTGCCCCACAAGCAGAAGGATCACCCCCTGCCCATCACTGCTCAGGGCTCCTAGTGCCTCAGGGATTCTACCCAGACTCCATGGGTCAGAGTGAGGAGCATCACAAGTGCCCAGCCTAGCAGACACTACTATTATCAATATGTAAAGGGGAAAATAAGAGCAACTTATAAATGTTGGAAAACTGAAGAAAAAATATCTTTGGAGATCTGGTACAATTATGTCTGAACTATGACGCTAGCACAGATGCTAAGAAAGTGGAGAAGAGGTAACATGAAGTACTTCTACAATGGATGACTTTGTGGAACAAGGCTACTACTGCAGCTTCATATCTTATAGTAACCAACAATAAGGTCAGCTACACAGACAACCTCTGGAAGAACATATTCAGATGGACAAGTTCTGCAAAATATGCAGAATATGAAACAAACCTCAAACACAAAGCATTCAGAAAGTAACAGTGTGTGCTTCTGTATGTAATTGTATTGCTTCTTATGAAAAGAAATAGCGAGTTGAATATTATAATAATGTAATGTAATGTAATGTAATGTAATGTAATGTAATGTAATTAATTAATTAATATAATATAATATAATATAATATAATATAATATAATATAATAATAAATATAAAAATGTTGTCTCTCTGCCAGGGTGTCCCAAAAGTAGGTCTACTGCTTTCGAATCTACTTTCTTTGTTCTTGACTCAAGTTCGCTGTCATCGTTCACAGTATCAGTAAAGAAAAATAATCCTTTTATCTGACTCCACTATACTTTCCAACTGCCAGCCTGAAATTTAACTGCCACTTTGTTGTGTGTTAGTTATGTGTACCCATATAATCTGTTGTGATGAATTTCACTGACTCAACTGTAAACTTTTAGGCCACCCTGTACTATACAGATTTATGTGTGGCAGATGGAAGGCCTTGAAGCAAGACTTTTGTTCCTTGAATGCTGGTTTAGCAACTGTTTTTAGAAGGCTATGGAGAGAAAGCCTAGGCTGGAGCTGGGGTATATGACTTGTGGAATTTCAATAAGCCCACCCTCCACCTTTCCTCCAAAAATTTGAGCTCTGAATCTTTCTCTTTGCTCTCTCTTTCCTGCCTTCTGTCCTACTCCCCAAATCGCACACATTTCCCACCCCAATACTGAGGCTTCCTCTTCCCAGTTTTACTTACTGCTTTCCCTTCTGGGCCAGGAAGGCCTCTTTCTCCTGGAAGGCCCTAGAGCAAAATAAAATTCAAGGTCATCGAGAGAAAACAGGAGGTCAACAAGGCATCAAATACCACCTCTGCAGCCACAGTGTAATGCAGCATCAAATGAAGGTGGGCGTGGAATATGTCCCCAAACCCCACTGCTCCTCAAAGTAGGGTGTTGTTTATTATTAGAAGAAGCAGTGGCAGCTGTGATTTCAGAACTATGTTCCCCCGCCACCATTTCCAACAGTGATCCATCACCAATACTTACTGGAGCGCCATCCCTGCCTCTCTCACCGGCTTCACCTCTCTCCCCTTTCTGCCCAGTTTCACCCTGCAATTCAAAATGTTGTTTGATGTCACAAAGGCAAGTAGGCGGGCCCTTTGTTCCAACGTTCCATCCCGAGGGCCAATCCATATCCAGCTCTCCTGGACTGCCCACTATGATGCGTTTGTCTGCATTGCTTCCCCAGGAGACCAGGATGGGACTTGGGCTCAGTCCAACCGAGGACATGGGTGGAGGCTGCCAATGTTTTGGGACAGCCCTGGCTCACCCCCCCCCCCCGAGAAATAGTGAGAAGGGTGGGGAATGCACACATCAAGAGCAAACCTGAAAAAAGGAAGCATGTGAAGTCCCACTGGAATCAGTTTATTTTGATATTATTTAGTACATTCATGTCCCACCTTTCTTCCAGGCCCTTGAACCAGAACTTTATGCTATCCTGGCATAAAGGAAGTTTAAGACCATGAACCCAGAGAGAGCCGAGACCCTAACCCTGGAGGAATGGAGTGCCAGCAGTCATTATCCATGGTTTCCACCCCAATTCTGGGAGTGGAGTAGGATCCTTTGGTATTGGAAGGGGATGCGGGGGGAGAATAACCATGGGAATAAGCAAGCCAAGCTCCCAAAGCTGAGTTCTGAAGGAAAGCATGGCGAGGCCAGGAAATTCCTGCTTTGGTGAGCAGGGATATCCCACTCTTAGTCATAGCTGCTGTTGCACCCCTGCTTGGGTGGAGGGCAAGTAACCCCCCTTTTGGCTCAGCACTGCTGAGTTCTCCATGAAAGGGATAGAGAAAAAGAAGAATTTTCAAAGCGAGATAAAAGCCAAACACTCGGCAGGAAAGAAAAGGTCCCCCTCTTGGCAAGCGAAGGCACAGAGCAGGCACAGGGGAAGCCGGAGAGATGCAGGGGCGGGAGACTTACTATACTCAGACCTTATCGCCTCTAGAGCCTTTCTCGCCATCTTCTCCTGGCTCTCCCTGTACAAGGGGAAGGAAAAAAGGGAATTGTTTTCTGCAAGCCTCAAAGAAGTGAGTTCTAGTCCATGGATGGGGAATTTGTGGCCCTCTGGGGTACTGCTGGGGTACAGCCCTCATCAACCCAATCACTGGCTATGGCAGAAGGGATTTGGGAATCCATCATAAGGAGGGTCATGGATGCTTCATTCCTGGTCTAGTTATTTTTCATCACCCATAATGCCCAAGTAGGAACAAATGCCATCATGTGAAGCTCAACAATGATGCCTGCATTGCTACCTTGCTCCTCCCAAGCTTCTGTCTATCACATGGTTCACACCTTTGTTGTTGTTTTGTTTTTATTTTTCAAATTACAGGGCTATAATTTACTAGGCAAAGATTTAAGACAGCAATCCTATGCACACTTATTTGGAAGCAAGTCTCAGTGAACTCAAAAGGACTTACTTTTGAGCAGACCTATGCTGGATTGTGATGCAAACTAACTAATATTTAACTTAATCTTTTATCAAATTTTAACAGACGAGTATTAAAAGGGAAGCAGAAATAACATATTGAAGATTTCTAATATAGCCTTTTTATGTTGTCTCATCACATTCTTCATTATCTCAAAATGGCAGATAAATTGAGGGTTTGGGACTCAGCAATTCTGTTTATATTTAACTGGTTAACCCCCCCCCCGATGCCCCACTAAAGGTCTTCAAAGTGAGGAGAGTTTACAATACTGCAGTCTCAGATTCTGTTGTGGGTTGAAAGGCTCCCTGATTTGGGGAGCTAAATGCCAGTTCTGTTATCATTCATGGTCAGAAAAATACAGGACTCAGAACTGAAATTATTAAAACCACTAGAAGAGTGGAGCATAGCCCTATTCCGGGGAGGGGGGAAACTTCCCTAAAGCTGCTCTGTGCATAGGTAGGGAAGTCTCCATTGGCTGAGAAAAGACTGGCATGGAAAGGGCACTAACCTTGCTTCCCTTGGGTCCTGCAGCCCCACGCTCTCCTGGAAGCCCCGGGAGGCCCCCTTCCCCTCCATCCACCTGGAAAAATAAGAAGAATTGCACATGGGGTTTCTCCTCCTTGCACAGAGACAAGACCTTGCACACTCATGTTTTGTCTGTATTCCGACAGAATGTCACATACTGTTCTCCACTACATGCGAAGAACATTTATGTGGGTATTCCAATACTTGGATAACCTCTCAAGAACTAACCGCTAATAGAGCTGTAGGAATTGCTTGACTTAATCAGGGTACCTGTGTCTGTTCCACGTGCAGTTTAGGATCCATCTTTCCCTGGGTATAAAACTGTTGAGTTGGAAGGGACACTGAGGATCATCTAGTCCAACCCCTGCAATGCAGCAATATGCAGCTGTCCCTAACAGGGATCGAACCTGCAACCTTGGCATTATCAGCACCATGCAGTAACCAACTGAGCTATCCAAGCTATCCCTCATGCTTGATTAAATCTGTTGATTTTTCTAGGCTATGACCCAAATTCAAAAAAATTTCACACAGAATCAAGCTTAAGCCCAGGAGCAGAAGTGTGTGTGTGTGTGTGTGTGTGTGTGTGTAAGTAAGTAAGTAAGGGGGTGAGATTGACCTCATATTGATGGGCATTCATAACTTAATTGAGCTTTTTCTAGTTAACTAAAGGGGGCTGTGAAATTTGAAGATCCTGGACTCAGCTGGAAGATGGGAAATGCTTAACACCATCTTCCGAGGCCTGGTATCAATTTACAGCAGCACATGTTAGGGAAAAGCTTTAACTTTTATTCCCATTAGAAATCTAGCCAGTAAGTAGGCAGGGCAAAATAGCAACAGAGGAAGGAGTAAAGGGATGGGATCTGTTTGAGCTTCAAAACACTGAATTGCCAGTCCAAGGAAGCACACAAGGCTGTCTAGGGCAAGGCATTCATGGCCACAGGGTACAATCCACAAGGACTAGAGGCAGAAGAACATGTCTATGTCTCCCCTTTTCTTGGGTTTTCAGGGATTTTCTCACAGAGTTCAAAGAATTCAGGATATAACTCAACACCGGTGATCAACATCATTTTACATTGACTTATTATAGGTCTTCCTCGTGTTACATTCAATAAGTGTACCATTTGTGCTCACAAGAGATGGGCTGTACAAATCAAAATGTGTGCATTCTTTTACACAAATATATGCACCTGTGTAGAAACAGCTTTTAGCTGTGTTTAGTACAATGTGTGAACAAGCTTAATATGAGTTCAGCATCTAGGACAGACACAGACACACACACACACACACACACACACACACACGTGTCCCCTAGATGCTGAACTCATATTATCTATCTATCTATCTATCTATCTATCTATCTATCTATCTATCTATCCATCCATCCATCCATCTATCCATCTATATATATGAATGAATGAGAAGGAATCACTCACCCTGGGTCCTGGTGGCCCTGGTGGCCCTTGTAAGCCATCTCTGCCCTGGGGACAAGAGAAACAGGGTAATGATCAAATACATGGATGATTTTCCAAAGAAGTGATCCAAGTCTTACTCACCCCCACCCACAATGTGTCACAACAGCAGACATTGTCCAGTAACTCCTAAAGATATGGGATGAATGAGGAATACAGAGAGATAGGCCCACCACAGGTATATCATTCAGAACTATACTTTACAGGCAAAACATCTGTAACAGGGCCCAGATGCCACTTTTAAAAAAGAAAAAGAAAAATACAGAAAATAAACTTCCTGAGAATGGGATTCAGAACCAAAAAGCAGTATGGGGGAGGGTTCTTAACCCTGTCCTTGTCTCTCTGCTTTACTTCCCTCCCCCAAGTGATTTCTCCCTGACCTGAGCAGAGTTCCAAACTTGTGTTGAGGTGCTGGCTTTTAATCTTCCAGTTTAAATATTTTAGTGTTATTTACATGTGCTTTGGGCTTGGTTTATGATTGTACATCACTTTTAAGACTTCTTACTAGAAAAGTAACTCATGAATATTTTAAACAAGCAAAAAAATAAACATGAGTTTAGAATTCTCCAGTGGAGAAAAGCCACATGAGGGTGATTTGGAGCCGAAAAACAGCAAGCACAAAAAGTGGTACACATCCGCTTCCCTCCCTCCAATGCTTATCTGCAGAATTGTGGGTTTTCCTTATCCCACATGTATTTCATTATTCAAGAACTGTCTACTTTCTCTACTTTGTTTTCAAGTAAGGCAGCCCTCAGTGCCTGCTCCAGACTGGACTGACACCAATTACCCTGAGGCAAATATCTTGTCTCAGAAGGATTTATACCCTCAAAGTAAGTATATAATCTTTGTCCTGAAGCTGCATTTGTAAATGCACACTGTTCTCAGAGATAGATGCAGAGAGACAGATTGGCAATCACTCTGAAGTCTAATAAATTAAAATTTTCAGTGGCTACTAGTCATGAAGGCTATATATTACTCAGAGGTTGAGTGCTTCAGAATATCATCTGCTAGGGGGCAAACAGCAGGAGAGAGCTATTGTGCTCATGCCCTGCTTGTGGGCTTCCCATGGGCATCCGGTTGGCAACTGTGGGAACAGAATGCTGGACTAGATGGGCCTTTGGTATGATCCAGTATAGCTCTTCCTATGCTCTTGCCTATACACAGAATTATAACCACCAGACCCCAACAGCAAGAGAAGCATATAGTTGTATTCATACTGAAACCAGTCTACAAGTGCCCTGTCTGGTTGACAGTTTTCCTGAAGACTTTTTCTCCTTAGACTCCAAGAAAGGAGTTTCTCTACTTTAGCCAAAGCAGCAATTTTTATTCCCTTCTCAAGACCACATGATAGACCCCTTTCACAAATCTCTCCTTAAGGGTTCTGACTGGGTCCGCAGCTTCATTTGATTGTTGCTGTCTATTTGCTTCTGAAGCCTCTTCAAACCCCAAACATATTTCCCTTAAACTTTCCGTAAGCCTCTGAATTCTGGTATATAGTTTCAGCTTCAGTTAAACAGGATGTGCCTATCAAAGATGCACTCCAGTCTTCTAGAGATTTGTTCCACTGCCTCCTTTTCATTTTCTGGCCAACAAGGCACTCCCACCTTTGCTGTTTCTCCCAAATGAACCAATTAAGACCTGTATTTTCTTGTGCAATTAAAGCAATCTAAACATTCCCTTCCTATCCCCACCCCCTTGCAAATTTAGGTAACCAGGAGCATTCAAGATCAGTAGAGCTTGCATCCATGATAGTTGGATGTCAGGGAACTGCCATCGGAAGGACAGGAGGTGGAAGGGCTCACAGAGGTTGAGAGAGACTTAGCAGCTGAAAAGGGAACCAGCAGGGGGAGAGAAGGAGCTCCAAGGGAAAGTGAGTCGGAGGGATGGCTCAGAGACACTTCCAGCGAAAACAGTGGGGAGGTTTCAGGACCTCCTATAGGGACACCCACTCCTCGCCGGAAACTGTCGCGCCGAGAGTCCAGAAGACGTGTTTCCGTTAAGGAGCTTTTATGCTGGAAGAGATTCCGTAAGCGCCCACTGTCGGATTCTGCTAGCGACTGACGGAGCCATGCTCAAGGGGCTCCGTTACCGGCAGAGGTTTGCGGACTTAGCCAAACTCTGAGGGACCAGGATTTTATGCACAAGCAGCTCATCATCCCATCACATTGGACATGACCTTACCCTTTCCCCTCCAAGGTAGATTCATGTTGTCTCTTAAGAATAAAAGTACGTTACAGTTTGTGGTTTGTTTGGAGTGAGGCAAATCATGAGTCTGGGTTCAGATGATATGTGAAGCTAAACTTAGTGCAGCAGTACGAGAACCAGAGGAGAAGCTAAGTGGCTGTGATCTGATTTCTGGGAACCCATATGCACAGTCATGGTTTGCCTTAGCATTATGTGTGAACCAGATTAATAGCTTGGATCCCAATTAGTTGTACAGTATTTAGTCCCACTGTAATCAGTGGAGCATTAGTCATGCTGTACATAAATACAACTAATCTCAACGGGAGTAAAGTGTGACCAACTTAAGTCTAGAGCCAACCCAATGTTTTTCTTGACAAAATTGTAACATGGGGGGGGGGAGAGTCAAAACCAATTAGTCACAAAACATCCAGGTACACACACAGCTAATGATCACATAACACAACCTCACATCTCACTTAAGAGAATGCAGCTGCCAATATTAAAAGAATTTAATTTTCCAGACTTCAGTTTACACTACAAGTCATATATTTTTAGTGTGAACAAAAAATTGGCAAATTCCTCCTTCTATGTATACCCCAGCATGGATAATTTTAAAGATGATTTATCTAGCACCTGTCCTAAGATGGATAGCTTTGCACTTAAAGTATAATAAAAAAAACCCCACTCACCGGCTCTCCCTGTCCACCCTTCTCACCCCGATCACCCTGGAGAAAGAAAATGATGAGTTTTAGAAAGAACCACAAAACTGTTTCAGGAAAAGAAGTACTAATGAACTATCCAGGAAATGTGAAAGCATAGATAGTTTTATTGCTGCTGTGCCATGAGTCTATTATGTATATTGTTGACACATGGCTTTATTTTGGTTTAACTGTGTAACTTTTCATTGTTTTAGATAAACAAATAATCTGATGTTCAGACATGTTTCCCTCAGATAATCCCACTTAGGAGAACCTCTCTTGCTCTGCCTCTATCCAACTCATGCAATGACTATGAGGAAGTGATGGATTCGGAAAATGTGGTCACTGGAGGGGTAGGCCAAGGTTACTTGGGGGCATTTGAGCTCCTGGTCACATTAGGTGCCTTCCCAGTTAATGGTGTCCCTTTCTGTTCCCACCTTTTGATATGCTCACCTTTTCTCCAGGCCTCCCAGCCTCTCCAAGTTCTCCTGCCCGGCCTGGCACCCCTGGTATTCCAGGTTTCCCAGGCTCCCCTGGCTGGCCAGATGGTCCTTCTGGCCCCCGCTCTCCAATGGCACGCCCTGTTGGGCCTTGGGGGCCTTGGTCTCCTTTGTCGCCCTTTTGGCCTCTTTCTCCAGGGAAGCCTATGAGCCCCTGCAAAAAAAAACACAGAGCATCATCTAGAGGGCCTCAGACCAGCTTTCTCTACAAAAGGAAGCTCAGAGATTTCTATGAGCAAAGCGCCTCTGCAAATGCTTTTCATCATGGAGACTGGTAACTCCAACAGGATGGATCCCCCCACAAGGAGCTTTGAACCAGGTCACAGTGGCTACAGCTGCTATTAACCTCCCATGTCAGATAATCAGATTATGAACATTAACATTGAATTTTGGGTACTTCTAGCTCCACTATATCCTTCAGTTCCGATAGGCCATTCCTGATAGTGGCGCCACCACTGCGGAATACTCCCCTCCCCTGAAGTTGGACTAGCACCAATAGTGAACAGCTTTTGGCACCGAGTGAAATTTTTTTTGCTCCATCAGACCTTTGCATGAACATCAGAGCATGATAGCTAGGGAACTGTAAACCTCACCTCTCTGCCTGCTGGCCCTCTCTCTCCTGGATCCCCTCTGTCACCCTTCGTGCCTTTCAAGCGGACAGGGGCAGGCAAGAATTGATCAGAACTCCCTTCAAAGGCACCAGTGATCTCCCGCAGTAAGGAAATCTGTAAAGGAAGGAGGGAGAGTTGAGCTTGTCTGCTAAGGAAATGAAAAGAGGCAGAATTGGTCCACCACCCTGTGCACAAACCTTTAAGCACAAACCTCAACAGCATGATCTCCACACACACCCTATTTCCAGACCATCCCTTCCTCCATCTGGAGCAAAAGGCAAACTTAATACATGCCCTGCCCTGTGTGCCGGACCAATGATAACTTGAGAGAGCCCTATGGTCATCATGGAGAGCATGAAGCTGAACCACTGGAGGCAACCTCAGCATGGATGCTAAAAGCACCCAAAAATAACATTCTGGGCAGCAGAGTAGAAGGTACACCAGCATTACTTCTAGTTTACTTCCTCCTTAGGCCAACACCAGGTGCAGGCCCTCCTAGAGGAAATCCTTGGTGATGGAGATCAAAGGACAGTGGGCCACAGAAGCTTCCTCCACCATCCCTGCAGCCTGTGCTGATGCTGTACCAAGTACCTGCATCAGAAACCTTAAGGTATACTGTAAGATGCAGCCGAGAACCTTCATTTGTTTATGATGTTCATGATGTATAGGAACCTTAAAAAAGCCTGTTAGATCAGACCAATGGCCCATCTGGTCCAGCAACCTGTTTTCACAGTGGCTGACCAGATGCCTTTGGGAAACCAGCAGCAAGCAGGATTCAAGCACAGCAGCACTTTCTCCTCCTGTGGTTTCCAGCACCTGGTATTCAGAAGCATTGCTGCCTCCAACTGTAGCCGCAGAGCATATCCATTATGGGAGTAGCCCTCTCCTCCATGAATTGGTCTAATCCTCTTTTAAAACCATCCAAGTTGGTGACCATCACTGCATCCTAAGTGAACCCTAAGTAAGATGGTCCTTAAGGTACCATGGTGCTAATTCTTTAAGGGTTTTAAAGCTTAATTCTAGTGCTTTGGACAGAGCCTAGAAACGTTTCCCTTCATCTGCCTAGTTATTCACCAGAAAGAACCGGGTCCCACGATGGATGTAAACTGGAAAGCATAACCTGGGAGGCAAAATGGCAGATGAGGCTGCCAACTCATACCTTGATTCCACTCGCTTCTAAGACACGTTCAACATTCTAGACAAAAGGAGGAGGAAACCCATTAGCAAAAAAAGTAGGCAGGGGGAGATAAATTACAAACAAATATCAAACTCTCTACTCTTTGCTTTGAGGGTTCTGGCCGCCCTCCTGTATTCCTTGTCTTGCTGCTCCCTATGGTGATCAGCTCTATTGTGACATCACAATACAGCACAACTGAACCATCAAGAAGTCAGAGCAACATCACAGAGCTAGGTGAGTCCATACCTGATAGATCCCTCTGATGCCGTGCCTATATATATATGCTGCTCTCTGCAGAAGGGAACTCCCAACTGGAGACACACAAAGGAAGCTATACCAGCAGATGGTTGTCTTAGGGCAGGATTCCCACTGAGACAGTTCTATATTTCACCAGTTTGTTGCTGGACAAGTTCCCTAGCTTCCATTGCTAATAAATTTTTACACATATGAGTTTCTTTTCCAAGTAGTGCTCCAGAGAAACACACCAGAATACTCCAGTTATGGGAATGAGGTTATGGGAATGAGGAGGCACAGTAATGCCATATAATTGAGAAAACAAAAACCATCTCTTATACATTGTCAGGAACATCCATCAGTCCCCCCTCCGTTCCACCAGTGGGAACCCAGACCACAGTGTGCTACAAGTGGAAAGCAGAGGTACTGCAGAAAGGTACCTACAGAGCAAATACTTCCCTTCATGACTCAAGCCACAAGGCATATTTGGGAGAAGGCAAACATTGCCACCCCCCCCCCCGGGTCTATAGTTAATTTAAACAGAGAGCAAATCTGTACATGTGTCATGTCCCCCCACCAGACCCTCAAGGTGAAAGAGCATGTCTGTTAACTCACCGGTGTTGTTCCAGGTTCACCTCTAAGCCCAGCTTCCCCTGGTCTTCCCTGTAAGTGATGGGGTGGTGGGGGAGAGAGAGAAGGAAAACAAAATAAGGCTCATTGTGTATAGCTATAGTACTCAATAAGTGTGCATTGTACACCATGTAACAGCCCCCATCAATCGTCATTAGATTGCATTTCATGTGGGCAGAAACCTCTGGTGTGTTGCGCATGACAATACCCCCATTATTATGCATCGCTGCATGATATGCCAAAGGGCCTCATGTAGCCCAGTGCAGACTGGGGGTGGTCTAAAACCCAAGTGATCTGCCAATAAGATTCCATTAAGTCCTGGTTCCAATGTGCTTTGAGTCCTTTGAAAATCTACACTTTCTCAAAGTGGGATGCATATATTTTATCACAGTTTTACATGACAAAAGGAAAAGTGATTGCTGCGGCAGGTGGAACTCACTGCAAACTGCAGCTAATAATAAAACAGGGATTCCACAAGACTGAGTCAACGACCCCTCTGTAAGGGGCTCCAACACTTGGGGCCACAATGTCATTCTAATTTTTTTCAGGTGCTTTGTGGCTTTAAGAGATACCCACCTGATCTCCTTTGGATCCAGGCTCCCCTCTGTCTCCCTAAAACACAATGCATACAAGGAGTTAGTACTGAAGAGAGAAATTCATTTCTGACTAAGGGTGCAGAATATGGTAGATCTCTGGCTCCACATGTAGGGTACTTTGGGTCTAGGGGCCTGGAGTCATGCAACATGGATTGTGGCACACAGGGCAACATATCCTGCTACTGCCAGTAGGGATTCAGATATGCAGAGAACTCCAGTCCACAGCATGCCTCCTTTGCAGCTACCTCGTTTATTTTCTGGCCATAAGCTCATCTGATGAGAGTGGCCATAGGAGGATGCCCCATACTTTCAAGGCTGAGTTTTCAAACCCCAGAGAGAGTTCAGCTGACATGGAGGCAGGTTTGCAATGTGCTAGCTATATTTTCTTACTCCGTCAAACTGCATGCAAGCTGAAGCAGAAGGCTTTGCTTACCTTTTGTCCTGAAATCCCTGGGAGGCCTGGCATGCTCTGTAAATGGCAAGACAGTGGTGAGCAAAACAGCAACTAAGCAAGGACACTCAACACAAATGAATCCTTAACCACATGGGCTCTGCCGGGACTCCCAGTATAAGGGATACCAGGGTTGGGGGCTGCACACTCATGAGTGTGCATGCTCACATATGCAATTACAGGCAACTTTTCCCATTCTCTCTCTTACACACATTTTACTCTCCAGCTAACAGAACCAAGACTGCTGTGTGCAGTGACCTTAGCTGTTATCCGGGGCGGGGGGAGCTTCTTCCCCAGCACTTCTAGTGAGCTATTAGGAGTGCAGGGACAGAATTCTTGACTGTATGAAGAACTTCAAAAGACTTCCCTGTGCTCCCGAGGGACAAAAATCACTATCCAATGGACAGTGGCCTTGACTGAATCAAGCGTGCCAGGGTGGGGGAAGTTGAAACCTCTCCCCCAGACCTCCCAATGTCTGACCAGCTAGGCAGTGAGGCGAAGTTCAAGGTTCCCCTAGGACTTTGAAGCAGTGGTGCCCATTGGGGCTGGTAGGGCAGAAGGCAGAGAGACCAACTGTGGCTTGCCTTTCATACTAAAGTTAAAGGTAAAGGTACCCCTGCCCGTACGGGCCAGTCTTGCCAGACTCTAGGGTTGTGCGCCCATCTCACTCAAGAGGCCGGGGGCCAGCGCTGTCCGGGGACACTTCCGGGTCACGTGGCCAGCGTGACATCGCTGCTCTGGCGAGCCAGAGCCGCACACGGAAACGCCGTTTACCTTCCCGCTTGTAAGCGGTCCCTATTTATCTAGCACTTAAGGGTGCTTTCGAACTGCTAGGTTGGCAGGCGCTGGGACCGAGCGACGGGAGCGCACCCCGTCGCAGGGATTCGAACCGCCGACCTTTCGATCGGCAAGCCCTAGGCGCTGAGGCTTTTACCCACAGCGCCACCCGCGTCCCGCCCGCCTTTCATACTAAACAGCACTAATTCTGCTCTCGGTTCAGCATCCTGGGAGAGTCCGCCCTTTTCTGCTGGTGAAGCTGGCAAAAATAATGTGGTGCTTATTATGTCAGGAGGCTACTCACCTGGCCTGGAGGACCAACTTGCCCTGGCATGCCAGGAATACCCAGTGGCCCTGGGGGGCCTGGAGGCCCAATGGTCCCTCGCTCTCCTTTCACACCTTCACGACCCTGCCAGCAAAGAACATATGCAGTGACACGTAATACAGAAGGGGGTGCCTTATACAGAGTCCATCTGGCTTTTCCTGACTGGCAGTGGCTTCGCAGGTTTCTCAGCCCTGCTGCCTGAGGGCCTTTTAAGCTCATTGGTGCTGGGGATTCACTGGGAATCCTTTATTTATTTACTATTATCATCATCAACAATCTCATTGATTAATTTCTTCTCATGAGGCATCCAATAGTAATCTACTACACACGCACATACACATATTGTGCTTTTCTTGGGGGGGGAGTGTGTGAATGAGGTGCATCAGTACTTATATATTGATAGAAGTGACATGGGTGTCAGCACAAAATGGCTGCCAGGGGCAGCAAAAAGAGAGGTATTGGTACTTCATATTGTTGAGTGCATTATCAAAAAAAGGAGAAAAGTCCAGTGTGTGTGTATTTTCTACACACACAATTTAATTTTTTTTTTAAAATGAAGCTCTAGTAATTAACTTCAGTTCCCCTCAGTAATTTTCTAGTACTCTCTTTAATCTGCACTGCTTGGCAGCCTGTATTCCTTCAGAACATAAGAACCCTCCTGGAGCAAACCCAAGACCATAGCTGTCAACGTTTCCTTTTTTAAAGGGAAATTCCCTTATTCCGAATAGGATTCCTAGCAAGAAAAGGGAAAAGTTGACAGCTATGCCTAAGACCCATTTAGTTCAGAGTGGCAACCAGATGCCAGGGGGAAGCCTGCAAGCAGAGTCCGAGTGCAACCAAACTCTCCCCATATGTCATTCCCAGCTACTGGGGTTCTGAGGCAGACTGCTTCTGGCAGTGGAGGTAAAACCTCTGAATGCCAGTGCCTCCAAATATCTGTTTTAAGGTCCCACAAACACTGTAATTTCTAATGATTCCTTTTTAGGCTTCCCAAAAAAATCTGGAGGATGTAGCTATATCCTCAGGGCCAGGTTGTGCCTCAAACTCAGATAGCATCTTAAATAAAAAATATCAACTTATCGGTCAGGTCACAGTGACATGAAAAGCAGTGAGTTTTGAGCAACAGAGAAGCTGAGGCTGACAATCCCACCCAATGCCCAGCTGCAGTCACAGGGCTTTTTCTATATTGTCAGTGTGTAAAGAATAAACACATGAACAAACAGAGGCTTAAGTATTGCATGGGGAGGAATTCAACATTGCGCTGCTATGATTGTTCAGCCACCACAAGCATTTCTGCTTGCTAGATGGAACAATCTCCCTGTGATGCCCCCCCAAGTTGACTTCTCTCAATCTCCTAAAAGTGATTTGGTGGGAGAAGATGCACACGGGAAGGAAAGAGCCATTGTGCTATTGGGACTCGGAGTGCTGCCTCCCAGTAGCGCAACTATTTAACTGAATCTGGCCCATGGGATTCAGACATCTTCCCCCAATAATAGTGTTATTATTATTTAAATTTGTGTACCACCCTTCATCCAAAGATCCCAGGGCAGTTCTCAACAGAAAAATACAATGTGAGAACACAAAATACATAATAAAACAAAAACAAACCAATATTTCCTCTTCCACAAACACATTTAAAAAGCCACAGAATGTTAATCAGCCAAAGGCCTGGTTGAAGAGAGACGTTTTCACCTGATGCCTCAAAGTGAATAATGAAGGTGCCAGGTGAGCCTCCCTGTGGAGAGCATTCCACACGTGGGGAGCCACCACAGGAAAGGCCTGTTCTCATGTTGTCACCCTCCAGAACTCGCATGGGGGAGGCACACAAAGAAGGGCCTCAGATGATGATCACAGGGTCCAGGTAGGTTCATATGGAGAGAGGTGGTCCTTGAGGGCACTGTGTTCCTGAGCTCTTTATGGGAGATCTACCCAGCATGCAAAGCATATTGTGCATTTATTGCTGGGAAAATACAATTGCATTTTGTAATTGGCAGCACTGCCTGTGATCTACTTTCCCAAGAGTTACAGGCACCTAATGGATACTGCCAGCCGAAGTGGGGATACCGGCAAACTTGTTTTATGCTTAAGATAATATTTTATTCTCTTGTTAATTGTGCTGTTTTAAACATGCATTTTTATATTTGACATCCTTTAAGTAATGTTTTCTTTTGAAATGTTTAAGGCAATGTTTTAATTATGCTGCTTTGAATATATACTTCATATTTGATGTTCTTCAGTAATGTTTTATTCTGGAATGTTTTATGTGGCGTTTTAATGTGTTGTAACCTGCTTTGAGATTTTTTTTCTTAAAAATACAAAGTTGTTTGGGAATAATAATAATAATAATAATACCAACTTTCAAAGGCAATGGTACTTACATCTCGGCCGGACGCTCCAGCTTCACCTTTGTCCCCCTAAACAGGAAAAATGAAAACAAGATTTTATCATTACAACTACCATTGTGCAGTGCAGACAGGATTGAGCCATGCCTTCCTACTCTTGTATTCCTTAAACAGAGAGGTCCAAGCTTCCTTGGATCCCTACACCTAGTAGCAGTCCAAGTGGTGAAGAGGTGCTGCACTCTCCAGACTAGTATCCCTGCAGCACACCCTGGGCAGGGCTGGGGTGGTGACAAGGTCCGGGTTGTGGTGGGAGTGCCAGATTGCCTCTGCCCATGTACCTGTACTGTCCCAACCTCGCTGCCAACCTGCCTTGCTTCAGCCCAGTCCAGGTAAGCTGCAGCAACACCAGTGGTGGAAGGGCAGCTCTGCCCCACCGCACTGGAGGCTGCTGCCTTACACTCATCACTGCACAGCTCATTGACACTCTTAATGCAAAGTGGCTGCTATGAGCTACAGCAGGATGGTGGTCATGCTGGAAATAATGGTACCTCTGATGAGGGGTTTGTTTCATCATAATGCCCATTCTTCTTTTTGATAGGCTGCAAGTAGGCTGCCTATCAGGAGGAGGTTTGGCTAATATACTAGGAAAACATATAGGGCATTTACCTTTCTCCCATCTTCTCCTGGAGTCCCATCTTCACCCTGGAAAATAAAATGTCACATCTATGTTACTGCTCCAAGGTCTGCTTAGAGACCAACCGCTCTTCCCATTTGCTCTTCCCATTTGCTGCAATATCTGATAAAAAGTGCTCTTTCAGTCACCCACACTTCCACCCCACCAATACAATCCCTTGCCTGTCAGGCCTGAAGCCCCACTTCTCCAGCAGGGGATGGGGGTCAGGCCCATCACTCACATTCTTCCCATTCAGCCCAGGTTTGCCGTCATCGCCAGGCTTGCCCTGGAAAAGAAATGCAAGTTGTGAGCCCAGAGAGGGAACCCAGACACTGAACTGCCCAAGATCACCGTAACAAACTGGGATTTGAATCTGCATCAATCAAGCACAAGATCACCCTTCATTCATTCTACCCTGGCGTTCATCCTTCAGTGAAAAAAGATTTAAACATAACAATTTCAAAAGGAGGAAGAGGAAAGGGAGACCTTTCCGGGAGATGTTAAAACATCCCAGTTTCTGTACGGGCCATGCTGCTCAGAGAATGTGTTTCAAGGCTGTGATTACACGATGTAAAACTGTGGGTTGGCCAAATGTTGGCTGGTAGGGTTGATGTGCTAGCGACCAATGCAATCTGTACTACAGCCTGTGCAGATACATAACAGAGGCAATCTAGTACAATTATGCTGCAGAAGGTTGCATTCAACCCAAAGCAATGCCAGGGTTGTCCGGAAGCGCACTCTTCCTCCTTTCAGAAGAACTACGCACTTCCATCAGCTGCCTCTTGGGAGTGCCCAGGTGCAGGTCCAGTCTTAAATGTACCACCCATTGACTGTCCTTACCAACAGCAAAGCTGTTTCTCTCTCTTTTTTTTAAATGAATATTTATTGGTATTTTCAGCATACAAGTAAAAATCAAAAACAAGAATAAACAAAGAGAGAAAAAACAACAACACAAAAATACAAAAAATTCAAAACTTAACAATTAAAAACACATAAAGTTTCAATTACTTATTTTCTTTTACCTTATTTCTCAGACCTCCTCACACCTCCCCTTCTTGTATTCCAATTTAGATTGTCAGTTCAGCAAGTCCTTAACTTATTTCTCCACTTTAACTTAATAAATTGTTCTAACATGCTGTTATTTCACTTTTCTTCTTTCTTCCATTTCCTCAATTTATTTTTACAAACCTTATTTCTATTTAATTTGAAAACCAATTTTAACTTATCCCAATTTACACATCATTACTTATACCTCATTAATTATTCTTAAACCTTTTTCCTAAAGTCGACCAAAATTTCCCTTCACAGTTTTCCCAATTTCCATAGAACTAACAAAAATATAAAAACAAAACAAATTATATTTGTCTGCCCTTTGGATTCCCAAACTCCACCCACCCTTTTCCCGGTTCCAGTCCCCAACCAATATCCATCAGTCTTTATATGTTGTTCAGCAAAGCTGTTTCTCTTTGATCGTCCTGCAAACTCACTATTCCTCTTATCAAATCATGTAAAATTGACAGGTTGGGACACAGAAGAGCAACTTCATAACAAGAGCCACTACAGGGAAGTATGACGTTGGGTGTGTATTATCAGGGATCAGCTGCACAATACTATCAGTGGGTGCAGAATACCATCCTTCATGCTTCAGCACATTACTCACAGGCAGTCCTGGAGGTCCTGGGGGGCCACTTGCTCCAGGAGGACCCTGCTCGCCACGCAGACCTGCGAGACCCTGCAAAAAGAGTGGGGGGAGGCAAAGAGGTGAGAAGTAGACCCCTGTAATTGTGCAGAGCAGAAGAGAGGCCCAACTCTTCATAAGATAGTTGGTAGCTGAGATGAAGAAGTCTCTCACGGTGTGGAAAGAGAATGCCAAGGACCCTTTAGGATGGGCAAGACAACGGGACTCTATACAGACTGCACTATGATCAGCAAGACAAAAATTAAAATAGACCAACTCCATCGCATCCAGGGTTTTCTGTAGTCCCTGAAGACCACACTAAGGTGCTTAAGTGCTGACAAGAAGAAAGGCCAGGAGCTGTGCTCAAGCAGGCTAAGGAGATGGAGAAACAGTAAATGATGGACTTGCTGTAAGATTTCAGCTTCTAAGTAGCACCTCACTTTTGAAACAGGATTGCAAGAGAAAGTATCAGCATTTGAGCTCAAAACTCACATAGCCTGATTTGAGCTACCCATACTTACATCTCTGCCAGGATCGCCCTGCTTCCCAGGATCACCCTAGGGGGGGAGATAAGACATGGATGTGATCGAGAGCCAGGCATACAGCAAACTTAGAATCTAGTGTGCAGGAGATGCAACACCATTTTATTTATATATTTCATGTCTAAGATGGTAAGATACTTTAAACAAGCCCCAGGGGCAGGTATAATCACATCATTGTTATTTTATTTGCAACAGCTAATATTTATTGGTACCCGATCCCCCCCCACCCCATTTCTCTACACACAGTGCTGGAGAGGCAAAAAGTCTGTTTTTTCGCAGAAACATCTCTCTTCTTACGTTTAAAGTCAGGTCTGGTTTTAGAGCAAAACAAGAGGTTCATTTAGGAGTCTATAAGAACACATTTACTACTTGGACAAATGTGTTTACTTCCCTTTTTAAGGTGACACAATGAGATCCAATTAAAACTTAAATTAGGCTTGTTAAGGAGTGTACAAGCTTTCACATTACAAAGCTCTCATCACTAGTCAGAATCACATTCCGCCTTATGAAGACTGCTGAAAGTCAAAAGTTTCCGCCTAATGAAGACTGCTGAAAGTCAAAAGTTTTCTCCTGCACCAATTAATCTGGTCCAATAAACACTCTGAGGACTTCTTCTAGTTTGGGGCCAAAAGATCAACCTCTATCAACCCAGCTTCCATATTATAGACATATTGCTAAGGCAGATGGGAAATGCTACAAAATGGCTGGCTGTCCTAATCACTCTGTGTATGGTCTTTAGAGCAGCTCACATGACAGCTGACTGTGCTGACAATGACACCGTACCACTATGGCTTAGCTATACCTGCAAATTGTATCTTTTACCAAGCATTACACTTACCCTTGGGCCTGCAGGTCCTGTTTGACCAGGCTTCCCATCTAACCCATTCCGGCCATCTTGCCCTGGAGGGCCTCGGTCACCCTGGAGGAGAATTAAATGAGAGTGAGTGCCAGTGTTCTGGACCACAGTGCTCTGGATGGTGGCAAGCAGGAAGAATGGGAGCTGTGGGAAAAGTTTTGTATGCTCTGGATCTTTGGAAAACCTCTAGCGCAGTGTTTCCCAACCGGTGTTCCGCGGCACACGAGTGTGCCGTGAGACGTTGCCTCGTGTGCCGCGAGATGCCTGGAGGGAGGCGGGCGAGTCGGGCGGCGAGACGGCGGCAGCGAGGAGAGGCCGCGCCTCCTGCTGCTGCCTGGTGCTCCTCCTCGCAGCCGGCAGCGCTGCCTGGGCGCCTCCGCGCGACTCTGCCTCGCTGGGTTTGGTCTCCCAGCAGAGACGGGTCACACGCGCCCCTCCCTCCCTCCCTCAGCCTGCGCGGAGGGAGAGCCAGAGAGAGGCATCGCTCCTGCGCGGCGGGAGAGGGAGCAGCCGGAGCGATGCCCCAAACGAACGCATGGGACCGGAGGGGAAATCCTCTCCGAGGCGGATTGAGCGCAGCTGAGAGAAGCCTTTTGAGGAGCTGCCGTGTCCCCTGGAAACCCCCTTCCCAGCTCTGTCTCAGCCGCCGCCGCCTCAGTTGCCGCCATCCCTCAGTCCCTCGCTCTGCTGCCTCCTCCCACCCCCAAAGCTTGGAGGTTCCCCAGCAAGGGGGAGGGGAAAAACTTTCACTTTTGTGCGTCCCTCCCGGCGTGACGCTGCGCGCTGACGTCACGGGGCGGGGCTTTAATGGTGGTGTGCCGCGAGATTTTTTTTCAGTAAACAGGTGTGCCGTTGCCCAAAAACGTTTGGGAAACACTGCTCTAGCGCATGGGCTTAATTGTGCAAGCCATGCCCATCTGTCAGTCACCTGACATAACACAAGAAGCTCTGTTATCTCTGGTCTAAGCACTAAGTGCTAAGATTGGAGACAAGAGATCCTTAGCACTAAGCACCACAGCACTAAGACAAGACATTAGCTTATCTTCAATCTTAGCAGTGTGCTGCCTAGCGCTAAGATTAGAGATAAGCCTCTGCCCACTCTTTGACAGTTGTATCTCCCATCACAAAGACTGCAGATAAGCTCCAGTTCAGTCTTTAAAAGGAAGAAAGCGTGAAAAAGCCTCTGATCTTTAAGAGGCAGTAGGCAGAGGCTTATCTGCAGAATTAGGGCAGTGGGATCTCTGCCACTATTGTTTATCGTCAGTCATAATTTCAGTGGCTCCATAAAGCTCCTGAGGTACTGAGCAGTATCAGAGACAGTGGTAGAAAGAACCACAAAAGAAGTGCACTGCATTAGTGTATAAAGTTGTAGCTATTTTATAATTTCCCCATTTATATCCAAAAGTTGCTATCCAAAACAAAAATTGGCATCAGAGAAAACCTCAGCTTTCTTTTTAAAAAAGTAAACAAGCTCTTGCTATTGTGGATAGAAGTGGGTGCAGCATTTACTTGGGGGAATGATAAATACAGTGGGTTTCCATGGTTCTCATCCTCACCTCTAGCATCCTAAACGTCAGAGCTCTCTTACCTTCTCTCCCACAGGACCTCGGTCTCCAGGGTCACCCTGCAAAATGAAAGAGATGAGCACATACTCAGTTTGCAAAGAACCACGCAGAGCTGGGAATTAAGCTCTCCAGAAATCATACGGGGAGCAGGACACATCAAGGCAGAGAGAAAAAGACTTACACGAACTCCAGGGAGACCTCTGGAGCCTTCAATTCCCTGCAAGAGAGGGGCAAAAAAAGGAGGGTGTGAGAAGGGAGTGTCTGGCTGACGTTTAGAAATTTTTAGGCCATTTAGGCCAACAGACCTTGTCTTTCCACCCAAGGGTTCTCAGTCATACAAATATAGTAAAATGTGAAAAATAAAACAGCAATATAATACACTCAGAAACAAGGCAGGTTAAAACATCAACAACAGCACTCCAGTTTAAAGCCAGTTCAAATGTATTTACAAGTCAGCTTGTGGGCCAGAGACTTGTCTAAATAAAAATGCCACTGACTGCCGCTGGAAGGTCATTAGAAGTAAGGCTAGCCAGGGCCCAATTGGCAAGGAGAAATACACCCTTGGAGCCACTTGCTATCCACTACAAAGTCACTTACCCCTGAGATTATCCCTCACTGCTACACATTACCCTCGCTAAGGCATGATGATGACCTTTTGCTTTGATGCACCAACCCTTCCTACTTAAAGCAATGTACAGAGAAAACCATAAACACGAGCGGCCAACATGGCACCCACAGGCCCCCATGTGCCTCCACAGGCCTTCCCTGGCCCCCACAGTGGTCTTCTCCTGTTGAAATTGGAAGAAGCATTCTGCTGTAGCCAATAGAACAGGTTGTGGTGTGTGGTTTCTCCCAATATAGATGAGACACAGACCCCAAAAAGTTCAGCAATCCCTGCCGTAAACAACAGGAGATGAAGCCATTCCAACCCTAAAGACCTGCCCTTCATCCCCTTTATGTCCAAAGCTTGTTTCTTCTCCAATGGCTGCTCTACATTGCCTCAGTCTCAGCTTGATGAGGTTTTGGGCATCCTCAGATATAACTCTAATGAACTGGCACCTACTCGTTCTCCTGGCAGGCCAGGTAAACCAGCATCTCCTTTGACACCTTTCATTCCATCTTCTCCGGGGTCCCCTGGCTCCCCCTGTAAAGGAAACAGTGGTGCAGTGGGTGAGGAAACAACAACGGCATGCCCTCGCTTCTCATTAACCAATATCCACAGAACTATTTCTGAAGAATGCCTAAGGGTGACTGATTTCTCTGAGGGTCAGACTGGACATGATGCTCAAATGCCCATATGGGATTTCCTCCCTGTGTAAAGAGCAGAAGATTGTAGTACGGGGGGAAAGTTAATCCCCCCCCAACATACCTCCTTGATCTTGATTATTTATCAGCTCCCCCCATTGATTCTATTTGCATTTATTTCATGAAAAACACCCTCCATGTGTCAGGTTTAGTACTTCTCTCACACAAGACACAGAACACTGGCAGTTTTACCTGGCCTTAAGTAGGCTAGGCCACGCCTCCCCAGCCCGCCGATTGGCGGGCTGGGTCGAAGGCACGCCCAGGGATTCCCTGGATCTCGCAGGGGCAAAAGGCCAGCCCCCGCGTTTGTGGGAGGGGGTAGCCCGCAACCCCCTCTCCTCCCAAGCTCGGAAATGGCTTTCTCTCACACAAGACACAGAACACTGGCAGTTTTACTATTTGAGGTTTATTTAGCAATAACAGGTTTTCTGCAATCCGAGCTTCCCACAATTCATTCCTCACTGTCAGAGTCAGTTGACTTGACTGACTTCCGGCCCCTCCCAAGGCCAGATATACGCCAGGCCCTTCCCCACTTCCTGCTGGTCTTCCTTTGTTCTAATCACTTGCTCCGCCTCCTTGGACACTCAGGTGCAGCCAATTCCTCCTCCTCTGGAGTTGAATCCAACCCCCTCCTACCACCTGCCTCCTGCTCCTTCATCTCTGTGCTGCTGCGAAAACATACAGGCAGCATTCCAGAGCGAGGAGGGCTTATCTTCCTTTTGTTGTGAAAAAGAATCAAGCTTCTGTTTTCCTCTGCCTCTTCCTCCCCCTCTGCGGATTCCTCTCTGCCGGCCATGTCTCTGACACCATGTTAAATGCAAAGACATTCAATGTTCTGTCTAGCCTAGCCCCTAAGCAGCATCTCTTTGCGGGACATAACTGTTGGGATTTCCGCTCCCACCAAGAATGCCCGCAGTCCAGAGCCCACCATCTTCCCGCCAGCAGGTAGGGCGGATGGGATCTTGGAGCCAGATTACTCACCTTCTCGCCTTTTTGCCCTCCTCCTCCAGGTCCCGTACCAACCTGCAGAGCAGAAAAGAGGAGGGGTATGTTAGACACTTGCAAAGTCAGAGCCAAAGCAAAATACTGCCGCTGGGGAGGGAAACGTGGAACTTACTGTCTGGCCTGGGGGTCCAGGCTGACCCTGCAAGGGGAAGGGGGTAAGGGGAAGAAGAAAGGAAAACAAAGATTTAGCACTATGTCCCAGGCAAGAGCAATGATAAACATCACATTTGTTAGTAAGGAGGACAGGGAGTCCCTGATGCACACTATAAAAAGCACACATTCCTGTATCTCCAGCAGGCATTGAGGGCTCCAGCTTTCTTTCAGAGAGGTAATGCTGGACATGTAGTCAAGAAGGGCTGGGTGTTCAGAGATGGCCAGCTAGTTCAGCCTCCTCTGCTTGGATGATTAATGATATTTATATCCTGCCTTTATTCCATGGTAGGATTTTAGGAAGCTTTCCCAGGTGATTTGCCATCCAGCCACTGATCAAATATTGAGCCCCAGCAAGGCTGCTGCATCATTAGCCTTCAGCGTCATTTCCCTGGGAGGCAGGCTGCCAACTCCAGCATCAGCATACGAAGAATATGAAGCACCCATTGCCAGGATTTGCCCTTATTAGTGTAATGTGAAGAAGTGCGACAACAGGTTTCATCTTCAGTGCCAAAAACCTTTGGGATGTGACCGCAAACAGATGGCACTGGAGGATGCCACACTGAGCGCTCAAGGAAACAGAAAGGAGCCAGAACTTGTGTAGGCCAAGAGCTTGGGGGCACAGGAGACTTGGCTTGTCAGTGTGGACACAAGGAAGGGAAATAGATTTGAACGAGGAGTGCGGAGAGCAAAAGCCAGCCCCTGTAAGGGCACTGCTGGGAGGTTTTGAATGTTCACTGCATCTATTTTATACAAGGATCTGTGTGTGTGTGTGTCTGTGTGTGTCTGGAAGTCCCCATGGTCAGGAAGAAACATGGAGGCAGCCTGCTGTTGTAATAATACTAACACTAATTTTATTTGTACCCTATCCATCTGACTGGGTTGCTCCAGCCATTCCGGGTGGCTCGGCTCTGTATTAAGGTAATATGTTTGTTTTTCAGCCCTGTTTGGTGCCAGTAACCATGCACCTGTCCGTTCTCATCTGGAGCCCCACAGCAAGGTCTAGGTCTCTGGGCAGAATCTCAAGCAGACAACATAGATTGGCTAGAGCAGCCCTTAGTGGGAAAAGCACAGCTACTCACAGGATCTCCTCGGTCGCCCTTTGACCCTGGTGCTCCAGGACTGCCCTGCAAAGGGAAGAAGCGACATAGTAAAAGCAAGCCTGGGGTAGGTGGGTGCTGCAACCGAGTCAAGGGGTACACAATGGGCTCTTACATTTCTCCCGTCTTCACCTGGGTCGCCTTGGTCCCCCTTCTCGCCAGGGAGCCCTCGGCTTCCTGGCAGACCCTGTGATGTGAAAAAGAAATGAAAATCAGAACATTATCAAGTAGCCAATACCACTCTGGGAAAGGTCTTGTGGAACTGGCTAGTTGGAGTGAGGCTGGACGGGGGACACTAGTCAGTGGAAGGGGGCAATCAGAAGGCTGAAGAATTCAATGCTGTGATGAAAAGGAAATTCTCCAACTTCATCTAAGGAACAAGGAGGCAAACCTTCAGGCTGCAGGCCACCCCCCCCCCTGAACACCACCAATCAGAACTGCTTATGCTAGTGGTTTTCAACTAGTGTGGCATGGCACCTTGGGGTGCCTTGAATGATGGTCAGGGGGGGGTACTGCGGGCAACACTGGCCTCTGTCCCTCTTTCCTTCCCTCCCTCCTCTGATGCCCTCTTGCATCTCTGCCTCCCAAAGGCTTGCACAGCTGCTTGTTGCAGCAGCCCTGGCTACAAGCTCCCCAGGCGAATGATGCCTCTGGGGCTGGCCAGGGGGTGCTTCCCAGCCCCCTGTGGGGCAGTGTGAGGACACACTTCTCTTTGGGGCAGGGGAAGCAGCTCAAAGACTAGGGGCATCAGCTGCAGCTGCCCAAAGGACTCCCAAAGAAGGGGAGAAGAGAGGAGGCTGAGGGAAGACTCCACAAGGGAGGGTGCTTGAAAAAGGGTGAGAGGCTGCCAGCTCTACAGGCAAGGGGTGACACAACTGGGCTTCTGAGTCCCACAGGGGTGCCGCAGAAAGAATGTAGTTGGTCAAGGGAGCCGTGGACTCAAAAAGGTTGAAAACCTCTGGCTTATGCTAATATGTCAACCTTCCAGGCTAGGCCTATACAAGAAGCAAAAGATTGCACAGCAGCTCTTCTGCAATGCCAAAACCCAGGCTCAAAGACAGAGTTTTATGCTGTGGCACCGAAGGGATGGCAAGTCAGTGCTGGCAAGTCATCTCACCCTCACTCCCCTGCTTCAGTGTTTACAGCATCCTGAATCTACGTCTCCATGACTTTTCTTAGAAATAATTCCCAACTTCATGCCACACATCACCCGCTTGGGCAGTGCTTCCACTGTACTTACCCGCAGACCCCTCTCTCCAGGTTTGCCTGGTAGACCTGGCTCACCCTTGGGAGAGAAAGAAAAAGAAAGAAATGAGGGAGGGCTAAGTACCTGAACATGATTTTGGTATTGCATACATTACGTGTAGGCTATATTTAAAGAAATGGACAGTTGGTGGAGTATAAATCTCTTATTTTTGCATTTTGCCTTTGATAAGTAAAAGAAAAAGTAGGAACATCAGAGTGGGCAGGTGGCAAATTGAGAAGCTCTTACTTACTGGGGTTCCTTCATCTCCTTTGTCACCTCTTTCACCCTAGAAGCAAAGAATCCACAGCAGAGAAGTTGTTTCCATCCTTCTTATTATCACCAAAATACAACCACACCTTCAACAGGCCCTGTGTTAAAGCCTAAGTACCCTCAAATGAATCTACTTGTTAAGTATGTTCATGCCTTGCCCTGTTGCAATCTAAAGCAGCAGGCCAGCAGCATGGTCACCATACAAACGAAAGGCTAAAAAAAAAAGTTGGTACTCAAAATGCAAGTTTAGGCTAAAGGTAGATCCCAGGTCTGAAAAAGCTAAAGTCTCTTTTCTCTTACTTACCTCTTTTCCTCTCTGTCCCATCTGTCCGGTAAGTCCAGGTCGTCCTGGTTCTCCTCTCTCACCTGGGTCTCCTGGGTCACCCTAAGCAAGAGAACCATTGGGCAAGGAAATGAACATGAAATCAATACAAATAATGCAGGATCCTAAAGGAGCCCCAAACTGACCACTAGGCACTGGAACACTCTCTGAAAAGGCTAAAAGGTGCTTCTACCCCCAACGCCTACTCAGCCTGCATAGAACCACTCTCTGAGAGCCAGGATAATGTGTTGGACTTGAACTGGGGAGGTTGAGATTCCTGCTCTGCTATGAAGCTCACTGGCTGGGACTTTAGCTCCCAGCCCCAGCCAGCATGAGCAGTGATGAAGAATTATCTGAGTTGTCATCCAGCAACACCTGGAGGTTCACTGGTTCCTTATCCCCACATTACATTCCCCCCCCCTCTCTCTCTCTCTCTCTCACACACACACACACACACACATTATAATGATGCAAGCACCACTTGCCTAGCCCAGACTTCATCAGCACTCTTTTGCTCCCTTCAGCCAAAGCACAATAATTACCTTTGCACCTGTCTTGCCAGTCAAACCAACAATCCCCTGTTTTGGAAGGGAAGAAGCAGATAATTAATACGGTTCTATGTCACTCAGGAAAGCAGAGGCTCCTACACCATGGGGGAAAGGGGAAAAATAGCTCTTCTTCGGATGCACAGTCCTAACCCTTCCCCATGAATATATAGCAGGCTGAGCAGACATGACTCACATCTGCTGCTTGTGCAAATGCTGGCAAGCTTTGAACTTACTGGAGGTGGGAACCAAGGCACTGCACAGACATCAGCCCATTGGGTAAAATCAAAGAGCAGAGGCTGAAGAGATCCCTCCTCTTCAAAGTAAAGAGGGGGACTAACAGAGCCCTGGTGCACAGCTGATTGCCTGAACACAGATCCAGGAAATTAGGATAGGACTCACCCTGTCCCCTTGCTCTCCTTTTGGACCAGGTGAGCCTGGAACACCAAGTCCAGGCGGCCCCTAAAAGGAAAAACAAAGCCATGTCAGGATAAAAACCAGCTGAGAGGATGTGATGTATGCATCCCCCATGTAACACATGCACACTGACTTCACATCGTATTTACTCTAAAGTTCCACAACACATATTATTAAGATTTGGGCAAGTTGGTCCTGCTATATGGAAAGGTGGGATTTCACGACCTGTAGCAGTGAACTATCTTTTTATCAAATGGTCATAAAAAGAGAGTTTCAACCATTAGTCAGATCTTGCTCAACTGGATGGGCACAGTCATCATCAATCATCTCAAATGGTAGGGGTTTGAAGTAGAGCCTGGCAAAATGTTTTGTGGAATGGAGGGAGAAATCCATCTTTTGTTCCCGGTTTTGGCTGGACAGGCAGCAGGAGGAAGGAGCTCTGTAACCTCCACCAAGGATGAACCACCATCCTGCTCTGCTCAGTTTCCTGCCACCAAAACAATGAGTAAATTTTGCAACATTCTCTAGCTTGGCCTTATAGCATCTGCTTTCCTCATAGGTGGCCACACAAATCTACTACAATTGTTATTTAACAGATTTCTAGCCCGCCTTTACTTCTCAGAGTAAAGTTGTTAGGCTTCTGTCCAGAAATGTATATAATCCCTGACAAAGTTTGTAGCAGTGAGCATCTCAGTTTGGTTTGAAATCCGGACTCTGGAGTCAAAAGAATCAAGTTCTGCATGCTGCATTGTCACACCCAGCATGCGCTGAGACATCTTGACTACTCACGCGCTCTCCTTTGCTCCCGGCATCTCCTCTGGGTCCAGGTGGCCCCTCTGGTCCTACAAGGCCCCTCTCCCCCTAAAGAAAGAAGATAGCAACACAGCTTCAGTAGTTAATGTAGCCTTATTGGAGTTCACCGATTGGGTCTGCGTTGCTCCGGGACAGGAAGAAGGAAGTCAAATGACACCGAGGTTGGTTCAAAGAAAGAGTTTATTCTGCTCTCCGGATAACAGAAGGCACTTGCGTGGTGTGTCCACAGCAAGTCCAAAGAAATAAGAAATTTCATGCAGTATATATATCCTCCAGGCACCCTCTCCCTCCTTCCCTAGGAACCCAACTATGTCAGCCTATGTACGCAGGTTGACACCACGTGTTCCTGCTCTGGTATAGTTAATAGTGGCGATCTCTTGCTGTTTCGTAAGACGCTACCAAAATTGAGGGATGAAACCACCAAAAAAAGAAGAAGAGAGTGCCACAACAGTGGGCTTGAAATAATTAATTCACAGTGGTTTTCTCCAAGATAATATATAGTAAACAGGGTTGTTTCTAAGCTACACTGCCTACTCTGCAAGTCCCTACGGAGAAGCAGATATGTTTCCATGCTGTTACCTTGTCTCCTTTGATTCCTGACTGACTGGAAGCCTAGAAGAGACACACAAGGGAAGAACCTGCTGAGTATAATTTTAACAATATCAACCCATGGAAAGGGACTTCCTACTCACTGTGCGCAAAGCAGGAAGGGAGGCCAGGATCTGCCCACTTCAGGGTAAGGAGGTGATGAAACTTTCCACCTGCACATTAGCTGTGCAAGATGGTGAAGGGGTGCAGGTGGCATAAAAAGCCTCCCACCTGTTTTCCATCCATGCAACAACCAAGGTGCCTCTGTGGGGTGCTATAGGCACGTTCTCACACATGGCACACAACTGAATTGCTAGTTACTCAATTTGCTTGCAGTATGTCTGAGTAGCTAATGTGAAGGTGGAAATACCTCGAGGAGAGGGGATGAGAGATTATACATTGGCCACCCTTTCCAGCCCAGGAATAAAACCACCAGCAGGATGGGGGTTGGGGGGGCTTAGGGAAGAGAGCTAGGATGCATTATCCTCCTCCCACACAAAAATATGCGGTAGTCATTCATGTGCAACTATGTGGGTTCAACAAAGGGGCACTTACTGGTTTCCCGGGTAGTCCAGGTTCCCCTGGGTCTCCCTGTGGAAGGAAGTGACACAGGAAGAAGGTTCAGAAAGTATAGCAAAAATAGCAAAACCCTCTTAGAAGGGTTTCACTCGGACTAGGGACTTCATTGGCACCAGAGCAAGAGATGCAACTGTTTGTCTCACACTAGTGGGGGCCAGCACCCCAGGAGCCAATTATTTATGAACCATGAAAGATATTATGAGGTGGCTGAAAGAGCAGAATTTAACCAATATATGCAATTAGTAGCACTGGAAACAGCTCAGTTCTCACTTCTCAGTGAACTTGTCAAGCTTTTTTTGACTAGGAGAACCAACCAGGCATTCTGAATTCTGAATGCTGTGGGCCAGGCCTGCACAATTTGTGGCTCATGTCCAGCTGGCTCCCAGGGGCTTGATGAGCCTCAGTTTTCCCGCTTGCCTAGAACTACAAAAGCAAGGGGGTCGCAATGAATCTGGCAAGCCATGTGGTTATATTTCTATCCAGCCTATGAAAGTGGGTAATCTGGCTGCCCTCAGAGGTCTGTGGGACAGTGACCAGGCTCTGGAACGCCCAACCTAGCCCCAACTTTAGGGATATTCAGAAGACATGCAAAGGCTTTTTACCCAGATTTTTGGAAATGTTTGATTACTGTTCAACATATGTTAATTATTTCACTCGTTGTATTGTTTTAGTTGTTCATTATTTTAAAGAGTCCTTACCCTTTCGCCTCGAAGGCCAGGCGGCCCTTGCAAGCCCTGTTCCAAAAAATCAAAGGGAAACATATTCATCACAAATACGGCAACACCCATGGATCCCACCCTGGCAATACCAGTTATGCTTGCAGCAGTACTAACTACATTCTGGAGTAGCCAGATGGGCATATACAGAGGGGTAGAATCACCAGTTGGTTCCTGTCTAAATGCTGGTTCCCGTCTAGATTCTCCAGCAGGGTCAGCTACTGAGCCTAAGGAGAGACCCATACTTACATCTCTGCCAGATGGACCTGGACGACCTGCGGGTCCTTGCTCTCCCTGGAACAAGGGAAAACAGGGAAGTTAGTAGGGCCAAGGAGAGCATTTGCACCTCTGCAGGGAAGTTGTTAGCAGGTGGCTCAAAGTCCTGGATCTTTTGTGCTGGGCTCCAGATTTCTTGCCTCTTCCCCACTTTTTTTAAGCTCTTAATTTTTTTTAAAAAATCCCTTTGTTTAGAGGACAGCTAGGCTTTGATCCTGCCAACCTAGCAGTTCAAAAGCATGTCAAAAGTGCTAGTAGATAAATAGGTACCGCTCCGGCGGGAAGGTAAACGGTGTTTCCATGCACTGCTCTGGTTCACCAGAAACGGCTTAGTCATGCTGGCCACATGACCCGGAAGTTGTACACCCTCAGCCAATAAAGCGAGATGAGCGCCGCGAGCCCAGAGTCGGCCACGACTGGACCTAATGGTCAGGGGTCCCTTTACCTTTACCTTTAGGCTTTGATCAGAGGCCTACATCTGTGCGTGCGCATGTAAATTAGCATACACAAATTTTATGCAGATCTGTGGAATGGCCACATGCCCCAAGTGATTTGAAGTACCTAGCAATGTCCCTGCAATGGAGTCTGGACAACACTCAGGTTCACCACTGAGGTCTAAGAACAGAACAGCTCTTCAACAGCAGCTCCTTTCCACAAGTCCCTTTTCCCTCATGGTCAGGGTGGTGTACATAGGCTTCTCCCCAGTTTATCACCAGAATGTGCTTGAGAAGCACGTTAAGTTGAGGAACACTGACTAAGAACTTAAGGAACAGGGATTTGAGCCAGGCTTCCCTGGTCTAGGCCAAACAGTTTATCCACTAATTAATTCTGATGCATTACTTATTATGAATTATCTATACCACACCAACTCTCCCAGAGAGGGAAGTCCTTTGAGCTTAGAATCTAGTGAGCCCCCAGGTACAGCAGGCCTACTCTTGAATGAATGTACCTTCTCTCCTTCAGGGCCAGGTAATCCACGGTCTCCCTACAAGGGAAAAGGAAATGAGAAAATTAGTATATGTCTGGCAGATTAAGGAGCCATAGAGTGTTCTGAAAAAACTGTCTTCTTGAGAGGAGCCAATGTCTACTCTTTTTAGTGTGGATCTGCTTCCATTAGAACCAGGATACAGAATGCAGGTTGCTTCCAGACAGAGGTGCACAACCATCACTATGCCTGCATTACTCCTTTTGGGGAATCCTCAACCCAGATCCAAGCTTTTCCAGGTGATGAGGGGATCCGAGGACGGAATCCTAAGGCAAACACTGGCAGCTCCTCCTATACACTGGCATCTCACACAACACCTTACAATGTTACCTGCATGCCACCAGCATACGCAAAGCCTATTTGGAACAAAGTGGTACTGTTGACTCAGCTGATTCACACAGATGTGTTCACCTCTTGATGCCTACAGCACCAAAGCAGGAGATGCACATGTGAAAACAGCATCCCAAATCATACACCACAGACAGGGCTTTCATATCACTCTGTTTGAAAGGAGGCAGTTGACACGTTAAAGCATCAAGGTCTATGTATAAAGCAATGCAACACCAAGCAATGGACACACATTTGTGAATCAGCTTTTGACTGATATGCGGCCGATTCATTACACATGAATGCACGTCACTTGATGTCTCATCATGTAATACGCAGCAGCTGCCCAAACCAAGTTGCTTGTTATCTTCCATCTCTGCAAAGAAATCTTGGCTCAACAAGATTCTGCCTCCACCTGTACAATAGAGTCACCTTTCCCCATCAGAGCTCACCTTCTCTGCTGGTGGTCCAATCTCACCAGGCTGCCCTCGGTCTCCCTGTCACAAAAATAGTGGGTGTATTAGCAGCATTTAAGGGTGCAAGTTTTTCAACAAAGGATGAGGGTGCAAGTGTGGATGAAGGGGCCCATTGCAAAGCAACCAAGGAGTTTCTAACCTCTATTATTGTTGGAGGGGGGTTGAATTAAGAGTTTCCTGTGAAGGAAAAGCAATCCTGTATACCAGAGACCTAGGCTGGGACTACTGCAGAGTATTCTCTGAATGGGTGACAGCAAACGGAAAGAGTCAATGAGAGACACGCTGCAGCCCTAATTCTAGGACACTGCAATGCTTTGAAAGTACCTACCTTGCTTCCCTGTTCACCTGGAGGTCCTCTAGGGCCCTAAAGACAAAGCAAGAGCATTTTACTTGGTAAGTGAGGAATCTGCCACGTGACTCACGTTATCTCTCAAGGAAACATGTGCCTATTTCCCCAGACATCGTGGACATTGTTGGAACTGTTCGATCTTTTGCTGAGGCTCTTCCTCTTGAGAAAGAAACTAATAATCTAGTTTTCATAGGCTCTAAATCCCATCAGGACATAGCAGGAATTTCTTGTCTCTCAAAAACTCACTCGATCTCCTGGGTCTCCAGGCCGTCCAGGTGGTCCAGGAAAACCTTCTTCTCCATCCCCCTTTGGACACAGAGCAAATAAGTTATTACCCATAAGAAACAAAAGTCCTATCCCTGCCTTTGGGGCGCATGTGATGAAGGGTAGGGCTAGAAATATTTTAAATAAACACCCATGAAATTCAAGTAGGCTACAGGGAACTGAGGGATTAAAAGCAAGAAGTGTATCTGCATCGCAAACTAATTTGCATCTGTACAACTCTTGCATTAAAAGTCTCGGACGTGTCTGTGTAGAAGCAGGGACAAAGCAGGTTTATGAGAAGGGCACTGAGAAATGGTAGAGGAACACTAAATTATGTTCACCTACTAGCTGCTTCTCCTGCCAACCTAGCAGTTCAAAAGCACGTCAAAGTGCAAGTAGATAAATAGGTACTGCTCCGGCGGGAAGGTAAACGGCGTTTCCGTGTGCTGCTCTGGTTTGCCAGAAGCGGCTTAGTCATGCTGGCCACATGACCTGGAAGCTGTACGCCGGCTCCCTCAGCCAATAAAGTGAGATGAGCACCGCAACCCCAGAGTCGGTCACGACTGGACCTAATGGTCAGGGGTCCCTTTACCTTTTACTAGCTGCCCTCAAAGTCCATGGGCAGATAGATGGTCGTCTTACCTTGTCTCCTTTCTGTCCTGCGAGCCCAGGAGGTCCTCTTGGCCCAGGATCTCCTGGCATACCCTAGAGCACAAAAGGCAACACAAAAGATCTTATGTCCTTTGCAGTTCATATACTGGTCATATATGGTTGTTGTGCAGGGGATTCAGATGCCTTCCCTTGAAGAAGAGCTGCAGATATATCACATTTTCCAGCAATCAAAACTCAACATTTCCCCCCCAATATGTCGCTATGCATTTGAATCCTGTAATCAATGACAATTTTAAACTTCCCTCAGCAATAACTGTCCAATGCTCCCGGACAATGTTAGCCTCACCTCTATAAACTTCTCACAGCCCCATTCTAGTATTCCTCAAGCAATGCTCACATCCACATCTTTAAACACTGCATTTGCCCATATGCTCTAATCCTCTCTGTGGTCCCCTATCCAAAAGAATGGCAAAGGAGATACTCACTGGGAGGCCTGGTTCTCCTCTGACCACACCCCCATCTCCTGATCCAGGAGGGCCCTAGAAAGACAACCAAAGTGAGGCTCTGGACAGCTACAACACTGCAATCGCAATTTTGGCACAGCATAACATTACATAGGGAACAGAGGACACATTGTGCAACCAGTTACAAGCATGGTCTTCTCAGCACAATACAGCTAACTTGAAGATTGACCTATCCATAATCCTGGAACAGGAAGATTGTTCTGTATAAAACATGGGTAAAGCTTATTTCATACGGTTGTGATGTTCAAAGAAGAGCAGTTCAAATTGTAAATAGATGCAAGCAACAGTTACTGAGGTAGTGTCCAGATGTACAGTATATAATTTAAGCAGGAAGCCCGTCTGAGAATGGCAGTAACCCCAGTTTAGTAAGATGTGCAATTTTCTCTTAAGCTTAGATGTAAGAGAATTTTCCCATTTAATTTCATTTCTGAATTCATTTTGTGCAGTTAAAGCTTTGCAGTCTGAAATCTGTGTCTGAGCTTTACTAAACCTTTCCTAACAGAACAAACAGACTGTTTTGAAGTAGATGTATGTGCAAATCAGTGTTTCTTCTACAGCTCCTAGCACAACTGAAAGGAAGTGAACGTAAACAGGTAAGAAACAATGATGGAGAACTAGGAGATTGGCCAAGTGTAGTAATTGCACTAAATCCCAGGTCAAGAAGAGAACAAAACTATCAGCATACATAACTGAAAGCAGACATTAGCATACCACTAATGCACAGAGCTATTAGTCAGAAGGCTACAAAGACACTAAAATATGTTTATAGATATGCATATGAGAAAGTTGGGGTGGGCTAGTCAGAAGACCCAAAAAATATCTGAGTCAATGTGAGGGGGGTGGGAGAGAAACTGAGCTTACCTTGAAGCAGAGGGAGGGGGATATACAAACCATGAGATAATCAGACAAAATGTGATAAACAAAAAGAGCTGAACACATATAGAATAAATGGAGGGCTGGAGGAGACAGGGCCATCCATGGTCTACAAATATACTTGATGATACAGCTCCTTTAATTAAGGCTAAATAATTGTGCAAAAGAAAAGAAAAAAGAAAAAAATGCTATGAGTACCAGTATGCCAATATAGGATGTCTCTGCACAAGGGCAGGGAAAAGAAGACCTTAAGCTCTCTCCCAGCTCTCCTATTCAATTTTCTGCAATCACAAACAAAACAAAACTCCCAGGATCAAATGTGCCACAACAGCAAGGGCAAAGCAGCCAGGGGAAAAGAAGGATCACTTACTCGCTCACCTCGGTCGCCCTTCTCTCCCTGTAAGAAAAATTGCCCACATGTAAGCCAAAGTTTTATGCTCAGTATCTCCAAGCGCCCCATGTATTCATCCAAATGCAGAGTGCATCACGCAACAGCCATTTACAGGGTATAGACACAACAATATGCACATTACAGGATAGACTCAACCAAGAGGAGAGCTGGGCAACTCTGGGGGCCCATGTCTGGTAAGAAGAAACTGCAGGGATAGGTATATGCATGAGAAACCCTGGGGCATTCAGTGAGAGCACACTTTCAGGGTCAAGGATGATCCAAAAAAATCACACCGTTGGGGAGATGTGGTCCAAGAAATTTAGCTATGTCACAGGAGGCTGATCAGATGCATCTCTTCTGCTGTTTGCTGTTCTACTGGTGCTCCCCCCCCAAAAAAAATTGCCACTTGGGTTGCTTGTGCTGTTGTTGGCCAGCCCTGCATACTTGAAGAGCGATATGAGGATTGTGACAGAGCAGGGAGGGGATTTGTGTGAGACTGATATATGTGCCAGGGGATACGTATATCACTAGAAAGAGGAAGATGAGAGACAAATAGCAAGAGCTGTTGCATAGAGTGAAGCTTGTTTGCTGTGAATTTGTGGGTTTGAGCACATGTGTGTGCATGTCTCCCTCTCTCCCCCCCCTCTCTTCCTGTGCACACAGATTCACATGGGGCTGCAACACCTGCCTACATACCTAGCAAAAGGGGCAAAGTGTGTGTGCGTGGACTGCATAATGTGCAGTTGCTGAAACAACACAGCCATCAGAGAGAAGGGAGAGCATACCTTGACAAACTCGCCGGCAGGTCCCACAGGCCCAGGAGGTCCCACAGGCCCCGGAGGTCCAGGATCACCAAATTGTCCCCTGGACCCAGGAATTCCAGGAAGTCCAGGGCTTCCCTTTAGGAAGAAAGAACGAAGTTAACAAACACAGGACCATTCCCACCAGTTGGTACCTACTTAGCCCACTGTGGAGGCAATTGGCTGCAATCTTCTGCACACCTGCGTGGAGATAAAGCTCACCGAACATGGAGGATTGCACCGCACATTTCACAGAAAGAGAAGCAGTGCTGAACAGCTGCAGGATGCTTCAAGAGATGGGGGCTTGATGTACAAAGGGGCTCAGCTTCTCATGCAGTACAACTATCCCTCCCTCCCCTTCGTGGTCCACCCCCCCCCCATTCAACCACTTTCTCATTTCTTGCCTGTAAGATGCTACGTACCGGTTCGCCAGGCTCCCCCTTCCGGCCAGGAAGCCCACCTCCTCCTGCTCCGTTTACAACCTCTCCAGGCTCCCCCTGCCCAAGACAAAAGGTCAAAGGTCACATCAACAGAGTACAGTTCAGGGATGAAGCGGGAGGCTCCCTCAGTTTCTCTTGGGAGGAAATACAGCCAGTTATGTTAAAATGCGGTGTGTGACAGCAAAAGCAGCGTAACGCCCACCAGCACCAACTAAAAAACGTCATGATCCAGTTTTCAGGGTCACCTAAACTTTTCCACATGCTGGACTGTTAAGCAAAAACAAAACAAAAGCAGAAAGTTCAGGGGAAAGACATGCCTGCAAGTTTTAAATAGTTTTAACAAGGAATGGAAATGTTTTGCAACCAGATGTCCTCCAAATGCGTTGGACTAAATATAAGCTGCGCTGGCTGCAACCAATGGGCTAGACTGTGCCTCGGGCCCAGAATCAAAGGGTGGCTGCTGGATCAGTGGCAGAGTCCATATCTGATAATGTATGGTGTGGAATTTGAGCCACGCTCTTGCCTGCACCTTCTGGTTCAGGTTATGTACACCCAACATTCAAAATTTCCAGTGAAAAGCTAGGCTAGGAGATTTTAAACAGCAGGCAGCTTGGATCCACCTGTCACAGATTATAGTCGTGCAGGTGACTGCTTCCCTCCTCACTGCTGCTTGTCACCAGCAAGCCCAATGGTGGGATTCCACTGATGACCGAGGGGGCATGCTACACAACACTGCTGGGGAGCCCCTCAAACATGGAGCTAGCCATGCCTGCTGCAAGGTATGCTGTGGTGAAGGAGCAAGGCCCCCATCCCCTTTGATAATATAAAAAAAATCGGATCTGTCCCTAGGACTTACCAAACATTTGGGTCCTTTGTAAGGCAAAGAGCAGAAGTAAAGTATATTTATTACTAGCAAAGCTGGAGGCTGAATTTAGATTGCGCAGGGTGAGACATGAAGGGTGCACAGATTTCTAGAGTCATCAACTGAGAAGAGGAGGCACTTTAAAGCCTACAAGCAATCTGGGCCTCAGCTGCCTGGTGCTCTCTGGTGTCGCTATAAGGAAGCAGAATCTGGGAAGGGCAGCCCTGATAAATTATAACAGCACATAAGGTCCTGGTTCCGGTGCTGTTGAACCTTGACTACCTGTGTCCAGCTGAATGTGGGTTACAACAGATGCTGGTCCAATATGCCCCTGCTCCAGAGAGGTGGGGAGGGTGTGTGTGAAGAGGGGTGTGTGTGTGTGTGTGTGATAGTTATACCACCCAAATGCCAAATTTCAGAAGAGATAAGAAAGTGAGGGCTTTGTCTTATTCCTACCCCCCTCACCATTTCTCCCAACCAGATATCCTTCTCCATTCTATTCTAATTATTTATTAATTTAATTTTCTATCCCACCTTTTTGTTTTCTCCAATGAGCACAAGATGGCACACGTGGTTCTTCCTTTCCTTATTTTAACTCTCACACCAACCCCGTGAGGTAGCTTAGGCTGAGAGGCAAGGACTGGCCTGAGGTCACCCTGTGAGCTTCATAGCCGAGTGGGGATTTGAACCCTAGCCTCCCAGGTCCTAGTCCAACACTCTAAACACTACACCTCACTGGCTGTGGGACCATGGTAGATTACAGAAACACAGGGTTGGGAAGGAGCAGGCTAGAGCAGTTTCTCCTGTCTAACTCTGGTTCTCACCATCACAGCACCTTTGGCTTGTCAGTGCGTCTTGAAACACTGCCCTGTAGGAATTTAGGAATTAAGACCCCTCCTGAGCCTTCTAGGGGGTAGTCTATGCACTTACCGGCTCACCTTTGCTTCCCTTTGGCCCTATTGGGCCAATCACTCCACGCTCTCCCTGGAAGAAAACGGTAAGGATAAGTAAGAGTCTTTCCAGTCAGTGAGAGGGGATCCATGGGAATCAACCCCTTTACTTACTGGGAGTCCTCGGAGTCCAGGAAGGCCAGGGCCGCCCTGTGGAGGAGAAAATAAATGCAGTAATGGACAGTAATAAAAAGGGTTCCCTCGCCCCCAGGGTAGGAATCATAAATTGAACTGGTGGGATGGGAAGATGACACATGTACAGCCACATAGTGCTGCAGTGATATTTGGGTTGGGCTGAATGGGTCCTTTGGGTACCTGCCGACTCAGCATTCTTTTAGAGCTGGGTTTTCTGTTAGTGAAAGTTGCCTGAGGCACAAGCTGGCTGGAGATTTGCACTGGTAAGTAGTCCTAGCATAAGATCCCTAGGACTGGGGTCTTGTTTTTGGTCCTGTTTTTCAGAGTGGCCAACCAGTGGCCAGTCTGTAGGAAACCCACAAACAGGATTTGACCACAAGAGCACTCTCCCCTCCTGTAGTTTGCAGCAACTGGTATTCAACAAAATAGCTCAGCTCAGTTTATGAGGAAATTAAAGGACCTTAAGGGTGGCCAATATCTGTTTTGGAAGGAGGACATTTCTTGCTTCCCCCATCTTCTGCCCCCTTCCTTGGTGGGGGGTGATGTCATTAAGCTATGTGTGGGTGTGAATGGATTTAAGAGCTGTTCAACAGGGGAACGGACTCCCTCGGGAGCTGGTGATCTCTCCTTCCTTAGAGGTTATTAAGCAGAGGTTGGATCTGCCATGAATGATTTAGATGAGGTTCCAGCATTGGAGAGGGTTAGACTTGATGACCCTTGGGGTCCCTTCCAGCTCCACAATTTTATTATTCTAAGATCAGGGATAGGGGAGATTTTAGCTCTCCCAGATGTTGTTGGACTCCATCATCCAGTTAGGAATAACAGGAACTGCAGTCCAGCAACATCTGGAAAGTCATAGGTTCCTCACTTATGGTATATATGGACAGCACAGGCTGGGGCAGATTGAATTTCCAGGTAGCTAAGTTGGAGCTCTGGGTGATTAGTGGGTATCTGTTGGGAGCACTAAGCTGTGAACTCCCACCTATGTTCAACCTGCATTTCTGTAAATAAAAGCAGTGCTTTTTTTTTCTAAAAAGAATGTTTAGGGGCACTCTCATTTTCCTACTCCTATTGAAATACTGCCCCTCAAGGAGGCCAAACTTAGATGCACAAAATGTTTAGGGGTATGTATGCCCCTGCGTCCCGCCAGAAAAAAAGCACTGAATAAAAGCAAATATTGCAAAATGCCAGTAAGTCCCAAAGTGACCTCATTCCAAAGGAAGCCAAACTCAGGCTAATTACTGGAATCCCTGAAGCTTCTCATAGTTTAGATAACCAGGTGAGGACATTTGCAACTAGTCAGGTCAGGCTAAGTCATGGCAATACTACAAACTTAGTGCAAGGAGAAGATAGCTCTCTTTGCTCAAGGGAGACCCATCATTCCTAAGTTCAAACTGGTGGATGAAGACAAATAAATGTCTCAGTACAGCAAGGCATCATGGGAAATGGGAATGCACCAGGGCGCAATGACAGGTGGCAAGATGTTAAAAAGAAAAAAGCTGTTTACTGGTTGGCCAGAAGAACCAGGGTCACCAGGGCGGCCAGGATTCCCTGGCAATCCATCAGCTCCCGGGAATCCCTGGAAGAAAACAGAGTGATTAAGAACATGCCATTGTGAAAATGCCTTTTATGCTTAAGAATAAGAAGCACGTGCATGAGAACACACACATGGGCATAAGTCGTTCTTTACCACGGGCTTGTTAGAGTTTCAATCTTAATTATATTACTCAGAAGTAAATCCCACTTATTCCAGTAGGAAGCGTGTCTAGGATTTCAGTCCTAGAAAACTAGAAATGAAAGGGATCACAGATCATCTAATTTGTTCTTTACTTGAAAGGAAGGGCCTGTTACTCACCAGGCCCTCAGTGAGATCCAAATAACAAAAGCAAAGGGACTGCAGAGCAGATAGCTCCAGGTAACCCAAGCAGGCAAGTTATTGCAACAAGCTCCCATAGTCTATTCATCTTGCAGGAAAGGGAGTTCACCAGTAGAGGCACCACAAAGCTAAATTCTCTAATTTAAGATGAACCCAGAGGGATTCTCTGATCTTGAACAGATTGATGAGGAGGAACAAGGAAAGCTTCCTGCCCATAAAAGCTCCATCATTCTTAGTGATCTGCTCCCTCTTGAGTAAAATAGTCAAGACTACATGAGATGCTGTGAGTACCCACCCTGTCTCCTTTCTCACCCCGCCGCTCAGTGACATCACCTGGAGGACCCCGAGGTCCTACTGGGCCTGGAGGACCTGGGATCCCGTTGCGCCCCTGAAAAAAACCAAAGACAAATAATAGGATTTTTTTATTTACAAACTGCTTGGTTGCTGTTGTGGTTCTTTTTCAAATGCTTTTGGTGGTGGGAGCTATAACCTGCCTGAAATACAGGCTGGGATGCTGCCAAGGGGTACCCCCCCTGCCTTGCCCCCAATAGTCTGAAAAGGAAAGGGCTCTAGTCAAACCAAAAGCACCCTAACAAACAAGATGTGCTCTGCTCCATGCCATACAGCCCAGGGACCCACACAAAAGAGCAGACATTACCGGATCTCCAGAAGGCCCAGGAAGTCCCATGCGTCCTTTCCGTCCCTGCAAAAACGATCAGAGAGATTAACTGCTGTTTCCACCCCCAGGGACCAACCCTCTTTAGGCCCTAAAAGGACTTCAGTGTGAGATCACCTTCCTTGGGACATCTCAGATACTCACAATCTCACCAGGCTCGCCCTTCTCACCCTGCAGGAAAATAAAAGAGAAGCCACAGTTTGCACGCAAGAAGAAATACCTCAAAACATTTCCCTGCTTCTCTCTGGGAAACTTATAAGGACAAAACTCTTGGGAAGTGGTCAAATGGTGCAGAGACCTTCAGGTATAGGGTTGGTATATAAATTCAATTCAAAATTCAGCTTTGGGATTGGCCTACAGCTACAGTGGGAAACAGTGCAGAGCCATTTCCACGCCTGCCAAAGTCCCTCCTATTCTCCACCCGCCTTACGTCACCTAGGAAACCGCATGGAATCATTGGTCTGACTCCACCATTGCTGACTCCCTCCATCCTGTCTCTAAGGGGAACTGAACACACTTCCACATGCCGTGCCAGCCTAGCACAGAGCTGGCTAATGCGTGGCACTGCAAATACTGCCGGACTACTCTTTCTTTCTGTCTTTCTTACCTGCCCTTCACACTAAGGTCCAAGGCCAGGTTACAGCATTGGAACACAATAGAAAAACACTTTAAAACAACTTGCAAACATATAAATAAGGTGGGCCCTAAAAACATGCCCCTCAAGTGTCAAAAGCTGACCATGGGCCACTCTGGCTGTGGCTGATGGAGCTGGAGTACAATAATATCTGGAAGGCCACAGGTTCCTCCCAGCCTTGGCCTATAAATTGTAGAACCCAGAGGCACAGGAATGACCCCCAATATTTTGGGGGGCCAGGGGGTCGCAGGCCACACCACACACATGTGACACTGTGCACACGTCACAGGAGACTGAGAGCTCTGGAGGAGCTGACCCCTGGGCCTGTGGTGTGCAGGGCCACCTAAAGATTGAGGGGGCCTGGTCCCCTTGAAACAAATATTAAGGGGGCTGAGATTGCCTTCGGCCCCCTAGAGTCGGCACACCTGGTAGAGTCCCTATCCAAGATGTGAAAGTCTGGTGGCTCTCACCACATCTCTCATTTACTCCAGCTGATACTCCCACCCCCTCAAGCCATGGAAGGATGCTCTGCCCTGTGTCCCCCGCCATTCCATCCACATATTTGACTGGTGGGAGAAATACTGATATGCACATCTAGAGTTCATTCCATGCAAGGAGAAGCTCTGATTAGGCCTGGCCTGGCCTGGCCCAGAGAAGCTCTTCTCATACAGCAGAGCATGCCCTAGAGCCCTTCCCCACCCTGCCCAAGCACATGGGTGGTTGTGGACACAGCACCCATTTCTCGCATGTTCAGAACTAGTCCCACAGTTCCCCCTCAGATATTCTATCAATGTGGGCGTGTGGGTGTGAATCTCCCCCCAGGCTCAGAAGCCCTTTTCTGGTGTCTGAAATACAGGTTGGAAATACTTGTCTACAGCTTCACCACCAATTCAATTTCTGACCAGGCCTCTATCTGCCAATGCCAAGTTAGGAACATAGGGAGTCAGGCCAGTGGGTCAACCTAGCTCCATGCTGACTACACTAATTGGTTGCAGCTCTCCAGGGTTTGTGATCAGGGTCCCTTTCCCAGCTCTACCTTAAGACCTGGAGACCTTCTGTATGCAGAGCATGTGTTCTACTGTGGAGGTACAGCCCTCGCCTCAAAAAAGCCACACCCCTGGTATCCATTTCCTGCTCTTATCTGGCCTGCTACAGGAAAGAGCATCGGCTCCTTCTCCTGGTTTAGTCCTGCTGAACAGGAACTTCCTGTGACTTACCTTAGGACACTGCACCGTACAGGGCTCTGGTCTAGGCTGAGGGAGGGAGGAAGTGGGGAAACACAAAGGATAAAAAGACCAGTGTTAGAATAGTTATAATGCTGCTGCCGGTGCATGAAAACATTTTGTGCTGGACGTTGGATGAAATTTACCACAGTGCGCTTGTAACCAATTGGCACAACCAGTGGCCTGTGATGTCCTGCCAAGATGCAAAACATTTTACCATGTAAAATCAGAGGTGAATTTCCTCCACCACTTGGCAGAGTGCTCCAGGGGATGGACTTTACCAAGTGGTTATTTTTATTATTGATAATGATGGTGGCGATGATGATGTTATTTATACTCCCATTTTTCCCCTGACAGGGATTAAAGGTGGCTTACAGATAAAGTAAGAACAGCTAAAAAATTGGGGGTAATAAAAAAACAATTAAACATTAATACGTGGTTATATGCACGCCACAAGGCATTTCCACTTAAGACAGGGGTCAGCAAACTTATTCAGTAGGGTGCCGGTCCACTGTCCCTCAGACCTTGTAGGGGGCCGGACTATATTTTTTTGGGGGAGGGAAATGAATGAATTCCTATGCCCTACAAATAACCCAGAGATGCATTTTAAATAAAAGCACACATTCTACTCATGTAAAAACACCAGACAGGCCCCACAAATAACCCAGAGATGCATTTTAAATAAAAGGACACACTCTACTCATATAAAAACACATTGATTCCTGGACCATCCGGATTTAGAAGGCGATTGGGCCAGATCTGGCCCCTGGGCCTTAGTTTGTCTACCCATGACTTAAGACAAGGCCCTCGTGTATGGGGAATCCAGGTCACGTACAAACAGGAGGCGCGGCTGTCCTTCTACGCTTCAAGACGTCTTGTGTTGCATGGGTGCTACCTGAACAGGCAGAGCAAACACTCTTTCATGCACCTCCCTCCATTCAGTGGCTTAGGAAACTGCAGGTAATCCCTTCCCCTGCATTTTGTGAGGAACGTCTTACCCCTTCAGTGTCGGCTGCCCTGCAGAGGGCGTTGACAAGCCCCTCTTCCGCCTCTGGCAGAGTGCTCAAATCCCTCCTCACAAAGAAAACATTGCGCCGGTCCTCATTGGTCACCAGGCGGCGCAGCTGCTCGCGGTCAGCCCCGTTCATGCCAACAGCCAGCACCTGGATGCCTGCAAGGTACAGAAAGAGAAAGTAAGCCCATCGAGGGGTTCTGTGGCTTGGCCATTCCCTGGGCAAGGCACATGAACAGTTCAGAAGAAGAGACTGGCAGCTTGACTAATTCCTTCCAAGAGAACCTTCAGCCAGGCCTGCAGGGAAAGGGTTTTTTCTGGAAAAGTTTTTTTTCTAGCTGCAAAGAAAAGGGCGAGCGAAACAATCAAGGGTCTGGAGCAACTTCCTTATGAGGAAAGGTTACATTATCTGGAGCTGTCTTGTTCAGGAAATAGGTGACAGTGGTGGGGACACATACAACAGAGGTATATAAAATTAGGCAAGATGTGGTGGAAGTGAACAGAGATAAGTTTATTCTCCCTCTCTCATAGAACCCAGGCCACTCAATGAAGCTGAATGTTGGAAGATTCAGGACAGGCAAAAGATGCAAGGAAAGTTTCCTGTGCTCTTATATTCCCGCCCCCCTCCACACTCTAAGGGCCTGTGTGCCTTACCTGCGGCCTTGAGATCCCTGGCTGGCCCAATGGCATCATCGCTAGATGGACCATCCGCCAGGATGACCAGGGTCCCAGGCACACCAGGTCTGCGCCCTGCAGCGAGGCTCAGCATGTCGCTCTTGGCAAAATTGATGGCAGCTCCTGCAGTGAAGAAAGCAAAGGACCCAAGATATATATACCCACAGAAAGCAAGCATGTGTTCATTGTCAAGAGAGCTTTACAGGAGTGGAAGTGGCCACCTCTTATTTGGAATCTGGCCCACTACTTTGTTCAGGCTTTACAACAGTAACTGGCCAACCCCATGGACAGATTTATTATCATCATTATTATTTAGAACATTTATACCCTGCCCTTTAGCTGAAAAGACTCACAAAGCGGCTTGCAAAAATCAGTTTTAAGATTGTCCTTGCCCTTAGGGCTTACAAAGACATGGCACACAAGGAAAAAAAGGAATGTGAGGGAGGAGGAAGAAACAAGCTCAAACACATGTCCTTTAAGTTACAGTTCTTAAAGTTACAGTCAACACCAGTGGCAGTTCTGGCTATCTTTCCCTTGATAAAGACCAGCCACCGGACTTCTGGGTTGGCGCCATCGCCGAATGGCGGATTCCCTCCGAGCTCCGGAGGGAATCTGCTCAGCAGGGGTCGGGTCCTGCTGCGCCGGCGACGCGGGGACCCTTAAAAACCACGGGCGCGAAAGCCTGTGGACCTGGTGACTCGGCGGGCATCGTTTGCGCCCCCCGACCCGCGAAGGAGCCTTTTTAAAGGCTACGGAGCGGGGGACAGGGAGCGGCGCGGTGCTGTGAGTCTTCTGCTTCCCCTGCCGAGCGAAGCCGCATGCCATTCGACGGAGAGCGCTGACTTCTTCTTCTGAAAATTTGGACTAAAAATAACAACCCGTGAGTAATTTGGAAATCGGACTTAAAAGGGAAACTTTTCTTTTTCTTGGATTCGGTACGAGCGGGGGAGGTGCAAAGAGGAAGTCCGTCTCCCCCCATTGTAAACAATTTAAAGCAAGGATTTGACGACTAAGGTCGAGAGAAGAGCCTTTTCTTTATTGGATAAAAGTTATTAATTTCACGATTGGAAATTACAAGTAATTTTGCTGGAGGATAAGAGTGGATTGCGAGAGTTAAAGTGCAACCCCCCGGGAACCGGGAGTGATCCGTGAGAGAGCCTGGTGAAGAGATACAGAGATTTTGACAGCTGTCAAAGTAGCTGTCAAAGTTGGAGAATAAAAAGAGAACTTTGTTACTGTGACTTTGCTGGTTAGATTTGTTACAATTTGGATATAAATCGTTGAAAATAAGGAATAACAAGTTAGTTTGACTTTTGGGTTGGATTTGGAAGGAAACTAAGTAACCATAATCCCTCTAGAGGGGGTTTTGGGACACTACAAGAATGGCTGTAAGTGGAAAAATACTTATGGAATTGAACAGAACTTTTTATCTTCTGGGAAAGCTGCAAGAACAAAGCATTATTTTGTCTACAGAGGTTTCTACACTGAAGGAGACAATAGACATATCTATTGAGAATAGAAGGGACTTGACGCAAGTTTTTGTTCCTGAACTAAAAGCCTCTGTAGGGGAATTAGAAGTTTTTGAATTAGAAGTTTTTACAGCTGAACAGGATAATAAATCTGAGAAAGAGATGAAAGAGAACAAGGGATTTATGATGATCTGGAAGGGAATGAAGGAGGAGCCACATCGTCGCAGAAGACCAAGGAAGGCCAAAGGCCTGTCAGGAAGGACATAAAGGAAAACAAGAATTGGATCAAGATGGAAGTTGGAGCATTTGGGACATTCAGACTTAAAAGGATTAAGAAACAAGATTTGAGTTCCACTCTTAAATATAGAGGTCTGGATGGAAGAAAAATTGACATTCTTGAGACAGAGCTTCTCCAAGATTGGGTGTTTGATATAAAAGACTACCAAAAAAACCGGCAAAGAGGAGCTGAGAGAGAATTAAGGGCCTCGGATGTGAGGTCTCCAGACTGATAGCACATAGACTGATAGACATTGGGGATCGAAACCGGGAAAGGGGGGAGGGAGCTCTGGAATCCAAAGGGCGTACAATTATATTATGAATTTTTCTTATTTCTTTATTTTGTTTTGTTGTGAGTATTAAAAAGGGGAATTCGTGGAAGGGAACTGGGGTCGACCTTAGAAAAAAGATTTTAATGTTTAAAGACTGTGGAATATAAAGGGAAAGTGGTTATATAAGATGAACTAAATTGAATAATGGGCTAAATATAATAAGGTCAAAATCTGGGGTAAGAACTTGTTGAACTAAACAAATGGAAATGGAATACAAGAAGGGGAGGGGTGGGGAAGTATTGGAAAGATGTTATTGAAAGCAAGGTTTTAAATGTAAATGTTTTCTTTTTTCTTTTTCTTTTCCTTTCCTTTTTTTTTTTTTGAAATTTCAATAAATATGATATTAAAAAAAAAAGATAAAGACCAGCCCCACACTGGAAGCAGCCCCACATTGCTCCAGATCAATTCCCAGAGAAGAGCAGGTGATGATGTTCAGGCCCAGAGGACAGAGCAGCTCCTGACACGCAGCTCTGGATTTCAACAGGAATAAAGCCCTCTGTGTGTGTGTGTGTTTTGTCCTTACAGCGATGCCCTCCCCGGTCTCTGAACCGATGAAACTTGCACCACACGGCTCAGTCCCCCAGCCCTGCACTTACCAATGGCATTGCCACTGGGTTCATCATAGCGCAGCGAGCGGATAAACTGCAGGACTGTTGGCAAGTCACTAGAGCGGTTGAGCCGGAGTACAGGGAGGCCTCGGTAGCTATAAAGCACAATGCCCACCTGGGGGAGAAAAGGGGGAAACAAAGTCAGAGCAGAGGTAGGGAATCTCAAGCCCAGGGTTGGATGTGGTCCTCCAGGCCTCCACCTGGCCCTTGGGACTCTCCCCAGGCCACACCTCCTCCTCAGCCTACTTCACATTCTCCTTGAGTATTTTTGCCAGGCTTGAGTGTGTGCTTGGACTTGGATATGGCCAAAGGCATGTACTGTATGTGTGTGTGAGAGAGAGTTTGTGAGAAACAGGCATACTGCACAAAGCTAAAAATTTACATCTCTTGCTCCACCCTCTTTTGTTTCTGGTCCCGCCCACTACCACCAATAAGGGGTTGCAGTGCTCAGGCACCTTTGAGATAGAGCAAGAGAGTTGTACGGAAGAGGGCACTGCAGCCAAGACAGGAAATGTCTAAGGGAAATCTACTTGATGACCAAATTTAGGGTGCACGAAGGCCAGCAAGGCAGCCACCTGAAACACTGTGTGGCTGGCCACTGGCTTCCCATGCTGCTCCATCCACTTTCGCCTTACAGACACAAACCATAGCAAATGAGGTTTCGCACTGAGAGAGGTGAAAATCACCAGGACCGCAGTGGGAGCCTTGGCACCAGAATGGCTTGCCACGCAGCAGAGGCTTGGCGTGGGCGTTTTACCAAGTGGCCCAACACCCACAGCACATGCAAACTGAGCCAAAAGGAAGAGCTGCAGCCCCTTTATGCCAGTCATTACCTGGGTGGCACCAGGACCCAACGGGCCCAGTGCAGATACAGTGTTGGAGAGGATGCTCTGCACGGCCTCTGCGTTGTAGGCGTTGTCTCGAGTGGCATGCACGAGAAAAACAATGTCTCTGCGGGCATCTCGGCAGACTGTAGAGGGGAACGTTTCAAAATGAGTAGGGTTGGTGTCCAAGTGGAGGTCAGAGGACATAAAAACGAAGAGACTTTTCTCCACACACCCATGTGAGAAGCTGCCCTGGTGCACAGCCAAATGGCTTTTGATTCAGAGCACAGAAGGGATCCAGGTGGCATGTCAAGGCCTGGCAGAAACAGCCCAAGCAAAAATGATCCAACTTAGCTCCACCTGTTTTCCTTGGGAACATAACACATAACAGGGAGTGAGGACCTTGGGCACAACATGAGAAGATCTCTGCTGGATCAGGCCACTGGCCCATCGAGTCCAGCATCCCTGTTCTCACAGAGGCCAACCAGATAATAATAATAATACAAAATAATAAAATTTTATTTATATCCCGCCCTCCCCAGCCGAAGCTGGGCTCAGAGCAGCTAACAATAATAAAAGTAATACAACATTCTAAAATCAATTCAAAATCAAATTAATGGCAACAATTGGGCTAGAGTTCTGTGGGGATTGCCAAAGGAGGGAGTCAGGCTGTGACCTGAACAAAGGAATGGTGGAACAGCTCTGTCTTGCAGGCCCTGCAGAAAGATGTCAAGTCCCTCAGGGCCCTAGTCTCTTGTGACAGAGTGTTCCACCAGATCAGGGCCACAGCCAAAAAAGCCCTGGCTCTGGTTGAGGCCAGCCTAACCTCCCTGTGGCCCGGGACCTCCAAAATGTTTTTGTTTGAAGACCCTAAGGTCCTCTATGGGACATACCAGGAGATGCCTGTGGGAAACCCGCAAGCAGGATTCGAGCAGAAGAGCGCTCTCCCCCCCCCCTTTGGTTTCCGGAAACTGCCTCTGACTGTTGAAGCAGAGGCAGAGCCATCATGGCTCCCTGAATTTGTCCAGAATTTGTCCAGTCCTCTTTGAAAGCCCTCCAACGTAGGAGAGGTCCTGCATTTCCCTCCCAGGTGCAAGGATACCTCACCTGTGCGGTCAGTCACAGAAGTCTCAGGACCTGTGACGCTCCCAAACAGCGGGCGGATGGTGAAGGTGTAGCTCCTGCCCAGGCGGAGGCCAGACACTTGGTGCGATGTGGCAGACCCAGGCAACGTTCTCTGTGCTTCCACTTCGTCTGGAAGAAAGCAAGAGCACGAAGGAGGTTAACAAGGGCAATTCCACCCAGTACGGACGCCGTGCCCATGTAACAGATCTCAAGCCTGCAGTGGGTCTTGGAACCAGTGGCAGAAGGTAAGCCATGGGGAGATTCGGCCTGTGCATGACCTCTGGACAAAGGAGATAAGTGAGGGGTGGGGAGGGTGGGGGAACCAGCTACATCTGCCAAGGAAGGAATAATCTTCCAGTGTGGGGCAGTACTTAAAAAGTATTGGATTATGGATTCCAGTTCAAATCTCAACTCAGCCACGAAGTTCCCTGAGTGGCCTTGATCCAATCACTGTTTTTCAGCCTCAGTCTACCTCACAAGGTTGTTGGGGGGATAAAACGGGGGGGATTATGCACGGTGCCCTGAGGTCGCTGGAGGAAGGCCAAGATATAACAAGATCTGTTCTTGCTAGCTAGCTGCAAGCTGCCTTTCCTCACCCAGTCTTCAGCTGTGCAAGAGCTGGAGGAGGTGATGGCACTAGGACACACTGCCAGTATATCCTCTTTCATACCCATCCACTCCTCAATGGCCCAGCAGTTTGGTCCTCAACCTCTGCCATTACCTCGTGGAGATTTCCAAGTGAGGAGATAGCCAGTGGCCCCAGGAACAGGAGTCCAGGTCAAAATCGCAGCATCCCTTTGAATCTCTGCCACCCGGAAGTTGGTCACACGACCCATTGCTGCTGGACAAGCAGAGGTAAAAAGGTGAGGCAGTTGTTTGGGGCCTTCAGGCAATCTTTGCCTCCACCAAGAGAAGCAACTGAGCCTCCATAATCATGATCAATTACAGTAGTTACCACACTAGTGAAACATTCTCCCCAGTGCCATTGACTCACTTACATCCCCGAGCTTTGCAAAAGTCCTTTGCAGTAGTTATAACTACCATGTACAAGCGAGAGTGTTTTCATCACAAAGATGTTTTCACAGCACAGCAGATGTGAGAACAGTGCCATATACACAACTAGCCACCACTGGTTTGTTACAGTGATTTTCCATGGAAAGGCAATACAGCATTTTCCATGGAAAGGCAATACAAAAATATAATATATAAACACCACTGTAGATGTAAAAACAAAACAAAAAACTCTTTCTTTAGAAGTTGAGGAAAAAACAGCAAGATGGGTTTAAAACATTTAACAGGGCAGAAACAGAAGAACCTATACATCAAATTATCTCTGGGGACAACATACAAACACCTTAATACTGTCTGAAGTTATAAGCCCTCCAATCCACTCCTCTGGCAGGGTATACACACCCAAGAAATTTACTGTGAAATCACTTTGACATAGTTCATGGGAAAGGGTCCATAAATGGAATCAAATAAGTAAATAAATAACAAGAAAGACACACAACTCCCAACCAGCACCGTTTATCAGGTCACCTATGTGAGACCTAGGAAAGAAGGGAGAGCACAGCGAACGAAGCCTTTTAGCTCTGATGAAATGCAATTTGAAGATGCTGCCATGAGATGGCTACCTTACTCCAAGCAGAGCCAGGCCTGAGGCAGAGTCCCACAGGGGACAAGAGGCAACCTAAGGGCACCTGCGAGAGCGAGGTACGTTTTGACTATCTCCCAAATACATAAATAGGCAGAATGTGCCTTCTAGCTGATCTCTGTGCCTGCAGAGGCTGGCCAACTTAGTAGAAGATGGAAGGAGGATTTACCAGTGTTGGCAACAACAGCCACAGCTCTGCTCTCCTGGTTGCCCACCAGGCTGGTGATGCGGATTTCGTAACGCCCTCCTGGCTGCAGGTCTCTGATGTCATAGGTGTTGACACTGGCTGGAAGCAGCTGGCTCCTCTCTGGTCCACCTGCCCCGGGTGAGAGAGGGAGTTAATTTCCTGAGTGCTGGGCGGAAGTAAGAGGGGTGTAGGTAGCACAACAGGGCTGGGTAACCTTTTCTGGGCCAAGGGCCACATTCCCTTCTAGGCAACCTTACAAGGGCCATATGCCAAAGGTGGGTGGGTCCAGAAACGAAAGTAGATGGAGCAACAAATGCAAATTCACACACCCCCTTCTACCCAGGCAGAGTTCTAGATGGGGAGGAAGGAAACATTTAAGAGGGTGCAAAGCAGGGGTGTCTGAGGAGAGTCCCAAGGGCAAGGAGGCCAGAGAGAGAGGCCCCCAGACCTGAGGTTCCCCATCTCTGGTGTAGACAATACTCACCATCTGCCGGCTGCCAGACAAGCCGATAGCCTGTGCTTCCTGGCGCTGGGCTCCATTCGACCCGGATGTGCTTTTCAGAGGTGTCGGTCACACGCAGATTCCCAACTGGCTGAACTGAGACTGTCGCTGAGAGGAAAGGTTGGGAGGATTAGCAAAGGAAGAGGATCCAGGGAGGTCGATTGCTGCCATGGTTAGGAGAAGGCACTGTAATAGGAACTATTTGTCCTGGATGAAGGGAGTGAACCTTGCTGAGGGGAACTGAAGAATGCACCTGGACTCATCCTGCAGGGTGCTCCAGGAGTCCATTTGGGTATTTAATGTGGGATGAATACAAGGCCTTTCACCTTTCGTTTAGGAACGGCAGCTGGCACCCTCCATAGATGGGCATTCCAAAGAGCCGGAAAACCCCTGTCCACACCCTGTTTCACAGCCTCTGCTTCCAGGGAGCTTCTGGGATGACAGCTACAAATGCAGCCGCTGCCTAATCCAGGGTGGCAAACCCCACCTAAAAGCACTCAGTTGATGCTCACACCCCTCACTCACCTGCCCATGAAGCTCACCAGCAACCTTGGGCAAATCACCGTCTCCAAACCCCCAGCCTAACTCACAGAGCGGCCAGAGTAATGCCCAGAGCTCCTTGAAATGAGGACTAGACAGAGATGTGGCACACAAATCCATTGAAGTCTTACGTGTGGTGACAATGAGAGACACGGGGTCTCCTTCGCGGTTGCCAATCAGTGCAGTGACCTTCACAGTGTAGCTGACTCCGCCTTCCAGGTTCTGGATGTCAAAGGAATTGGTGCTTCCCGAGACCAGCTTGCTGTTTTCAGGTCCACCTTTGAAGCAGAGCAGAGTTTAAAAGGATGGGCAAAATCATTTCAGTCTATCCCAGTTCACAAGAGCAAATCTTGATACTATTCATAGACAAAAGGTTATCCTTGCCCTACAACCAGGATGGGCAATCTGTAGCCCTCCAAAGATTGTTGGACTCCATCAGCCCCCAGTCAGCATGGCCAATGGTCAGAAAGATGAGAGTTGCAGTCTGGCAACATCTGGAAGGCTAGAGGTTTCTAAACCCTGTCTTAACCTGTTTCATACTTGGGAAAAACAAATGGGGCTTTGGATTCTGGGACTTGCAAAGGTTCTGCTATCTCACTTTCTGGGAGAAACATTAGCATCAGAAACAGCACCAATGGAGGCAGACTACTGATAAACTGAGCAGCTACTGTACCATCACTGCGGCCCCACACAATTCTGTAGGCTGTAACTCCGGGCACACCAACCCATGTGACTCGCACATCCGTGCTCCGAGACTCCAGGACCTGTAAGCTGGTGACCATTCCCACTTGATCAGGGGCTGCAAAACAAAAGAACGGAAAAGGGTGATTGAGAGCAGTGCCATTGAGATGGACTTGCTGTGGGCATCCCTGTTCTACAGCCAGAGTTGACCTCACCTGTTGTAGCTGTGGCGGTAACCGGACTCCCTTCTCTGTTGCCAACCAAGGCTGAGACCCCAATGAGATAGAAAGACCCAGGCCTCAGGCCCTCAATAGTGTAGGAGTTTCTATTAGCTGGAAGGACTTGAGAGAACTCTTGACCTGGGGGAGAAGACAACATCAAGCTGGAGGAAGCGTATTCCATAAAGCAGGGCTGAAAACAGGGTGGACTATTACGGCAAGAAATCCCTCAGCTGAGAGCTACCAGACAGCAGCTCTGGGAATCTTTTTCTGCCACAATTGCCAAGTAAGAGTCCAGACAGAAATTTCCAACAGAAACAGCATATCTTAGCACAAACAAGGTATCCTTCAACAGAACAGCTTCCAGGCATACCACAAAACCAGTCTACATCCTTCTGAGACAAATATTTCATAACAGCAACACTGAGTGTGTGTGTTTTAAAAAAGGAGAGACCAATTGAGAGAGATTTTGCTGCCCAAAGGAATACAAATTCCAACTGGAGTGGGGGTTTTTTATATATAAGCTAAACCCAAGCTAAGAATTCCTGGCTATTGTATTTCACCTTTGAAATACAAAACTGTTTCCCTGCTTGGTTATAAAAGACAAACTCAGAGATTTCTAGACTGCTGATTAAACTAGACTCCTGTTGGTTGATTGTTTATTTATTTATTTTCCACTTTTCACCCTAAGGTCCCAGGCCAGGTTACAACATAAAAACACGATTATTAAAAATGGTTCAAAACAGCTTCATTAAACTACCCTGTCCAAAATGGCATTGCATTTTGAATTAACCTATGTGGAGACTTTCCCCGAGTTAATCAGGCTAATTGAGTCTACAGAGTTCCAGTGGGCTGTCACTTTTGTAACTGGGCAGCAGTCCTAAACTAGTTCTCCTTCCTGCCCTATCCCACCCCTGATATATTTCATCTCTCTAGTTTTGACACTACACATTAGTCCTTAAATACAGCAGACCCCCAAGTTCCAATTCAAGCCTAATTCTGAAGCCAGAATATATTATTTTTGTCACACACAGAACAACTCACCATCTCTCTGCCGCCACGTCACCTTATATCCAGTAACCCCGGCAACTGGATTCCACGTCACCCGCAATTGGCTGGGTCCAAGGGCAGCCACTTGTAGGTTGGTGATGCTGCCCACAGATGGGCGTTCTGCAAGTCCAAAGACAGAATTGAGAGGGTTGGCTAGGAAAAACTGGTCACACACAAACACTTACATGCCACTTTGGAGCAGGGGTGGAGAACTTCAGGCCCAGAGGGTGTCTATATTGCCCCCAGACTACGCCCCTCCTCAGGTCATCCCTCCCCTCCTCAGGCCATGTCCCTCACCAGCCCTACTCCACACCTTCCTGAAGTGCTATTGCCTGGTTGATATGTGTCCTTGACATGTGATGATGCCCTTGGTTTGTCTGAATGGGATATGGGAGTGAGTGCATCTATGAAGAAACCCCTGGCATTTGCATGGCTGTGATGCAGCCTATGGCACCAAAGAGTCACATCTATTGCTCCACCCACATTTCCCTCTGGCCCCATCCACCATCCATCTGATATGTGGCCCTCGGAAAGCTACCCATAAAAGTATGTGGCTCTCTGGCTGGAAAATGTTCTCCCCTCTTGCCTTGCGAGTTTTTGAAGTGCTTCCTGTCTCAGGGAGGAATTATTATCACCATACTGCAGATGGGAAGTGACCTGTTAAATCTTCTCACAAGACGACCTGCTGGATCAGGCCAATGACCCATCTACTCCAGCATCCTTTTCTTATAGTGGCCAACCAGGAAACTCTCAAGAAGGACCCAAGCACAAGAGCATTCTCTCCATCTGTGGTTTCCAGCAACTGATATTTAGAAGCATTACTGCCTCTGGCTGTGGAAGCAGTGCAAGACTCTCAAGACCCACCTGAGTTCTACCTAATTGGCACAGGCTCTCCCTCCCATTGCACCAAGGTCTCAGGGTGGAGCTGGTGGCGATGGTGCTAGCGTATGTGGCCCTGCTCCTACTTCCATGCGCATGGAGGCTAATTTCTGAAAAGGGCCTAGGACTATCTGGGATGAGTCAGTTGACACTTACGGATTCGGATGTTGAGAGGAACAGCGCTACCCTCACGGTTGCCAATAACTGCTGATATGCGCACCACATAAACAACGTCCTCTTTCAGATCAGTCAGGTCCTCGGTGGTCTGGGAGCCTGGGATACGCCGTGTCTTCTCCGTGCCATCTGCAGCAGAGACCAAAGCAACCACGTGCTACACATTCACGATTTCCACTTGCAAATGAGGCACTCACATTGGTTTTCTAGGGCAGAAAAGTTCCTAGCCCTCTTGGTTGTGAGGTAAAACTGAGAGACATTTAAGACAGTATCGGGAGTTGGCTGAGGAAGAATTTCTGGGCAGGGCATCCATCTGTCAACAAACGCTGTTGCATTTGTTGTCACAAGACGACCTGCTGGATCAGGCCAATGACCCATCTACTCCAGCATCCTTTTCTCCAGCATCCATCTGTCAACAAACGCTGCACAACTCTGCCTCCTCTCCTATGGCTGCCATTTGGGACTGGTAGGGTGGAAGGCAGAGAGGCTGACAGTAAGTGGGGCCAGGCCCATGACAGGCCGAGCTATATAATTTGGGTTTCATTGCCCTTCTCTGCTCTTCTGACTCTGACAGTGGCAACACTCACATTAAGAAGGAGGAAGATGACACAGACAGTCCTCCTGGACTGAATGCAAGGAAGAAGGCAGGTAGGTGGGTGCTGGCTGAGCTCTGGCTGAGGCTGATGTGATACTGCCCCATTTCCCCTAATGGACCAAATTCTTCTGCTTCCCCCCGCATCCCTGCTCCTATTTGCTGAGGATGCAATCTGGATCTTCGATAGCACCAGGACCACTGTGAAGCAACCCCACCCCACAATTCCGCTTCTCCTAGATACTCACCCTGGGTGTTGCGTAGCACAACTTTATATGCTGTGGCCCCAGGGACACCCGTCCAGGCCAGTCTGACTCTGTTCCCCAAAGTCTCAGTGACCCTCAAGTCAGAGATGCTGCCCACGGGTTGTGCCACCCCTGCAAGACAAATCACAGCTCAAATGCAAGGAAGCCAGTGAAGGGAGCCAAGCTGCCAGCATGACAAGCAGCAGGACCAGCCACAGCAGACAGAGTGGTTGCACCAGGTCCTCATTACAGGGAAAGCCATAATTTATTTGCAGCAGAAGGGTTGGGGTAGAGGACCCCCATATTGAACTTTGAACATCAGCAAAAACAAAAAGCAGCATACAGCTTATTGCATGGCGAGTTCCCGACCCCCCCCCCCCGCCGGGAAGAAATAATGACACATGACACAGTTATAAGGTTAATGGGCTAGAAAAGGCCACAACTTGATTGGTTACAGGTGATGAGCGGTATTGGCTTAGGCATTGGACCTAACCGACTATATCTGACTCCAGCCCGTCTGCTTGAAGTCCAGGAAGGGTTAATCACCAGTAGGGGGAGTCCTGCTGATGCACATCAACTAGGAGCTCCCCCAGGGTCACCTTAGGCCCTAGGCTTCGGACAGGGCCACGCCCCCCCCGGAATCCTTTACCGGACCACCCTTCAAAATGTGGGGCAGGTGATGGCGTTACCTCCCCATTTTCCATCTTCAGAACTATTCAATGCCTAACCAGAAAGTTGTGACGATTTGGTAAGAGGTAGGCGAAAACCAAGTGGCTGGTGCCAATTTTGCCAAGTGAAAAAATTCCTACCAGGCCCCTCAACAGTGACCAACCAAGGTCCATAGCAAGGTCAGAGAAAGCAAACCTTAGAGGGCGGGCGGGTGGGTGGGAAAAACAGGAGCAGCTGGGGGGCGGACAAAGAGGGAGATCCCCTGCTGCGTCCTTCTTTTAAGGGGCAGGCCACACCCCCTGCGCAACCCAACTGGCTGGCTAGGGGATGATGCAGCCGGGAATCCCCCAATCGTGTGGGGGCTGGTCTCCCACCCCCTGGGCACGTGGAGGGGCTGTGAAGCCCGCAACCCCACCTTCTCCTTAGGGCGGAAGTGGCTATAACGTACAGATCTGATCAACATGGAAGAGATGCATGTAGAAGGCCAACCAGGGGCCTAGAGCTCTGCCACAGAAAAATAGGGATTTTCCAGAATGTTATGCAACCAACTTGGCTTATGAGCCGTGACTGCTGGTGTGGAAGGTTCAAGTCCACAATTCTAGTACTTGATTGGCTGGAGGAAACCATGGGGATCAGTTCCCAAGAGAAGGGGAAACAAAGGCAGCACATGTAAACATCCCAAACCTGCAGAGATCTTCCCTGCCCACCTGCGGGTCTCCTGCCCCTGCTTGAAATAAACATGTATTGCAGTCAAAGAAACAGGTTGGCGGCCCAGCGCAAAGAGGACTCCTGCCACTTGCATCATCCCTGGCTTTCCAAGCTACAGCCATTCAGCATTTGGAAGCCTAGTAGAGGAAGGCTTGGGCTCTTCCAAGGACCTTAAGCTCCCTGCTCTGTCTCACACCTGACACCCATGGCGAATGAAGGTAAAGGGACCCCTGACCATTAAGTCCAGTTGTGGCCGACTCGGGTTGCGGCACTCATCTCGCTTTATTGGCTGAGGGAGCCGGTGTACAGCTTCCAGGTCATGTGGCCAGCATGACTAAGCCGCTTCTGGCGAACCAGAGCAGCGCACGGAAACGCCGTTTACCTTCCCGCCAGAGTAGTACCTATTTATCTACTTGCACTTTGACGTGCTTTTGAACTGCTAGGTAGGCAGGAACAGGGACCGAGCAACGGGAGCTCACCCCGTCGCAGGGATTCGAACCGCCAACCTTCTGATCGGCAAGTCCTAGGCTCTGTGGTTTAACCCGCAGCGCCACCCGCGTCCCATATGGCGAATGAAAGAAACATCCATAAAACACGCTCAGAAGCTTTACTCCATCATTCCTTAATGTGGTGCCCTCCTCTGGGTGTTGTTAGACTACAACTCCCATTCATCCCTGACCACTGGCCATGCTGGATGGGGCTGATGGGAGATGTAGTCCAAAACATATGGAGGGCATCAGGTTGAGGAAGGCATCTTTAGTGTTTATATTCATTCACATCCCATTCGCTAAAGGTATGTTGAAAGCAAAAGCATTGCAACACATCTGGGGTAGAAATGTCTACATAAATTTTTGAAAAATTACACTACAGGGGAGAACTGTTGGTTTAAGATTGGTTTTCTGCAGTGTTTGATTTCTAATCTTAATTGCAAAGTAACCTCCTGTGAGCAATCGTTTTTGGTGACAAAAATGAGGGTTTGGTTTCCCAAAGATTCCCCAGGATTTTATCGTACTTTGCATTGTTTTATTCCCATTCAATACTCCTCTGCATCGGTATATTTTTAAAGGGGGATCTCACCCTTTTTTTAAAAAAGAGGTGGAGACATATTTTCAATGCTTTGTGGTCTAGCCAGTCAGGGGTCATGCAGTCACCAAAATAACATTTTGGCAGCACAGGGCCATTCTGTTTTGTTTACATGATAACACCACACACAGAGCAAATTAATTCATTTCCCCTGCTTTTGAAGCCCCGCCCCACCTCATATTATTATCTAAAGTGGGAGGCGCATTTTGGCTTAGTTCTACTTAATTTAAATTAACTTGGATATTCAGAATTCCACCATTTAACCACCCAGCTTCTGCAAGGACATTTTCCTTATTTTGATCATTAAAAAAAAGCTTCTTCTGTATAAAGGTATAAACATTTCCCGGCACTTTAAACAAAACTGACCCAAAGACAAACATCTCATCAATATGTAGAGCAAGGTTCAGAAGAGGCAGCTTTATCCTAATATCAGCCTACTGCTGAGAGAGATAAACTTGGCAGCTCTACTGCAAGAGCCCTTCCTTCTCTCCAGAAGTGAAAGCAAGGTGGCAAGGGCTAAACATGCTGCAAGTCATTAATCACTTACTCACCAGTCTGCAAGATGGTAACTGGGGTGGCCACTTCCTTGCCGTCATACAAGGTGAAGAGAGTGATGTGGTATTCAGTGCCTGGCTGCAACCCTGTCAGAGTGTAGCTGTTTTCATTGGTGGGCAGTGTCACAGTCCTGGGGGGCTCCAAACCTGGAGATCAGCACAAAATCACATTTAAGGATAATAGGGAATTTATGAGCTCTGGTCTGGCTGACCTGATCTGCATCTCCTGGACTAATGTCTAGATTGAAACTTTGTTCTCTACAAGCACTTGCATTTTCCTGACACAGGTTTTCCTTCCTTAATGTAGTCAAATGCATTTTTAAAAACACACATATTGGGAGGGGGGAGTTTAGAAATGTGTATTTTGATAAAAAATATACAGTGGTACCTCGGGTTAAGTACTTAATTCATTCCGGAGGTCCGTACTTAACCTGAAATTGTTCTTAACCTGAAGCACCACTCTAGCTAATGGGGCCTCCTGCTGCCGGAGCACAATTTCTGTTCTCATCCTGAAGCAAAGTTCTTAACCCGAGGTAATATTTCTGGGTTAGCGGAGTCTGTAACCTGAAGCGCATGTAACCTGAAGCGTATGTAACCCGAGGTACCACTGTATACATAAAGGTAAAGGTAAAGGTACCCCTGCCCGTACGGGCCAGTCTTGACAGACTCTGGGGTTGTGCGCCCATCTCACTCTATAGGCCGGGGGCCAGCGCTGTCCGGAGACACTTCCGGGTCACGTGGCCAGCGTGACAAAGCTGCTCTGGCGAGCCAGAGCCGCACACGGAAACGCCGTTTACCTTCCCGCTAGTAAGCGGTCCCTATTTATCTACTTGCACCCGGGAGTGCTTTTGAACTGCTAGGTTGGCAGGCGCTGGGACCAAGCAGCGGGAGCGCACCCCGCCGCGGGGATTCAAACCGCCGACCTTTCGATCGGCAAGCCCTAGGCGCTGAGGCTTTTACCCACAGCGCCACCTGCGTCCCTGTATACATAAAAGTGTGTATACATAAAAGTGTCTGTATACATAAAAGTGTGTAAATAAATATGTGGCTTCAACAAAATAAATAAATTAGAGATTAATGCAAAGATGGAATGGAACAGATTTATAAGAGAACACTTGTGGAAATGGCATGGAGCAGAAATAAATTTGTCAGTTCTTAGTCACAGCAATCGTTTGCACATCCAGCCCACCAACTTCATCAGATCTTCTCGTTTTGTCCAGGCTTTGCAGCAACAACCCTATACTCTTTGTCTTAAGCCTTGTTCTATAGAGAGGAGCCTCATGCCTATGGAGGACCCTCAGAGATCATGTCTCAGGAAAATCTGGAAGTGGCTGGAAAAGAATCAGCTTTCACACTCCAGCCTCCCCAAAGTCTGACCCACACTTCCCTAGCCTTCCCACAACCTCCCTTCCACTTATTGTTGAAATCAGGCTGGGTTACCTGTTGCTTTTCTCCATTCCAGCCGATAACCTCGGGCGTTAGGGATGATGTTCCAGGCCAACTGGATAGACGTTGGATCAATAGTGACAATTCTCAGAGTCTGGAGTATAATGGCTTCTAAACACAGCAAAGAGAAACTGGACTCAGGAGGATTGAGATTCTTAGAAAAGGCTTGAGAACCACTCAGTACTCAGTACTTCACTTCCCACATATGCCTGTGACTATGGGAGAAGTTCATTTGTGGAGGTGGGCAGGGAGCCAATCTGAATCAAAACACCCACTATGACAAGCTCTGCCACTCTTTAAAAAGGGGCCAGCTGGGCTTTGCCTTTGAGATAAACAATGGGATCTTGCCACACACACACAAACCAATATTCACTGCAGTGTCTCACTTTATCTTCAGCAGTCGCAACACTGCACTGTATTTTGCATTCCCCTCCCCCTTTTGAATACAGTCGTACCTTGGTTGTCGAACAGAATCTGTTCCAGAAGTCCGTTTGACTTCCAAAAATGTTCGACAACCAAGGCGTGGCTTCCAATTGGCTGTAGGAACTTCCTGCACTCAATCAGAAACCGCAGTAAGCCGCATCGGATGTTCGGCTTCCGAAAAAACGTTCGCAAACCGGAACACTGACTTCTGGGTTTGTGGTGTTTGGGAGCCAAAATGGACGAGTACCAAGGCGTTCAACAACCAAGGTATGACTGTATTGGTGTGAGGGGAAGGGGTGAGCTGGTAATCAAACTTGTAGCACAGAACTGTGCCCTGAACAATTCTGGTACCTCTGTGTAAAGCTAGTTTAAACTTGAGTCATCGCATTATAAACGGAATGCTGAACAGACCAATAATTATTAAACCACAGGCCTCACTTTGCCTGGCCAATACTAGCACGATTTACTGCTAATAACAACAATAAAACAAACAAACCACAAATACTCCCTCGGGCACACAACACACACCAGTTCTCCTCCTGATGGAGGCTTTTGGCCCTTCCACCTGCCCAAAGACTGGAGCAACAGTCACCAGGTAATCACTATCAGGCTGCAGTCCAGTCAACAAGAAGGAGTTTTTGCTGGGATCCACATCAGCTCTCTGCACATCCTGACCTGAGAAAGCACAGAACAAACAAACAAAAGTTGACAGTAGAGTATTTAATGCATGTGGAAATGTTCACTGCATGGGGAGATGAACCTTAGAGTGGTCTGCATTCAAATGGCCTGCACTTGGCTTAATTGGGAGGAGGGAGAAGACTATCTACTAAGTTAATCTTCACAGGGACGTAGAAAACTCTAAGAAAACAGAAATGAGAGGATGGTCCCTAGCAGAGAGGATGCCATCAGCAGTCTCCCTGAAAGTGACCAATGTCCCACCTAAACAAATACAGCTGTCTTCATGGACACACATCAATACTGAGTATCGACAATAACAAGCAAAAAAAGTTCCCCTGGAACAAACTGATTATTTTACAATATATATCATGTCTGGATCTTGTCCATTTCACAAAGGGTTAAGTGTGGTGGCAGATAAAAAGAAGAAACTTAAAATATTTTACACAGAACTACAAAGGACTAACCCACTTGCTAAACGAACTCAGAGGATCAACATCGGAAATGTTTTATTGGGACTACTGGGACTAATTAAGAAATGCAGTACAATATTAGATCATCACTCCCCGAACTTCAGAGCATGGGAAGATGTATAATTTGGCATAAAATTTGGCTTTTTTATTATATTAATTTGGAATGCTTTAATGTGTTTTTTATTGGATTGTTAAAATGGAAAACTTAATAATTTTTATTTTTTTTAAAGTGTGGTAGCCTAGGTGAGCAGTGGAGCAGAGCTCTGGACTCCGTCCTCTCTGGTCCAAGTGCAACACTCTCCATCAACTATATCACAAGGGCTCCCAGCAATGCACGGAATGGCTACAGTCAATAGGTGGAATGAGTTAACAAGAGAACTGGAACCTAACAGTGACGCAACAGATCCTGCGAATTGCTTCTGGGTTTATCCACTTTACTAAGTGTCACCACATATGCAGATGTGGTACCATATTTCATGATAAAGTTTCAGATAAAAGCAGCATTTGAATGCTGCTTTAAATGGAAGATAATTATATAATGATAAAGCTATGAATTATGTAATTCATTATATAATATAGCCATGATGTAATTAAGGTATTAATTATATAATTTACTAGAAGGGATGTGATGTAATACTTTTGATAACTGACATTCTTTTTTAAAAGCAGAGATTTTGACAGCTTGCTGGAACAGTTAATACGGCTAGTTATCATTCTCAAGTTCTACAGCTGTGGAGAATGAGACTCTTCATTTCAGGGTTGTGGGTGAAAGATCCCCACATTGCAGGGGGTTGAACTAAATGACCCTTGTGGCCTTTTCCAGTTCTACAATTCTATGATTCCACGATCCAGAGTAATTTCTGGTTCCTCATGGGATTTTCTTAACACCCATGAAAGTTTACCCATTAAAAGAGTTGAGGAGACCGGCTTCCAATAAAGGCAAGATCAGCTGCTAATAAGCTAAAAAACAACAACAGACTAAAACACATGTGAAACACAACTTTGTTAACGTTTATCCGACTGTTTGTTTTAATTTTAATTTTATGTAATTGTTACATCCTATATGCTCTTTCGTAAACAAAGATATATATCAATGCAACCATGTTAAACAGTTTAAAGATGAACATGAATAAAACTATGTTACAAAAACACACACACCACGTCAGCATTTTATATGTCTGAATAGGCTTGACTAAACAAAAATGTTTTTAACAGGCACCAAAAACAGTGCAGTGAAGGTGCTTGCCTGATGTCAATAGACAGGGAATTCCAAAGTATAGGTGCTGCCACACTGCGCAAGGAAAGTCCCACATAGTCTTATTATGAAAGTTCACTCTATCACATATCTAGAATAAATTTTATAGTCATGTATCCTACATTGAGTGGGTCTTCATATACAGTTTAAGCTCGCAACTTAAACAGGGGTCATGTTCCGGGGATTGTGCCTTAAGCCAAAATTGCATATAGTCAAAACACACTAGGTGCAACGGTTGGTGAGAATGTTAAAGTCTTTCTTTCCCCTGGGTGTCTACCCACTTTAAATTTTTTATTTATTTTTTGCCATGCACATAAAGCTGAATGTGCACAAGTTGAATGAGCTTAAGTTGTGGGCTTAATGTTTATGTTTAGTATCATCTTGGTTTTTGATAAATGATAGACATACTTTTTACACAGACAGTGGTGCTTCTTTTTGTGTGTGTGTAAGGAGATGTTTGGACCAGTCACTTGCTTCTTTTTTAGCCAGCCATCTGATTAGGCCAAGTTGCTTTGAAGTCTTGTTCTGAACAGCTACGATCAACACATTTGCTACCCAAAACACCACCTCCCGCAATTTCCATATTCATCCGCAAAAACCTTCAAATATACCTATTGAATTAAATAATTGCATCCCTCTTTTCTGGCAGCTGAAACACCATCATCTCACAAATAGTGCTATTTGCAAAGTGAAAACAACCCTGTATTTTCATAAGGCATCGTTACAGTTGATTAGGTCCCACTGGGCATGTGAAAAAGTGTATTTTCGTAGCATTCTGGGACAGTCAATTCATCTGTGGAGTCACAGTGACAGATCTGACTGATCATGCTGTGCTCTAGCATCCTGATATTGGAGCACAGGAAGAAAATGGATCAGCTGAACAGACATACCTGAGAGGAGGCCCCAGGTAACACGGTATCCCGTTGCTCCACTCACGCCCCGCCAGGTCACCAGCATGCCCTGGGAGGAGATGTTCAGGGCAGACAGTTGTTGCACTCCTGACAAACCCACTGAGGATAGAGAAGGGTTAAAAAAAAACCAACACTGAAAAATGTGAAGACATGCCATGTCCATTAAAGGTAAAGGACCCCTGACAGTTAAGTCCAATCGCAGACGACTCTGGGGTTGCGGCGCTCATCTCGCTTTACAGGCCGAGGGAGCCGGCGTTTGTCCGCAGACAGTTTTTCTGGGTCATGTGGCCAGCATGACTAAGCTGCTTCTGGCGCAACGGAACACCGAAACCAGAGCAGTACATGTAAACGCCGTTTACCTTCCTGCTGGAGCAGTACCTGTTTATCTACTTGCACTTTTTTGCATGCTTTCGAACTGCTAGGTTGGCAGGAGCTGGGACCGAGCAACAGGAGCTCACCCCATCACGGGGAGTTGAACCGCCAACCTTCTAATCGGCAAGCCCAAGAGGCTCAGTGGTTTAGACCACAGTGCCACCCGCATCCTGTTACCATGTCCATTAGATATGCCATTTACCAGTATCCTACAGTCTAGATGCTGGTGCACCACAACCTCACAGAATTAATTCTTAATTAACTGCAGCACAAACTGAATGAAGGGAATGGTTCCCAATATTTACAACTGTATTTTAAACATGGTGCATGAATATTGATGTTTCAAGCATGCACCAAATAATATCTAAAATGGGATGCCTCCTCTGAACTAAAATATCTGTTTAAAACCCTCAGCTAAAGATAAATAGGCAGTCAATTGAAAAGTGCTACAGCACTGCCAGCCTACATCTCTCAAAATCTACAAACGCATGTAAAACATGGGAGAGACTGCAATTCCTTAGGAACTCATTGGGGCTAGGTTTAGGGACAAGCAACTTTGGCGATTGTCTGGGGGTTGCCTGTCCATGCACTGGGCACTAAACTGTTTAAATAAATAACACAAACAATTCATATAGCACAAATAAGTATAGGTTTACAGATCCCAACATGCAGATTTATCATCTAAGGAAACAAGGATGAATCATGGCTGTGCGTCATGCATCCAAAGTCGTGAAATGGGCAACAGATGCAATAAAAATTAAAGTGTTTCATAAATACAATAAGAATATTAACGTATTAAAAACACAGCGATTGTCAGAATCACTGGCCGAGGAAATTATTTCTACCTGCAGGGGGGAAATGTAAAAATCAAAGCATGAATACAATCTTCGTTTGCCATCTCTCTCTTCCCAGTTCTCCAAGTCTGATGGTCTTAACTGAGATGGGACTTACACGTTCGGCCATTGATCACGGCAGGTGCCACTGTCTGACGGGGGTAGATCGGGTAGAGTGTGATCATATAGTCAGTGTTGGGACGAAGGTTGCTGAGCAAGGCTGAAGTAGCACTGGGCCCAAGACTGATCTCCTCGGGCTGAGTTTCACCTTTGATTGGAAATGAACAAGGAGAACTTCAGGGACACAAATAACAGAAGTGCGAAGGCACACAGCCTTACCAGAGACCCCACACACAAATGACATCATTGGTTATGTGAGCTGCTTCTTATTTCAAAACACTGCTGGCAAACAAGTCCTCACTGGTTCTTTTATTTTTGAAATTTTAAGCTAATGGCCTGCATATAGTCAAGAACATGACCAAGTCTGAAGACTGAAAGGTGAGGAGATTCACAGCTCTAAGTCAAAGCACCCACGCTGACCGGAGGGGCACATACATACTGAAGCCACCGCAGGGTGCAAGCACTTCTCCTTCTTTCAGAATATTCCTCCATCTTCAATACATAATAGAATATGCATCCCAGTTTCATTATGTAACCCCAACTTTTAATTTGGTGGCCATGTCAGCTTCTATGTGATATTATGGAGGTTAAGGCTATACATGGTTATGTTTCACCTCCGCATACCCATGTGAATCACAAGTAGGGAGAATGCTGCAGCACTTGGGTCCTGAGGGCTGGACTAGATGGGTTCCTGGTCTGATCCAGCAAGGCTCCTCCTATGCTCTTATGATCTTCCTTCCATTTCCTGGAGGAATCTATGGCCTATTGAGAATCCAATCAATCCACATGTGGACAACCAAGGAGACATACTGTGCTGGTTCAGAGAGGGTCTTTGCCTATGGTAAAGACGCCCTAGTCTTACAGGTTCATGGTGGAGGGTCAAACTGTCCCCTCCAAGTCTCACCCAGGCAGCACTTCCTGAGCAACAGAAGGTATGCACATGAGAGAGAAAATATCTGTGTGCATGGCTGATGGCAGCAGGTAGAGGTGGTCCATCTAGTTGGGGTCCATCCCTGCCCCACCATGAATTCTTGTA